GCCTATATATGGCGGGTGGCTGTCTTCCCTTCTTTCTTTCCCTTTCTTATTTTTTTTTTTTTTTTTTTTTTTTCGTCAATATATATAAATATATTTGTCTCTCTAAAAAATAAAAAAAAAATAAGCGCTGTAAAAGGGTAAAGGGAGACCTATTCCCGAGCGCTTGAACAACTTCCCGCCCCAAGACAAACAAAACTTGCTCATTTCTCTCCCTAGAAAAAAAAATAAATAAATAAAAAGTGTTTTTTTTTTATATCAAATCTAAAGTTTTAAGAAAAGAATATGGATGAGTCTTTTAGATATACCAAAAGGTGAAATTTTGATAATGATAATATTAATTTTGTCTGTGGAGAGAAAGACTGTGTGTGTGTGTGTGTATGTGTGAATAAATTTATTCACAAATTAAAAAAAAAATAATTAAATTAATACAATCATTACATAATCCTTTTATATTATTATACTTTAATTTAGTTTAAATTATTTTATTTTTTCAAGGGCTGATAAAAAATTGAAATACAAAAAAAAAAAAAAAAAAAAAGAATACCGCGCTAACTACCGCTGCAGCCGAGGATATGTGTGGCAAATAGCTCTCCCTTTAAAAGAAGGAAAAGTCTTTTAGAAGGTTTCAATATATTTTATTAATAAATCTAATAATAATAATAATAATAATAAATATTTAAAATAAATGAGTCAAAAAAAAAAAAAATAAATAAAAATATAACGGACAGCTTCGGGTGGCAACTTTTAATTTTATAATAATAATTTTTACATTACATAAACGTTAACTGTTTTTTTTATGTTCTTCTTTTTGTTCTTCTTCTGATCTGAATAAAAAGAAGAAGAAGAAGAAGAAGAAGAAGAAGAAAAAAAAAAAAAAAAAAAAAAAAAAAAGATTGTGTAAATCCTTATCTTTGCTCATAGATGAGGCTCTTAATTAAGAGAGGCGCAACAAAAGAATAGCTGATATCTCTTAAAAGAAAGAAAGAAAGAAAGAAAGAAAGAAAGCCCTTTTTTTTTTTTTTTTTAAAGATAACGGGCGCGTGCAACAAATCTGAGAGCAAAACGAAACTGACAGCACGAGCGGGAGCTTGCAACAAGCCCTAAAAATAAAGCTTGGAAGGGAAGAAGAAAAAAAAAAAAGAAAAAAAAAGAAATTATTTTTGAGTAAGCCATGACGTATAGAATTACGTCAGCAAAGATGTGGAGAAACGAGACCTTTTACCCCAATTTAAGGTCACGTGAGCAGTTTTTTTCAGGAAATTTTTTTTTTTTTTTTTTTTTTTTTGGTTCAGGTTCAGGTTCAGGTTCCAAGTCAGATAGATTAGGTCCCCGCCACACACACACACACATACACACAGACAAAACTAAGCTGGTTATCATCATATTTCTCCACAATAAATTGATTTTGAATGTGGAGAAAACAAAAAAAACAAAAAAACAAAAAAATTCATAGGGCTTACTATTTAAAAATGAAAAAAAAAATCCAATGGTAGCATTTATATGTGTTGTGTTAGTAATCTTAAACTCAAGAGGTGCTAAGATAAAAGAAGAAGAAGAAGAAGAAGAAGAAGAAGATTTAAAGTCTTTTTAAGGTACATGGAGAATTACATTCCCTAGAAACAATTGATAGTCCTATCGATAAGACAATTATTTAACGTTCAACAAATCTTCAACTAATGTCAAATATAAATATAAATATAAATATCTAAGCTTATTATTATTATTATTATTATTATTATTATTATTATTATTATTCAATTCAAAGAACTCAACCAATAGATGACAAGAAATTGGCTCCCCCCCTCCCTAAAAAAACAAAAAATAAAGTCGAAAGCATTCTTTTTTTTTTTTAAATTCTCATGTAACTTAATACTAACACGTGCTGATAAAGGGTGATGAAAAATTACTTCAAGAAACAACAAAAAAAAAAAAAATAAAAATTATAACATCTTGTTTAAGATAAAAATGAATTTAGCAAGCAGAAAGAGCAGCAAACAATTGATTCCTGAACAATTCCCATTTGGCTGCTTCTTCTTCTTCTTCTTCTACTGCTGTTGCTGCTGCTGCTGCTACTGCTGCTGCATCAACAAAATTCTTGTCGGTTCTGTGGCAACAAACTTTAAATAAATGGCTCTTTTTTTTTTTTTTCATCAACACTATTTTTTATTTTTTTTTTTCTTTTTGCCGTGGCTGCATGCGAGAATTGATCTTCCAAGGCCTTTCATTTTATTTTATTTTATTTTATTTTATTTTATTTTATTTTATTTTATTTTATTTTAATTTTATTTTGTTTATTTTTCAAAATCAATTGAAAAACACCTCCAACCCCTGGCCAGTTAATCCAAGCAATCAATCAATTAATTAAAAATTTAATGCTTGGGACTCACAAAATTGGCCTCGGACCTTCCGTTTCACTCCGTCCATCTCCGACCTGGGGGCTTTTTTTTTTTTTTTTTTTTTTTACTCTGGCAATAAACTTTGTGAATATGCCTTAATCCTAAACAAATTGTATTTTAAATCTCAATGAAAAAAAAAAAAAAAAAAAAAAACATACAAATCTCCTCATTTTTATTTTTTCTTTCTATCTCTTTCTCGGCTTTTCTGTTTATTGCTATCAGAACATTTTTATTGGTCTATCTATTTTGTCTTATGGTCCCACACATAAATATCATCTCCATTTTTTTTTTTTTTTTTTTACATTAAAAAAAAAAAATCCCATTGTTTTTAATCCAATATGTGCATTCACTATATAAGCTTAATTATAATTTGTCGTGTGCACTGAATAAATATATATTACACAAATATCTACCACGTAATATAGCAGGTACTCTTAAAGCCAAAATGAAATCTCATTACTGGTATTAAAAGTCTGTGCCTAATGATCAATTTGTTTGGTAGTCAGTCAAATCTTCCAGACTAGTTTGTACTTATATATAGATGTATGCAGGTTCTCTACACAAGCCGCGCACTTTTTATTATTTCCCTCTCTGTCATATATATATACTTTTTTTTTCAATCGTCAAATCAAGTTATTGAAAAACTTCATTGCTTAGTAGTAAATTATTTATTAAAGTAAATATAGTTCCAAATTTAAATATATTTTTGTTTTCTTTTGATTCTTTATTAAAATAATCCATGTTTAACTTTTTTTTTTTTTTTTTTTCAATATCAAATCGCTTTCGCTTTCCTTTAAAGAAATCAACAGGTAAAAAAAAATACATAAAAGAATTACAAGCTTTTGATGCAACTCTTTACCTGTTCTAATCTCTGTATCTCACATGGCTCATCCTCAAACACAATACCTTTTTAGGCTCATCAAAATATCTTTAAAATATATAATAATTATCACTTGTCATTTGAATACACTTGTTTTTTTCTTCTTCTAAAAATTGAAACATTCATACATCTATATTTACATCTTCAGTTTCATATTTTGTTTTTTGTTTTTTTACCAAGTGTGGCTGCGACTGCGACTGCGACTGCGACTGCGACTGCGACTGCGACTGCGACTGTTTAGATCTTGTAAATTTTGCCACAGCCACATTCACAGCCTCAAGATCCATGAAATAATTACACATTCTTCTCATACAAAACTTTTATTCAACAATTTTGTTAAATTTACATATCACTATCAAAATCCTTAAAAAAATAAAAATTAAAGCTCAAGTAAAAAAAAATTGTATCTAAAAATAGCATCATATTTTATTCGGGTTTGATGTGAAAACCAGTTACCCCACATTTAACAGTAACCTATGGCACTATGGCCGAGCGGTTAAGGCGAAAGATTAGAAATCTTTTGGGATTTCCCGCGCAGGTTCGAGTCCTGCTGGTGTCGATATCCTTTGACTAGTAACTAGTCTTTTTATATTCTTTTTTTGTCTGGACACTAGATCAATTGTAGAATGTGACAAGTAATTAAAAATATCTACACTTTTATTTCTAATCTGACATTTTAGGAAATATAAATAAAATGTTAATTATTAAAATACATAATTATGTATTATAATGTATTTTGAAAGAAAATTAAATTAAAAATGATTTTCTAAGAGATCTTCAAATTGTTTGTCACTTTGTTTTTTGTTATTCAAGAAAATCAAAAGTATATCATTAGCATATCAGCATCTGTGTAATCTTAAAAAAACCCTTTCATTGTTAGTTTATTTGCTTTAATTGAAACGTCATAAAATTATATAACATCATCATCAACGCCATCTCTTTTTTTTTTTTTTTTTTTTTTTTTTTGCTGTTACTATATATGACTTTAATTTGCCTTCAACATTGCATCTCAATCACTCGAAAATTAAGTCCTAATAACCAGCTAATTATGAGCTGGGAGGTCACAAAGTAAAATTTCCCAACCTATTTAAACTTGTTTTTATCACCTTTTTAATTTAATTAATTATTACTGGCAAACGTAAACAATTGTTTGTTTTTTTTTTTTGTTTGTTTGTTTTTATTCAAGGGTTATAGAACTATATAACATCAGCATCTGCGCTATCCTTTTATTGTCTGACTATGTGACTTGCCGGTTTTCATTTGTACCTTTTTAGTACGGGTGGTTTCTGTTCTGTGCGTCTCCAGTAGCCCGGAAGATGGGCCCTGATGCCAGCTTACGAGGAACAGGGAGAACCAGTCTGTCGGTCCCAAAACCTTCCCAACCCATTTCCACTTATCTTCACGGACGCCCATGTATTTCTTAATGTCTTCCGCCAGAGATACGGCCCGCAATCACCTGCAGGCTATTTAGACTGTACGGAAGAGTCGGCATTCCTGTAACCAGGGTAGCCTATGGTTTTCAGTCTAGGTGTATACTCCCGTACACATCCTCAGGAAAAGGGGGTATTCTGGGAATCGAACCCAGTATCTTCCGCTATCGAGCGAACGTGTTACCCTTTACACCATCCAGCCCTTTCCCCTAACGTAAACAATATGTTTCTAAAAATAGCATCATATTTTATTCGGGTTTGATGTGAAAACCAGTTATCCCACATTTAAAAACCATGTCAGACCCCCCCAACAACACCCAAACCACGTTTAGTGGCGGCGACCCTCCTGCCGACAATAATTATACCGACAATAATAATGAACAGACTAATATTAATGATATGCAAAAAATTATTGCTGTTGAACTGAAGGAGAAAGAAAGTTCTCATTCCAGAGGACCTCATTCTCATGAAGCTCATCACATCAAACCCTCGACAAAAATCCAAAAAAATAATGAAAAACCAGACTCCCATAAAAAAATTGAAACTATCCACAAAAAGCTTGAATCGAATGATAAGCATAATGCTTCTTCAAACCACGAAACCCCCGTTGAAACCCCTATTGTGAATGTTGGTCCAACCTTGAACCCTACCTTTGACTCTTCACCAGATGGTGGTGATGTGGAAATTGACGCAACACCATCACGTGACATGGATGTTCTCATGCCGGATGCAAATCCATTTGGTGATAATTTGAAGCCTGGGAATACATCTTAAAACTTAAGGATGTATTTCTGGTTGAATTGTCTATTGTTAAAGAAGACTTGAGTATTACAATTGAAGATTGGGAAATAAAATTTCAAAATCTTGAACTTAAAAACAATGAGTTAGCTAAACAACTCATTGCTTTGACCGAAAAGCTTAAGGCTTCAGAAGGACAAGTGAATTTCTTCGCTCAGAACTTGATGTTTTGAGAAACAATCAGGTTCACACAGAAGTTAAACATGTAATGTTTGAAAAACTTAAAAAGGAAGTTAAGGATAATAAGGATCATTGCGATAAAGTGAAACATAAAGCTGATGAAATAGCTAAGATGACTCTTCAAGATTTGTCTCAAGAAAAGCAAGAAACAAAAGAATTATCGACACTGAAATCAAGGAATTCAAAGAAATGACCAACAATCTTGAGAAAAGAGTTGATAATATGGAATACAAAGTTGGAACTATTTCAACTAAGGCTGATTTAACTACCAAAGAACTTAGCTACGCAAAAAAGGAAATCAAGAGCGCGGTAAGAAAAGTCGACACTTTGCCTTTTGCTTTGACCCCTAAAACTCCAAATGGAGCAACTCCAAAGTTGAAAGACATTATGAAGGCTCAAAAACAACACCGTGAAACTAAAGTTGATGAAGACAAACCCACTTTTAGAGTGTGCATAAGAATTCCAGATACCATGAAAAGAGTTAATATCCCTGCGATTGGAAAGAAAATTGATGCGGTTGCACAAAAGCCGGTGGCTCAGGAAATAGGCTATACTGTCAAAGGGCATTTATATGTTCAACTTAATGACAAAGATTTTGCTGATAAAGCTGCAGAATGGATCCCCAAAGTTGACTCTACTTATTCAGTGCTTGACACAGATTCTTGGTACAAGGCTGTACTTCAGGAAATACCTAATACGGCATCGATTGAAGACTTGAAAGAAACTCTCTACAATTTTAATGATTACCATATTGTTTTGAATACCGAACCCAAAATCATTAGCAGAAACCAATTTACCCAAACAGCATTGGTTTCATTCAGAAATGCCCAAGACTATGCAAAGTGTGCTGATAATCTTATTATCCAGTACACAAAAGTTAAAGTTAGACCTTTTATTAGCAGAAAAAAAACTCCTGAAGAACTCCAAGCTATGCGTAATAAGATACGATTATTGAAAAATGAATCAGACAAAAAAGGATAATGAGGCCCATCCTGTTTCCACTGACGACTCACAAGATGAACCGATGAAAGAAACAAATATTGAAGAACTAGATGAATCCAATGAGGAAGAAAACGAAAACAATTCTATTACATCCAATGAATTATAAAGTATTCCAACTCAATTGTCATAAATCGAAATCTATTACTGAAACTATCTTAGATAAAAAAGAACCTGATATCTTGTTATTACAAGAACCTTACTTTAACAACTATGGGCCCATTAAACATAAAGATTGGATCCCAATCTTTACAGAAACTGGAAAAGAAAAAAATAAATGCAGAGCAATTACTTACATTAGGTCTAACTCTGACTTACGAGCATTAACTACTAAAATTGAAAAGTTTACAAATCGAGATATGGTTACCATTTTGGTTAAAGACATTACAATTGTCAATGTCTATAATCAACCGAAACCATCCAAGAAATACCCTGAGCCACCGGTTTTTTGAGTTTCTCAAACGGGAGATCAAGGAACAATACTCAAAGATTGTCATTGCAGGTGATTATAACTTACATCACAAGGAATGGGAGTCAAGGGCAGGTCCGAATACGGAAGCAGATGAAGTTGTTGAGTGGCTACATGAAAATGATATGATGTTAATTACTCCAAGAAATCAAAAAACATACAACAATAGAACCAATATTGATTTGGTTTATGGCTCAGTGGACTTACTTCATAGAATTTCATTTAGTGGAGTGGATGAAAATACACTAAGTGATCACTCAATTGTGGAGTGGGACATTTATATGTCTCAGAGTAAAAACGGGGATGAAGTTTTTACTTCGGTGAAGAGATTGAATATTAAGAATGCAGATTGGGAAAAGTTTGACAAGGAGCTTTCTTCTGCCATTAAAGATTTTAATGTGCATAACAAAACTCTAAAATCAACTGACCAAATTGATGACCAAGCTAAAGTTCTTGAGGAGGTTGTAAAAAGAGCAATGGCAAAGTCGATGAAGGAAGTTAAGGTGATGAAAAAGTCCAAACGCTATTGGAATCAAGAATTAAGGGAGAAGTTAGAAAAAGCGCTAGAAGCTAAAAGGGAAGCCCGTCAAAGACAACCTTCTTTGGCTTTGAAACGACAAAAAATTGAAGAGGCGAAAAAAGCTAGAAAAATTTTTGACCACAGTTTGCGTGAAGCAAGTACTGAGCAATGGAATAAATATTTGTCTAGTTTAGAAGGAAATGACATTTGGAAGATTTTGAAGTATATTAATCCAAAAAGCAATGATACCATTATACCACAAATTAGAAAAGAAGATGGAACTCTCACTACTACTGTTGACGAAAAAAAAGACATGAAATATGGAAGGCACTTCTACCTGAAATTGATCATGGTCTTGATAGAGAGTTTGAAATTGACGACGATTCTCGATGGCCAAAATTAGAGTTTGATGAAGTTGACTCTGCATTGGCTGATACCCCAAATGATAAAGCTCCAGGAGACGATGGAATTACTGGCAAAGTTTTAAAGATGGCATGGCTGAATAAAGACTTTAAGGAAAGGTTTTTCAAGCTTCTCCAAGCTTGTGTGAAGTTTGGATACCACCCAAAAGTCTGGAGACATGGCATTATTGTTGTTATACCTAAACCTAAGAAACCTGACTATTCAAAGCCAAGAGCATACCGACCAATTTCCTTACTTAAGATTCCATCTAAAGTACTGGAAAAATTATACAAAAAGAATGACCAAGCTTACAACGCACTTACTTCCACCAGAGCAATATGGGGGAAGACAAGGTTATTGTGCTACTGATGCTGTTTTGGAACTTGTCCAAAGAATTGAAACTAGTAAAGAAAAAATTTCAGCTATGCTCATTGATATTCAAGGAGCTTTTGATAATGTCAACAGAAATTTATTGGCAGACACAATGGAGGATATGAAACTACCCAAAGCACTTATAAACTGGACATACCAATTTGTAAGTGAAAGAGAAGCTAGTATGCTCATGGACCGAAGAAAAGGATCAGTGCAAAAATTAGTACTGGAATTCCGCAAGGCTCACCTATTTCACCACTACTTTTTTTGATATATTCCACACCAATGTATCATGCCATTAAAGAATGGGGTGGAACTCCTTTTGGCTTTATTGATGATGTGACTATTACCGTTGAAGGTAAAATTGAAGAAAATACCAAAAGCTTAAGCAACATATTAGAAAAATGTTGTAATTGGGCTAAATCAAGAATGACCAAAATTGATTTGGGTGATAAATTGGGTTTTATTCATTTTACAAAAAAAATGTGAAACCTAAAGATGAGAAAGTGCAACTTACTTTACCTAATGGAGAACTTCGTGAACCCCAGAAGGAAGTTAAATTGCTTGGAATTACTTTGAACAATCTGCTTGATTTTAAATCTCATATTTTGAATAAAATCAATAAAGCAAGAAAAGCTGTTGGTGCTATTTGGCATCTTGGTGGCGTGCAAAAAGGTATGCGAGGGTCTGCAGTCAGATCACTGTATATTGCTTGCGTGAGACCAATTGTTGAATATGGCTTAGAAATTTGGCATCATAAAATCTTGAAAGGAGAAATCCACAAGTTGGAAGTGATGCAGAACATGGCTTTAAGAAGAATTGTTGGTGCTTATCGCACAACTCCTATTGCGGTATTACAAAAGGAAGCTGGTATTATGCCATATAGTATTAGGCTAAAATTTATGGTGGCACGAAAAGCTATTCGTTTACACCTAAATATTAGCAAAACTAATCCTATTAATGGTCATTTGTTAACATTGATTGAGAAATCTCCAATTGCAAAGCTAACCACGCTTTACATGTTGGCGAAAGATGATAGAGACTATATGATTAAAAAGGATGAAAAACGAAAATGCAAGAGGGTTGAACCTCTTACACTGAAACAACAACAAAATCAGACGATTGGAATTTTGAAGAAACAAGCAATGGAAGAATGGCAAGAAATGTATTGGAACAGCAGTAAGGATCTGTGGTATCATAATATCACAGTGGAGTCGAAATGTACTGATAATCTTTCCAAAATGGTTACGGGAGTGATCATGAAGAAAGATAGTCGAAGGATCTTGAGTAATATTACTCAGTTTCGCACAGGCCATGGCAACTTTGGCGCATGGTTTAAAAAGTTTGGAATTGAAAAGGATAGTTACAACTGCAAATGTGGAGAGCTGGAAACAGTTCATCACATTTTAGTTGAGTGTCCTTTGCTTGAAGAGGAAAGAAAAGGACTGAAACGGATATCTCCAGAGATGGACATGTCGACTCTCTTAAACAGTTTAACTGGCTTACAAGAGATTGTAAGCTTTATCTCTGCTTGGAGGGATTAAGAAATACAATTACAGCGTTGATGAAGACAAGTGGAGATAGGTTGGGAAGGTTTGGTTATTTTTAACCCCCTGTTCCTCGTAAGCTGGCATCAGGACTTATTTTCGGGCTGTTGGAGATGCAATGTTGAAGCCAAAATTAAAAGTTTATTATCAAAATGAAAAAATATATAGTATGGACAAGAAGGATAGCGCAGATGCTGATGTTATATAATTCTATAACCCTTGAATAAAAACAAACAAACAAACAAATATCCCACATTTAACAGTAACCTATGGCACTATGGCCGAGCGGTTAAGGCGAAAGATTAGAAATCTTTTGGGATTTCCCGCGCAGGTTCGAGTCCTGCTGGTGTCGATTCCTTTTTAACTAGTAACTAGTCTTTTTATATTTTTTTTTTGTCTGGACACTAGATCAATTGAAATTGTTTGCTTCTCCATTTTTATTCAAGAAATATATCTTAAAATAATATCAAAATTTATTTTATTTTAAAAAAATATTTTATTTATTTTTTGTAGAAACCTCAATTGTTTGTTTTCATTTAAAGGTTATATAGTAGATACCTCAAAATGTTTGTTTGTTTGTCTTTATTCAAGGGTTATATAATTATATAACATCAGCATCTGAGCTATCCTTCTTGTCCATACTATATATCTTTTTGTTTCAATTTTATAATAAACTTTTAATTTTGGCTTCATCATTTTATTTCCAACAGCCCGAAAATAAGTCCTGATACCTGCTTATGAGGAACAGAGGGTCAAAAAAAAAAAGAAAACTTCCCAACTTATGTCCACTTGTCTTCATCAACGCTGTAATTGTATTTATTAATCCCTCCAAGCAGATATAAAGCTTACAAATTTTTGTAAGCCAATAAAAATACCTCAAAATTACTAATATCTTTTTATACAAATCTAAATAAGGCTGCGGTAATTCCATATCATACAAAACCTTTTAAGAATTGCCTTGCTAGCTCAATCGGTAGAGCGTGAGACTCTTAAGAGACTCTTAATAAAGTGTCATCTCAAGGTTGGGGGTTCGAGCCCCCCGTAGGGCTTTACTTATCCCACATATTTTTTTGAATTTTAAACATTTTTTTTTGGAACTTCAAGGCTGAAAAAAGTCCAAATTAATGTAATTTTTTTATTTCTTTTGGTAAGGTCTCTACAAACTTCTGTTAGATGAATTACGTAATTAATGGGAAACTATTTTTTAATGCTCTGAGAAGTTTCTTATCACGTGATATTTTAACGGTAGTACCACTTAGTGATAACCCAATTCAAAAAATCTCAATACCACCATAAGTAAATATCGACGTTAAACGATGGCTACAAGTTCAACAACAGTAATAATTGGAGAACCTATAAATGACTGCCTGATTACAGTCTTTAATGATATAAACGATTGATTTAAATGTCTATACAAATATAAATTACAAACATCGTTTAATAGCCATTATTTTGAAGTTTATCAATTTCTATTCTAAAACAATGCCTTTTTTTCTCTAAAGTTGACGGAATGGAGATTAAAATCGTAACTTTTAGACTTACAAATATCAATCGCAGTAATAAATATGGCAGACAATTTCATTAATTTGAATATCATTATTAATCTTTCAGAGGTTAAGAATCATAATCTTTTTATGAAAAATCAATACTTTGATACCATAATTATACAATTAAACATTTGTATCCATCCAGAGAGCTTTTTTTTTATTGATTTTACTATACCCATATTTTCTTGCTACCATAAAAAAAGTTAATAACTTCAAAAGAAAAAGTTGACTTCTTTCATAAAAAAAAAACTTTGTAATTTGCAAGAAGATTCAAAAGAAAATTTCAGTAATTTCTAGCCATTATTTATTTCTTAAGTTGCAAAGAATTACCTCAGGGTTGATTTATTTATAATTGATATCTCTGAACTCATAATAATGTTCACCTTTTAGTAGTTTACCGAAACCCTAAAACATAGCTTTTAGTAAAAAAATTACCTATGTTGTATAGTAAAAAAATGAAAAAAAAAACAAAGAATTCACAAAAATATCTTAAAAACCTTTCAGGTTAAAAGGAAAAACATTGTTTGCTTTAATCCTCCTCAAGGGTCATAGAAATATATCATGTTATATACTTTTATAATTATGAATACTATCCAATTTGTCACACTATGTAACCTTCCCTATTTTACAATAAACTTTTAATTCATTTTCAACATTGCATCTCCAACATTTGAAAAAACAAGTCTTGATAACAGCTTAAAAGAAATTGAAGGAAATAGTTCATTGGCCACAAATATACCTAATCCATTTTCACTTGTCTTTGGGGAAACTTGTGATATTTCATAATTCACTTTGATAGAGATACGGCCCAAAATCATCTGTAGACTAATTAGATTTAATGAAACTGTGAACTTACCTATCGTCAAGGGTAGGCTGGGGGTTCAGCTACAGTGTGTACCCAAATAAATTCTTTTTTTTTTGACAAGGTTTAACAAATGGAAATTAAAACTAATATGTTTTTTTTTTCTTTGTGTGTTTGTGGGTTTGTTTCATAGAATGGATTCAGAAATATATCATCGGCACAATCTCTTTTGTTCCTACCATATAACTTTTCGTTCTTACAATAAATTCTTAATTTATTTTTAATATTACTTGTCAGATAATTTTAAAATAAGTTTTGATTTTTGCGAACAAGAAACAAGGAGACATCAACAAAACCTTTTCTTCTTTTTGTTTGTTTGCATTTATTCAAGGGATATAGAATTAGATAATATCAGCATCTGCGCTATCCTTCTAGTTATTACTATATATTTTTTCATTTTTATAATTGAATTTAAATTTGAGCTTAACAATGCATCTCCATTAACCATTTTTCCCCATTTTTTTATTGTTTGTTTGTTTGTTTTTATTCAAGGGTTATAGAACTATATAACATCAGCATCTGCGCTATCCTTTTATTGTCTGACTATGTGACTTGCCGGTTTTCATTTGTACCTTTTTAGTACGGGTGGTTTCTGTTCTGTGCGTCTCCAGTAGCCCGGAAGATGGGCCCTGATGCCAGCTTACGAGGAACAGGGAGAACCAGTCTGTCGGTCCCAAAACCTTCCCAACCCATTTCCACTTATCTTCACGGACGCCCATGTATTTCTTAATGTCTTCCGCCAGAGATACGGCCCGCAATCACCTGCAGGCTATTTAGACTGTACGGAAGAGTCGGCATTCCTGTAACCAGGGTAGCCTATGGTTTTCAGTCTAGGTGTATACTCCCGTACACATCCTCAGGAAAAGGGGGTATTCTGGGAATCGAACCAAGTATCTTCTGCTTTCAAGCAAACATGTTATCCTTTACACCATCCAGCCCTTTCCCCCCTTTTTTTTACAAACAACAAAACTGGCTATAATTTAGGAATAGCATAAATAGCTTTGAAAATTATCCTTTTTATTGAACTTGAAAGAAGCGTTAGTGGTTTAGCGGTAAAATTCGTCGTTGCCATCGACGAGCCCCCGGTTCGACTCCGGGCTGACGCAAACAAAAATCTTTTTGGCTTCGGACCTCATTAATTGTTTATTCAATCTATTTTTTATCACATTTTCTTTTTTACTTCAAATACAAATAATCAAATCACTATTAATAAATCAATGTCTACTAGTCATCATAATGAATAACACTTTCATCATTTCCCAATCTGATTTGTCCATGGGAGTTTATTCCAGGAATCCATGTACTTGGATGTTTTAATAAAGGCGACCACGAATCGAACCTTGATTTTGCTGACTGGAAAACTGTTTGCCGAGGTGTTTCTGAAGGACTGTCACCGTGATTATCATTGTCATCGTCTTCCAGAGAAATCTGTCTATTTTCTGGAATCATCCTCTCTAGGCGATCCTTGAGTACAGGCATCTGTGCCACTGTCAGACCGATGAGCACAAGGTAAAACATGGCAATTATGATAAAAGGTGCACCTGGGAAAAAGTCGGCAAGCCTACCTCCAACAAAGGAAAGCACTAAAATTCCTAACCCACCGCAAAATGAGTACACTCCAGCAATCGATCCGCTCGATACTCGTTTTGTGTCAGTGCACATTGACATGGACGAAATAATGGACCCAATCTGAGCAACACCCATCAAGCTACCCAGCGAATAAATGGCAAGCATAGCACCCCCAGGAGCTCCTGCCAGTGCTGAAGAAGACTTGTCAGCATCGTCATTACCACCAGTATACAAAATCAACTCCGCAGAGGTACTGGCCGAAATTCCAAAACCCAAAAACGCGATAACGCCAATAACACTTGATACAAGCATTGTAACCTTGCGCCCAAACCTATCAGTAGTGTAGCCCCATAATGGTGCAAACAAGAGTGTGCAAGTTTGCGTCATGCCCATAACAGAAAAACTAAGCACGTATCCTCGCTTACAAGTACCGTAAAGTTCTGAAGCGGGAACACTAGATGAAGCACAGCGAGGTGATGCGTCGTGCATATTAGCAGCGATTAAAAGGGGTATGAACATGACAGTGGCTACTGTCGTAGAGCGTGCAATAAACGCACCACAATACGCAAGTGCAATCTGCTTATCTTCTAGCGCAATAGAGAATCCCTGCTTCAACAACTCAAAATAAGATGGTGTTACCTGCTCAATCACTTGCCCATCCGGTGTAACCGTAGATTGCTCTGCTGACGTCTCCACACCAAGCGCAACCCGATCCGCTTCCGGAATTCGACCAGTCAACCAATACATAATCTTCTTAGTGCGGTCATTGTGCAGACCCAAAAGAAGCAGAGAACCAATGAACAGTGCAATCGATCCCACAATGTAGTACGCAACTTTGACAGCAGCTGTTGGCGAAAGACCGTTGTTCAAGCGCAAGCGCATTGGTAGTGCAACCAGCACAAACGCGCCAAAACACGCACCCAACCCCGTCATTACACCAACCATAGCCGTACCTTTGCCATTACGGGTTCCTGGCTGTACTACTTCAAAAAATTCATCGTCATCATGTCCTTCAGTTTCAACATCCCCGCGACCGTAAAAACCGGATCCATTATTATTGCTTTTGATGCCATTTTGAAATTCGTCATCCGACTCAGGATCTGTGCCTGCCCAAGGAGATGGCTCCTGGGGGAGAGGCGCGGCTGCGGCGGCTGAAGAAGTTGCAGCTTCAGTTTCATCATGACTTTCGCCATCAGTATATTGTGAAATCAGTGGAGAGTTACTATTATGGTACGGATCGTTATGTCCGTCGGCAGAAATGGAAAGCTCAGGCTTGGTGGAACGACCACGGAGTCTATCAATCTGCTTGAGTGTGTTGGCCTTGGTGTTGAGCCAAAATTTGCGCACAAGCTTTGTAGGTGATACACGAAAAGTACTGATCTCAGAAAGAATAGCTGTAATCATAGATCCGGAGGCCGAAGCACCGACTGCAAAAAAAAGGCGCAGGAACAGCATATCGGGGTAAACATTTTTGGCAACGGTGAACACAAACAGTGACACACCCACAATAATCATTCCAGCAACAACGATCTTTTAACGTGTTAGTAAAGAAATAAACGATCAAAAATAAAGCATAGAAAATATAACTTACAGGTCGAGTGCCAATCTTATCACTAAGAGAACCCCAAAGTGGGGCCAAAATCATAGTGAGAACTTCATCTGCAAATGTAAGATTACCAGTGTAGCTTCCCTATATTGAGATGTTAGAAACTTAGTTTTAAGAAGTAATATAAATAAATACTGACCAGCCTAGTATGTATTCCCAAAACATCAGTCAAGAATATCGGCTGTGTAGCCGACAAAAAGACCATGATCGAGATACAAAAAAAGCATAACCCATAAAAACTCAAAAGGTTTGCGAGCGAAAAGTCAGTGCGTTGGACCATGTTAACCTGTTGACTTCTAAACTCATATAGCATGGTAAAAAAGAGAAAAAAAAATTAAATAATCGAGATAATCTTATTTATTTATATAAAACTAAATGATGAGGAAAGTTTCAATTCAGACGAATCGCACATTTCGTATAAAAATACGTAAGTACTTCAGACGAGGTAATTGGGGAGAAAGGCTTTTTTTTTTAAAGAGCAAGGCCAAGAAAAAAGCTTGGTCGTTTAAGTGGGGATTTCCCAATCGGGTGTTATCTGATTAATTTGATTAATTTGTCATGTGAAAATATATTACATAAATATTACGTGCATATAAATTGTAATATATTGTTTTATTTATTTATTTTTTTTTTTAAAAGTAATAAAGGGGCGCTCGCGTCTTCGATCTTTCTCTACAATAACAACCACCAGCAAAATAAATATGAAGCTAGAGGAGCTCATCATTGATGGCTTCAAATCATATGCGACTCGTACTGTCATTTCAAACTGGGACTCCCAGTTTAATTGCATTACGGGTCTTAATGGTTCCGGCAAGTCTAATATTCTCGATGCTATTTGCTTTGTTCTTGGAATCACCTCTATGAGCACCATGCGTGCACAAAACCTTCAAGACTTGATTTACAAGCGCGGCCAAGCAGGTGTCACAAAAGCTTCTGTAACTATTGTTTTTGACAATTCAGACAAGACAACAAGTCCCTTAAACTTTCAAGACAGCTTAACAATCAGTGTAACTCGTCAAATCGTTATGGGTGGCACTTCCAAGTACCTCATCAACGGTCACCGTGCACAACAAAATTCTGTCCAAGAGCTTTTCCAGTCTGTTCAACTTAACATCAACAACCCTAACTTTTTAATTATGCAAGGAAAAATCACAAAGGTCTTAAACATGAAACCAGCTGAAATTTTGAACCAAATTGAAGAGGCAGCCGGCACAAAAATGTTTGAAGATAGAAGAGAAAGAGCAATTAAAACCATGGCCAAAAAGGAAAGGAAACTTACTGAGAGTACCGATCTACTGAAAGATGAAATTATACCCAAACTTAACAAACTCAGACGAGAAAAACTTGAAGTTATTGAGTACGAAAAAACTGTTTTGGACCTGGAAAATAAAACCAATATTATTGTCAGCTACGACTACGACCACATTAAGCAGAATCTAGAAAAACAATCGGAAACCTTACGCTCTAGACAGTCACATTTATCTGCTTTAGAAAATCTAGTTCCAAAATCAAGGTCTGAAATACAAAGTCTAAATCAGCAAATTTCCGAAATTAAGGCCAAGCGAGAAAGAGATTTACTTTCTGGTGCCGAAGGCGGTGGGGGATCTCTTAAACAACTCGAGCAAAAATGCAAAGACTTGTCTCAGGAGTCGGCTCGTATAAAAACTCTAAGCGAGATTAAACAAGCAAGCTTAAAAGAGGCTCGCCAAACTTTCAAACGACTGGCGTCAACTCTTGGGGATTTCGAATCTCGCGTTTCTGATCGTAGCGGTCTTTTATCAAAATTGGAAAAAAATCACAACGAAGCTAAGGAAGAATATCAGATTGCAGCCAAGGAAAAGGAAAAAAAGGAAGAGCTACTTCAGTCTTTGCAAACTGGTGTGGCGTCAAAGGAGGGTCAAGAATCTGGATACAATAATGAAATCCAACAAGTCCGAAACAGCATTGCTGTAGCTAACACGTCCAAGGCCAAGTATGAAGCACGGTTAGAATCGCTGCGCCATGAGATTGAACGTGACCGGAATAAAGTGTCAAACGCCCAAGTGCAAATAGAGCTTTCGAAAAAAGAACTGGAGACATTTAAGAAACAGCAAGAAGCAATATCAGACAATATGGCCAAATCTGGGTTTGTTCCTGAGCGCTTGAATGAACTTACCATAAAGGAGCGCGAATTGGACTCGCAACTTCGTGATCTTACTCACAAGATTGATATTGCTAAAAAAAAGTTTTCCAATATTGACTTTAAGTACAATATGTCTCCAAACGTCAACTTTGATCCTGATGGTGTTAAGGGTGTTGTTGCACAGCTTTTTACAGTTGACGAAAAAAACTATGATAAAACGACAGCTTTAGAAGTCTGCGCAGGCGGCAGACTCTACCAAGTGGTTGTTGACACTGATTCTACAGCATCCCAGCTTTTGAAGTATGGCAATTTAAGACATCGAGTTACCATTATTCCTCTCAACAAGGTAAACTCGCCAGCTTTTTTGAAAGTGGCCGAAAAACTTAATGCCGCTAAAAATCTTGCACCAGGAAAAGTTAATTTAGCTTTGGATTTGATTGGTTATCAAAAAGATGTGGAAAAGGCTATGCAGTATGTGTTTGGAGGCACTTTGGTTTGCTCAGATAGCGAAGCGGCAAAGCTGGTGGCTTTTAATCCTCAGGTTCGTGTGACAACAGTTACTTTGGATGGCGACGTCTATGATCCAAACGGCACTTTATCTGGCGGCAGTCAACGTAACAGCAATCGCGGGGACGGCAATTCTGCAAACAGCGACGAGATTGGGCCAAACGATGGGCTTTTAGTCTCTCTCCAAAAGATTCACAAAATGATAAGCCGGCAAAAGCATTTACAGAACGACTTGGAGGTTCTCAAAAACCAGATCAGAAAGGAAACGGCGCTGTCAAATCAGTGCCGTGCACTCAAAAAGGAATATGATTTAAAGCAACACGAAATCACACTGACTGAAAAAAAACTTCAGGAAGGACCCTTTGCACGGGTTTTACAGTTGTGTGAGGAGCGCCAGACCCAGATAAAGAATTTGGAGGAGGAGATTGTTCACGTTGAAAAAACAATCAGCGAAGGTGCCGTGGAAATCAAGCGGATAGAGCAGGAGATGAAAGAATTTGACAGCAATAAGAGTGGGAAATTGGACGAACTTCAACAATTAGTTGCAAAACTTCAAAGAAATGCAGCGGAGAAGCTCATTATTGTTCAAGAAAAGCAAAAGTTGCTCCAAAACGCCCAGATTGAGAACGGTAAGTTTTTTTTTACGAAACATCAAAGGAATATAAATTACTAACATTATTTTAGAACAAACCAGCAGTGACTTTGAAAACTTAAAAGAAGAAAGAGATCGCGCTCAAAAGACAGTTGAAGAACTTGAACCTGAAGTTAAGGAACTAGAAAAGCAATACAAACTGGTTTTTTCCAAGGAAGAGACCTACCGTGAACGACTGGATCTGGAAAAGACACGGCTGATGGGCCTTGATGAGGAGCTTACAGCGTTGGAAAAAACCTTAACTATAAAAACCAAATTCTTATCAGAAAACACTCACAAGATTCAAAAAATTAATCATGAGACGGATAACATAAAGGAGGAAATTGACAAGTATAATGCTATTCTCCATCGGCTTAAATCAGAGCATCCTTGGATCATGGAGCACCACCAAAATTTTGGCAAGCCAGGTACACCATATGACTATAATAGTGAGATCGACAATATTACTCATATTCGAATGGAGATTGCAAAGTTAAAAGAACGTGCAAAGTCAATGAAGCAACACCACAACTCTACAGTTCGAAATGTTATTGATACCATGGAGAAAAAAGAAGAGGAGTTAAAGAAGATGATTCGTACTCTTGAAAAAGACAAGTCCAAGATTGAAACGACAATTGTTCAGCTAGATGAATACAAGAAAAAGAAGTTGGAAGAGACTTGGGTTAAAGTTTCTCGGTGAGTAATATTTTTTATTGTGGCAATAATGGGAGTCATTGTGAGTCATTAAAAACTAACTCTTTTTAGGGACTTGGGGAAAATCTTTGGAGAATTACTTCCAGGAAATTCCTCCAAGTTGGTACCTCTTGAAGGCAAAGAGGTATCTGATGGTCTGGAAATCAAGGTCCAACTGGGTGGTGTTTGGAAAGAAAGCTTGTCAGAATTGAGCGGTGGCCAGCGGTCATTGGTGGCGCTTGCTCTTATTATGGCACTGCTCCAATTCAAACCTGCGCCAATGTACATTTTGGACGAAGTTGATGCTGCATTAGATTTAAACCACACACAGAATATTGGTCAATTGATTAAAACTCGATTCCATGGCTCTCAGTTTATTGTGGTTAGTCTCAAGGAAGGCATGTTTACTAACGCTAACCGCGTTTTCCGAACACGCTTTACTGAAGGCACAAGTACAGTATCAGTAAGTTAAAATAAATAGATTCATGTATGTTTGAGGAATTATATAGCTGGTTATTTTATATTTATCGAGGTGTTTTTAAACATTTATTCCAATAAGTATACAATCGATGTGGTTGTGAGTCAATACAGGGGCCCATTTTTTTATAATGAGTCAAATTCAAAAGTTGGTTATCCGCTGCAAAAAATAACCAAATCTAGCCACATTTTAATCATCAGTCAAGCTATTGTATACATGAATACCAAAATTTTTTATTGAAGATCTTCGAGTTAGTGGCAAGGTGGAAATTTCGTCGGGACTTTTAACGGACGGAACTCCGTCAATTTTTGGCGATGTCGACTTATGTAACCATATTTCGTGCTTTTATTGTAAAAAGCAAGTATGAATCATTTGTTCTTGAATCTGAAATTTTTTTTATTAAAAAGTAAATACTTTAACAAAAAAAAGTTCTTTCTTCTTTTCTTTCCCTAATCAAACATAATTTGTTTGCTATAGCTATGACCAACTCTTCTTGCGAATCTGGACCATGGTGGGTTTATGACGACCTAGCTCCTTGTTATCGTCACAGGTAAGAAAATATAATCCACTACATTAAATTGACCTTCTAATCATAGTATCTTAACAGGTTCACACAGCTTTATCCCTTTGTAACTTTGACTGTCATTTCGGCATTGATTCTTGTTTTAAAAACTTATAAATTTCTTCGTAGTTCCAGGGCAAAGTATTCGCGCAGGCTTTTTACTCCAGTCATAGACTCGGAACGCCAGCCACTCTTATCACTAAATGACCATCTACCCCATTACGTTGAGACGTCAAATTCCAATCACAAAGAATTAGAATATTTTCAAGAGACGTGTTCGCTTAGTGACATTAACCCTTCTTTTGATCCGTCTTCAACACAATCATTTTCCATTTCCAGAAACCGCGACACTGAAGTGACTTCTTTATCAGATACCGAATCGTTAGAAGAAAATTCTTCAACACTTTCGCCAAATTCTTCCTCTGCTTCTTCTTTAAATTCTCAAAATGATCAAAAGAAATCAAAAAAAAGGAATCTTACAGGTACTGTTTCTGCTGAAAATATTACCATAATCACCGTCACTCGCTCAACAGCTGAGTATGTGCGGCTTGCTGTGGAGTTAGTTTGTAACTTAAGTCTTGCTACTTCATCTATTACTGCATTTTTCATTCCCTCGATTTTTCAAGAATGGTCAAGCCCCGCAGCTCTTGTAGCAATTGCAACTTTTTGGACGTATAGCTTGGCGCTCATCTCTATCCGTTTATTTCTCATTAGTAGATCAATTGTGCCTGCAGTACCTCTTTGGGCACACTCTACAACCATCTATTTGTTTTCATTTCTCTTTTACTTGATCACGTTTCGTTCCACCATTTTACACCCCATCTCTCACCAGTCTCAAATATTTAATCTCGGACAGTCTTTTTTGGTTTTTACTTTATTTTTAAACAACTTTACAGCAAGAATTGGTGATGCTCCAGCAAAGCTATATGCTCGGGGGTCGACATTCCCTTCTATCGAACCAATTTCTAGTATCTTCAGCATCATTTCTTATTCTTGGATCGACCCTATCATTTGGATTGGCTACTTTAGACCAATAACTGCCAAGGATCTTTGGGAATTAAAAGCTGACGACCATTCAACTCAAATCTTTGAAAACTGGGCCAGAGCCACAGCGGGTTCCCCAATATCATCTTCTGATGGAACAGTAAAAAAACACCGGCTAACTTGGAGTTTATTTAAGTGTTTTTCAGAAAGTTTTATCAGTTTGGTTACGAGCTCATTTTTTCATGCTCTTGTTTCTTTCTGTCCCCCTTTGCTTCTTAAAATCATCCTTGAGTATGTCGAAAATCCTACTGGTACACCTGCAAGTGTTATTTGGCTTGCTGTTTTTTCTTTACTTTTCTGTGGGCTTTTTTCCAACATGATGAACAGTCGATCGTTATATGTGGGACGTAGATTGACAATCAGAGTAAGAGCTATTTTAATCAATGAAATATATAAAAAAACTTTAAGACGGAGAGCCACTGTTGTCAAAACCAACAGACCAGAAGAAAATGAAAATACCGAAGAAGATGATACCGTTGAAGATGAATCTCAAGCAAACCACGGCGCTATTATTAACCTAATGTCAGTTGATAGCTTTGAGGTTTCAGAAGTTTGCGCCTTTTTTAAAGATGTTTTTGAAGGTGTATTTGTGACAGTGATGAGCATCTTTTTTTTGTATTTGATTATCGGATGGAGTTCTTTTATTGGTGCTGGTGCAATGATTTTACTTATGCCTATTCAATTTTATTTATCTCATGCTTATACCAAACTTCAATCAAAAATAATGGCGACCACTGATCGCCGCATTGAAAAAGTAAACGAAGTACTACAAAGCATTCATATTATTAAATTTTTTGCCTGGGAAAAAAAGTTTTCTGAAAGCATCATGGAGACTCGTCAAGAGGAGATTCAAAATCTTCGAGCACGCTACGTCCTTTGGTCAAAAGCAATTTTGGCATACTTTCTCACTCCAGTCATTGTTACTGTGCTTGTTTTTGGGTCATATATTTTTATCCAAAAGCATTTGCTTACAGCACCTGTTGCATTTACCGCGTTAGCATTGTTGAATGTTATGAAGGATCCCATTCAAGATATGTCTGAAGTAATCACTGAAATGTTGAAAGCCAAAGTTTCACTTGATCGTATTGAAGACTTTTTAAATGAGAAGGAAACGTCAAAGTACTCTCAGCTGTATGTCTTCCCAACTACTGGTTCCAATGTTCGAATTGGATTTAAAAACGCTACATTTTCTTGGCAATCTTCTGATGTTTCAAACACTTCTAAAACCGACTTTAAACTTCGTGATATCGATTTTGATTTTGACATTGGAAAACTAAATGTTATTGTTGGTCCCACTGGCAGTGGCAAAACATCTTTGCTTATGGCTTTGTTAGGCGAAATGGAGCTTGCTTCTGGCTCTCTTTATCTTCCCGGGGGTTGTCTTCGTGATGAAGTCGTACCGGATCCTATTACTGGGCTAGCTGAGACAGTTGCTTATTGCGCCCAGTCTGCTTGGCTTTTGAATGATACAGTTCGCAATAACATTTTGTTTGGAAGTGATTATGATTCTAAAAGATTCAATGCGGTAATTGATGCCTGCTCTCTTCGTCGTGATTTGGAGATTTTTGATGGTGGTGATCAAACTGAAATTGGTGAGAAGGGAATTACATTATCTGGTGGCCAAAAGCAACGCGTTTCACTTGCCCGCGCTTTCTACTCCAACTCTCGTCACCTGATTCTTGATGATTGTTTAAGTGCTGTTGACTCGCACACCGCACTTTGGATTTACCAACACTGTTTAACAGGTCCCTTGGCTTTGAATCGTACCATTATTTTGGTTTCGCACAATGTGGCATTGACTATTTCGCAAGCTTCCAAGGTCATTGTTATGGATAATGGTCGCGTCAAGTCCCATGGGACTCCTATTACTTTATTATCACAAGGCCACTTAGGTGACGATGAGCTTACTAGTGCCTCCATTACCCGTGAAGCTTCTTCTGTTAATCTGAATTCACAGAATCATTCTTTTACACCGTCTGTTTTGAAACAAGCCCATATTGTCCCTCAAACATTAGGAAAAGAGGTTGAAAGACTTTTGAACAAGGAGCCCGATTCATCTATTGTGGAGGAAGAGGAAGAGGAAGAGGAGGAAGAAGAAAACAGAAAAAAAATTTCTGGGAAATTAGGCAGTGAAGAGTCAAAACAAGATGGAGGAGTTTCAACAAACATTTACTTTACTTATTTTAAGGCAATGGGAGGAAAATATTTTTGGGCATTTTTCATTTCAATATATTTATTTCAGCCAGTTCTTGATGTTGCAAAATCTTGGTGGATCAAGATTTGGACTCAGGCAATTACAGAAAACGCTCTCGATGTTATTAGCCTTTCACAAATCAACAAAATTATGCCGGTTTTTCATTGGCATTTTTCATTTTTTAATTTAGTTTCTGGTGTTCAGAGCCTCAATGAAAAAACACATGGCTCCCTTTACTACATGGTCATGTATGTTATTCTTAATTTTGTTTTTGCAACATTCACTACATTTACTTCATTAGTCAGTTTTTTCGGAAGTATTAAGGCATCTTCTATTCTTTTCAAACGATTATTAGACAATGTTTTAGAGTCCAAAATTCGGTTTTTTGACTCTACACCTATTGGAAGAATTATGAATAGATTTTCAAAGGATATGGAGGACTTGGATCAAGAATTGCCAAGTTCGGCTTCAACGTTTGTTGAATTGATTTTAAACACATTTGCGATTATTTTGCTCATTGTCTACATTACCCCAGAATTTCTTATTTTCTGTATTTTAATCCTGGCTCTTTACTGGTTTATTGGAGTTTTTTACCTATCTGCTTCTCGTGAAATCAAGCGTCTTGATTCAATCTCACGTTCTCCAATTTTTCAACATTTTGGCGAAACTCTTTCTGGTGTTTCTACGATCCGTGCTTATGGAGTCAATAATCGTTTCATATCTGAAAATTTTTTAAAGGTGGACAATAGCAACAGAGTTTTGTTTTGTTTATGGACATCAAACAGATGGTTTTCATTTCGCACTGAGATGGCTGGTTCCCTTGTTTCCTTTTGCTCGGCTGCCATGATTATCCTTAATGCCAAACGGTTGAATTCTGGTCTTGCGGGTTTGTCACTCTCCTATGCCCTTACATTTAACGAGCACATCAGATTAATTATTCGAACTTATTCTTCTTTGGAAATAAATATGAACTCTGTTGAGCGGTTGCTTGAGTACATGAATATTGATAAAGAAGCACCTGCAGTGATTGAAAGCTCTCGCCCCCCTAAAAACTGGCCTAACAGAGGCGAAATTGAAGTCAAGAATCTGTCGTTGAGATATGCTCCTGAACTTCCCTTGGTTATTAAAAACGTAACCTTTAGTGTGCCTTCATTCAGTAAAATTGGTATTGTGGGGCGCACGGGTGCCGGAAAATCCACTATCATTACTGCTTTTTTTAGATTTTTGGAAGCGGAGACTGGCTACATTAAGATTGATGGTATTGACATTTCTAAAATTGGTATTCGAGATTTGCGTCAGAATATTGCTATTATTCCTCAAGAGCCGACACTTTTTCAAGGAACAATCAGATTCAATCTGGATCCGTTTGATCAGTATTCAGATGAAGAAATTTTTGAAGCCCTTCGACGTGTGCATTTAATCAAGCCCAAAGAGTTTTCTGGATCTGGACATGTTTCCAATAGAAAGGGAAAGTTAATTTCCGGAAGCCAGGATGAGTCAAGAAACACGGCACTTAACAGTGCTATCTCTTCATCTATTTCTTTGGCTAGAGAAGTTGACGGCGAGAATATTAATTTATTTCAAGATTTGAGTACTGTTGTAGCTGAAGGAGGATCTAATCTCTCACAGGGGCAACGGCAGCTCATGTGTTTGGCTCGCTCATTGCTCAAATCCCCCAAAGTATTGCTTTTGGACGAGGCCACGGCATCGATTGACTATGAAAGTGATGCCCAGATTCAAAAGACGATTCGAGCCGAGTTTTCTCAGACTACCATTATCACAATAGCTCATCGTTTGCGGTCGATTGCCGACTACGACAGAATTCTGGTTATGGACAGTGGTTGTGCAGTTGAGTACGATCATCCGCATGTTCTTTTGCAGAACCCGGGATCCGTCTTTTATTCCATGTGTGCCAACTCGGGCGAACTCGAGACTTTACTGACTATCGCCCGGGTAGCGTTTGAGCAGAGGGCCTAAAACATTACTGGTTACATTGTGTATTTTATAAATTTAATTTAATAACTTTTGAAAGAATCTTTTCGGTTACACGGGGACAGCGGTTATCAATGACATTGATGAAGAAGATGATGATAAGAAGAAAAGATTGAAAGAATGCTTATAACTAATTAGTTTATCACGATGCCGTCCATAGCCTTTGTATATGTACAAATATATATATATATTATATATATATATTATATATATATATTATATATTATATATATATAAAAATATATAATATTTTTTTTTTTTCATGAACGGCATTACTACGACTAATTAAAAACGTCGGTTGGTGCCTTGCACAGCGGAGCTCCGCTTGAATTGGTGATGGGAAATGACGTTGAATTACGTAACACTAAATGCCGTGCCCAACTTATTTTACACTATGCAGGATGAATGTGTTTGTGTGGGTTAGATTGACAGTCCTTATATATCTGTGTGATTAGTTTTTTAATGATGAAAAAAAAAAAAAAAAAAACTTCTCTTGCCCCTTTTCTTTCTTTCCCTCTTTTTAAATCTTACAAACATCTACTTTTACAACACACCTTCCGCCATCTTCATCACCAAATCATCCATACCATGACCAAGTCCTCTTGCGATTCTGGGCCTTGGTGGGTCTATGACGACCTGGCTCCGTGTTACCGTCACAGGTAAGCTTATGAAATAATATGCGCAGGCTTGCGATTGTTGAAAAAAAGATCTCTCGTTTTCTAACCAATTTCTTAAAAAATTTCATTAGATTTACCCAGCTTTATCCTTTTATAACTCTGATTGTAGTTTCAGCATCGGCTCTCATCTTGAGAAGTCTTTTTTTCGTTTATAAATCTCGAGGAAAGTATGCCCGCCGCCTCCTGACGCCGGCTACCGACTCGGAACGCCAGCCGCTCTTGACTCAGGGTAGCAATGCACCTCATTACGTTGAAACACCTAATGTTGTTCCACCAGATCTTGATTATACCCAAGAAACACGCCCTGTCAGTGATATTGTACCATCTTTCGACCCATCCCCTAAAGCTTCTCACTTTGCAGTCAAGAAAGATAGCTCCACTTCTCCGCTTTTTTCTTCTTCCGACAACTCTGACACGGATGTTGATGAAGACAACTCTTCTACTATTTCTGCCGACTCTTCTGCCTCGTCCCTACACTTGCAAGAACAAGAAGAAACAAACAAAAAGGATTACGCCGATCTTAACGCCACTGGGGATGTTACCATTGTCACTGTCACTCGCTCTACAGCAGAAAATGTGCGACTGGGGGTGGAGTTCGTTTGTAACGTTGTTCTCGTAGCCTCCTCTTTAGCTGCCTTTTTTATCCCCTCAATCTCAAAGGAATGGACCAGCCCTGCTTTTCTTACTGCAATTACAGCCCTTTGGACTTATACTCTTGCGCTCATTTCCATCCGCTTATACCTCATTAGCAAATCAATCGTTCCCGTCGTGCCTCTCTGGGCTCATTCCACCACCATTTATCTTTTGGCCTTTCTACTCCACCTCGTCACGTTTCGCTCAGCCATTTTGCATCCTGTTTCTCGCAAATCTCAGCAATTCAACATTGGACAATCTTTGTTGGTTTGTATTTTATTTTTGACGAACTTTACCGCAAAAATTGGCGATGCCCCAGCAAAGATTTACATTCAAGGATCTGCATTCCCTTCGCTTGAGCCAATCTCTAGTATTTTCAGCATCATTTCTTACTCTTGGATCGACTCTACTATTTGGATTGGTTATTTTAGATCATTGACTGCTAAGGACATTTGGGAGCTCAAAGATGATGACCACTCAGTTGCTGTTTTTGATTCTTGGGCAGTTTCCACCGCTGATTCTCCTGCCTCTTCTTCTGGTGGCACCACAGAAAAGCGCAGCCTTATTTTCAGTCTCGTGAAATACTTTGCCAACTTGCTAATTATTTCTAATTCTTGGACATTTTTGTACTCTCTCCTCTCGTTCGGCCCTCCATTCCTTCTCAAAGTTATTCTTGAATACGTTGACAATCCCTCCCGTACTCCATCTAGTGTTGTGTGGCTTTATGTTTTTGCTTTGTTTTTCTGTGGCGTTATTTCAAATTCGGTTCAAGGCCAATCCCTTTTTATTGGCCGCAGAATTTGCATTCAGCTGAGATCTATTCTTATCGGTGAAATTTACACTAAAACACTAAGAAGAAGAGCCACGGTTGCTAAAAGCAGCAAACTTGGCCAAGCTGATGATGAAGAAGGAGAAGAAGAAGCAGAGAATGATAATACCAAGGATGACAAAACAACCGATAAGGACGATACTCAAGCAAACCATGGTGCTATTATCAATCTCATGGCTGTTGATACTTTTAAGGTTTCTGAAATCTGTGCTTATCTTCACTTTATTTCTCAGGGTGTCTTTGTTACTGTTTTGTGCGTTTTTTTCCTCTATCTCCTTATTGGATGGAGTTCTTTTATTGGTGCTGGTTCTATGATCTTGCTCATGCCGATTCAGTTCCGTTTGTCGCGAATGTACTCCAAGTCACAAACGCAACTTATGGCTGCTACCGATCGTCGCATTAATAAACTTAATGAGGTTCTTCAGAGCATTCGTATCATTAAGTTTTTCGCTTGGGAAGAAAAATTTTCTGAAAGTGTTATGGAGATTCGTGAGGAAGAACTTAAGCACCTCCGTACTCGTTATATCCTTTGGTCGGCCGCTACACTTGTTTACTTTACCATCCCAATTGTCGTTACTGTTCTCACATTTGGCTCTTACATTTTCATTCAAAAACATCTGCTTACCGCACCTGTTGCCTTCACTGCTTTGGCTTTGTTAAATGTTATGAGAAATCCCGTTGAGCAAATGGCCGAAGTAGTTACGGAGCTTTTGCAAGCTAAGGTTTCCCTCGATCGTATTGAAGACTTTTTGAATGAAAAGGAAACTTCAAAGTATTCACAGCTTTCTGTTCATCCTACCTCTGGTTCTAACACAAGAATTGGGTTTCAGAACGCTACATTTTCCTGGGAGTCCTCTGATATTTCAAACACCTCCAAGACTGATTTTAAGCTTCGTGACATTGACGTTGATTTCAAGGTAGGCGAACTCAATGTAATTATTGGTCCCACTGGCAGTGGTAAGACTTCATTACTTTTAGCATTACTTGGTGAAATGGAACTTGCTGCTGGATCAATTTACCTCCCTGGAGGATGTCTTCGTGACCAGGTTGTCCCCGATGCCGCTACTGGGCTTGCTGAAACTGTTGCTTATTGTTCTCAATCCGCCTGGCTTTTAAATGATACTTTGCGCAATAACGTTTTATTTGGCAGCGAATATGACCATGACCGTTATAATGCAGTCATTGATGCTTGTTCTCTTCGTCGCGATTTGGAGATTTTGGATGCTGGTGATCAAACTGAAATTGGTGAGAAGGGAATTACATTATCTGGTGGCCAAAAGCAACGCGTTTCACTTGCCCGCGCTTTCTACTCCAACTCTCGTCACCTGATTCTTGATGATTGTTTAAGTGCTGTTGACTCGCACACCGCACTTTGGATTTACCAACACTGTTTAACAGGTCCCTTGGCTTTGAATCGTACCATTATTTTGGTTTCGCACAATGTGGCATTGACTATTTCGCAAGCTTCCAAGGTCATTGTTATGGATAATGGCCGTGTCAAGGCTCAAGGTACACCCACTGTTTTACTTGCTCAAGGCCACCTTGGTGATGACGAACTTACTAGTGCTTCCGTCACCAGAGCTGCCTCTTCCGTCAACCTTAAAGCCCATGGATCTAACAGTTCTGCTATTGCAACTTCGGTTCACAATCAACTTGTTCCTAAGACTTTTGGTGAGGAGGTTGCGGCTAAACTTTCCGAAGAACCTGACCCATCCATCATTGAAGAAGAAAATGACAAGAAGAAAAAGAAGAAGGGTTCTGGTAAGCTTGTCGCTGAAGAAACTAAACAAGAAGGAAGTGTATCTACTGATGTTTACTTGGCATACATGAAGGCTATGGGAGGCAAGTCATTCTGGATCTTTTTGATTTCTCTCTTTTTATTCCAACCTGTTCTTGACATTACCAAATCTTGGTGGATTAAAATTTGGACGCAAGCTATTACTGAAAAGAACCCTGATCAAATCACCGTTGAAAATATCCACTACGTTGCACCGTCCCTTCTTTCTCATTGCTATTCTTATCTTTACTACCATTCTTTGAATTTTCTTTCTAACAGCAACAATGCAGGCATTGCTTCTACTGTTCGAGCCTGGGACGAAAAAACGCACGGTTCAGTCTTTTACATGGTGATGTACATTGTCATTAGTATTGTTTTTGCGACATTTACCACTTTTAACGTTTTGGTTAGTTACCTGGGTGGTATTAATGCTTCTCGCAAGCTTTTCAAAAAACTTCTTGATAATGTTTTGCAATCCAAAATCCGCTTCTTTGATTCTACACCTATTGGACGCATCATGAATCGATTTTCTAAGGACATGGAGGGTGTTGATCAGGAACTACCCACTATGGCTTCGTCTGTGTTTCGTTTCATTTTAGGTTCCCTTGCAACCACCTTTCTTATTGCCTATATTACTCCTGGCTTTTTGATTTTCGGTATATTCATCATGAGTCTTTATTGGTTGATTGGCATCTTTTACTTGTCTGCTTCTCGTGAGATCAAACGTATTGATTCAATTTCCAAGTCACCCATCTACCAACACTTTGGTGAAACTCTTTCAGGTGTTTCCACCATTCGTGCCTATGGCGTTGGTAATCGGTTCATTTCTGACAGTTTCTCCAAGGTGGACAATAACAATCGTCCATTCTTTTACTTATGGGTTGCAAACAGATGGCTTTCCTTTAGAATCGATCTTGCTGGTGCGCTGGTTTCATTTTCTTCTGCAGCCATGATTATCCTTAACACCAAGGGCCTGAGTGCTGGTCTTGCAGGTTTGTCGCTTTCTTATGCTCTTACATTTAATGACTATGTTTTGTGGATTGTGCGTTTGTATGCTGTATTGGAGATGAATATGAACTCTATTGAGCGTTTGCAGGAGTACATGGATATTGAAAAAGAGGCGCCAGCTGTTATTGAGGGTTCCCGTCCTCCTGCTAACTGGCCTAGCAAAGGTGAGATTGAAGTCCACGATTTGTCTTTACGTTACGCTCCGGATCTTCCCATGGTTATCAGGAATGTTACATTTAACGTGCCAGCGTTTAGCAAGATTGGCATTGTTGGCCGGACGGGTGCCGGCAAGTCGACCATCATCACGGCGTTTTTTAGATTTTTAGAGGCCGAGACTGGATACATTAAGATTGATGGGATTGACATTTCTAAAATTGGTCTTAGAGACTTGCGACAAAACCTGGCGATTATTCCACAGGACCCCACACTGTTCCAAGGAACAATTCGGTCAAACTTGGATCCCTTTGACCAGTACACAGACGATGAGATATATGAGGCTCTGCGCCGCGTGCATCTAATCAAACCAGAAGAACTGTCGTCAATTGTGCGTCGCATCAAGGGCAAGGGCAAATCTATTTCGAGCGGGCACTCGACACCTTTACGTGCAACAACAGCAATGGACAGCGCTGCATCGTCAGCAATTGCAGCTGCAGCAGCTGCCAAGGCAGCAGAAGGTGAGAATGTGAATCTATTCCATGACTTGAACACTGCTGTTGCAGAAGGTGGGTCCAACCTGTCACAAGGTCAGAGACAGCTCATGTGCCTTGCACGGTCGTTACTCAAGTCACCAAAAGTTTTGTTGCTAGATGAAGCAACTGCTTCAATTGATTATGAGAGTGATGCACAAATTCAAAAGACTATTCGAGCAGAGTTTGCACAAACAACAATTTTGACGATTGCGCACCGACTGCGGTCGATTGCGGATTACGATCGTATCTTGGTGATGGATGCTGGACGTGCAGTTGAGTATGATCATCCTCATGTGCTGCTGCAGAACACCGGGTCTATTTTTTACTCCATGTGTGCTAACTCGGGTGAGCTTGAAACGCTACTGGGTATTGCCCAAGCTGCCTACGAAGCTTTGTAATCTTAAAGTTATAAAATTAATAATTTTTTTTTTTTAAAAAAAAAAATAGTTTATGAACTGTGTGTATTGTATTTCAAAATTAGTAATAAATATAAATCTACTCTTAAAGAAAAGAAATATTTTAACAAGAAACGTTGGAAGTCTCAAGTATGAAAGCAATAGCTTAAGCTATTTTGAGGGGTGGGACGATGGAATATAAATTGAATAAATTTTTTTTTAAAAAAAAAACCCCCCCAAATCATGCCAACCAAATTTGGTTGTATAGAATAAATATAGTTATCATTACTTGATTACTTTGAATATTTTGAATATTTTGAATATTTTGAATATTTTGAATATTTTGAATAGACAAAAACCAGAAAAAATTACCAACCCGCATCACAATTATATATAGTTTAGAAACCTAATTTTATATAGATCCCTTTGTCACGTTTTACAGTTATTAATTATACTTTATTTGGAAAGTTCGATACGTTTTAAAAAAAGGGGTCTTTTTTTTTTTTTTTTTTTTTTTTTTTTTTACATTTTAAGTTATTGCGAGTGTGCATAATACACTTAGAGTGATGAATAGATTCGTTAAGATTTGATATATATGGCTAAAAATATAATAATAATAGCAAGACAAAAAAAAAAAAAAAAAAACAAGAAAGATGACAATGAAAAAAAAAAAAAAGGAGGGAGGCATCATAAAGAGACAAAATGTTACAGAGCAGCCACGGTGGCCGTGGTTGGAGTAGCTGGCACGTCGGCCGCAGCCGCAGCGGCCGCAGAAGCCAGGAACCCATCAACTCGAGAAGCTTTAGTAGGCGTCGAAGGCATGTCGGGGATGCGAGACGAGCAAACCTGCTTTACAATAACAATCTCATCATCATCGTCATCAATTTCTTCTTCTTCTTCTTCTTCATCATCATCCAATTCCTCTAGATCATCTTCGGCGGTTGTTGTCACAGGAGTCAATAGAACACCTTCAGATACTGGCACGTCTTCTACAATAAACGACGTATCATCATCAGCCACAGATACGTCGTCGTCCAGACGTTTCTGGTACTGGGTGCTACGGCTACTCTTCGGAGTCGCAGGAGCCGATGTTGCCGGTGTGTTCACAAGACTTTCAGTACCTTCTTCTTGGACACCATGGCCATCATCTACTTGGTTGGAGTTATCTAGTTCTGACGTTTGTATGAGGAACTCTTGTGTGGTGCCTTGTTGTTTTTCACTAGACTTTTCACCATCTTCTTCAGTACCAGCAATAGGAGACGAGGGGGATGCAGAAACAGTAGCAACAGCAGCAGCAGCAGCAGTCGCCTGATTGAATCGTTTAGATGTCCTCCGTGGAGAACCACCCTTTGGAGATGCTGCGGCGGCAGCAGCTGCGCGGGTGTTTGCTGCAGCAATAGCAGCTGCCGTTGCCTCCTTTGCTGCTGTGGGCGAGAGTGATGGGACTGGGGCAGTAGCTGCGTCAGTGGGGATGGCGAGGGTGACGGGATCTGCAGATGCGCGGCGCTGGTAGGATGCAGTTGCGCTATCTGCGTGGGCCTTGAGACGGTAAAACACGCGTTTCCAGGTGGTTTGAAGCAGGTCTCCTGGATCGATTTTGTTGAGCTGGGCAGGAGGGGTATCATTGTTAATTGGCGGTGGTTTGTCTTGGCCATACATGCAGTAGTAAGGAGTGACTCTGCTAACAGGATTGACATGAGAGTTAAAATCAGTTTCACAGTCCTTTACTACCTGAGTCCAAAGCACTTCTGCACTCTTGTTGTCTCTAGTTTTTTCTTTAAAGAACCGTGTAACACGTTTTTTCGCAGGCTGGAGGCCACCACCAATTTGTGGGCGGAATGCAGAGGTGCGTAGATGCTTAATCTTGTGTTCTATGCAGAGAGCATCAAACTCGCCCTTGAAGCGAGTGCGGCGGCCCGAGGAAATGAGTTGTTCCGGGAAGCCGCCTGCACGGGTGCAGATGGCACTGAAGTGTGTCCAGTAACCTGCTGGAGTATCTGAGCTAGAAACAGCTTCAAGGAAAAGACCCTTTGTAAATCGGTCTTGGACCATGAGAAGACGGTCAAAGCCATCTCCATGGTCAACAAAGCCAGGAAGATAGTCGATACTCATGACCTGGCAGGGTCGGGTAGGGAACTTACGGACGACGCCATCAATGACCTCGCCATCGCCAGTGTCTAGTTTAGCGCCAGCCTCAATGTCCTTATCAAAGAGGTCGTAGTCATCGATGAAATCTGGGGTATCAATTGTGGAAGATGTGGAAGATGAGGTTGAGTCTGAGGTTGTAGAAGATGAGGTCTGTTTCCGTGGTGTTAGGTATTTTGCCTTTTCGCGTTGACGGATTGCCTTATGAACATCAAGAGAAGATGCTTCGAGGCTTTTTACAAGCCACTGATGCTGTTCTACTTGTGTAGTTGGGTCATAGATAGGATGGCCACCGACGTTAAAGTGTTCTGCGTACTTGAGCATGAGTTGCTCGCGGACTTCTGGGTGAACACTGAGAAGCCAAACCTCGAGTTTGCCGCCTGGTTTTGATAAAAACTCTGCGAGCTGGGCCGAGTAGGCGGAAAAGTGATTATAGAATTCAAAGGAGTTTTTGAAGCGCTCATAGTCACGCGCACGCATGTCTAAGGTATAGCGGGTGCGCATGATACGGTTGATTGTGGAGAGAGCACCTGAACGGAGGATCCAATCGACGGGGAGTTTTGAGTTGAGGGTTCTAGAGAGTTGGGTTTTTGTAATTTTGCCACCTGGAGCCTTGGTTACGTAGGTATAAAGCTCTAGCATGAAATAGTAGAGGTCGATTTCTGGGTCATATTTGGGGGCAAAGTCTGTGGGGACATACTCTGTATTTGTTGACGAGGCAAAGGCATAGTCATTGAGTGGGTGGGGCTGGCCTAGAAATGGGAACCAGACGACACCAAACTCGGAGAACTTTGGGATCTCAGACTTGAGACGGGATGACCGTAGTGGGACTTTTGGCGAGAAGTTTCCCATTGGTATTTCTATGAGAAAGAGTTGTTGTTTTTTTTTTTGTTATAAAAGTGGTGATGGTGGTAATAGTAAAGTAAAAGATTGGAAGAAAGGGGTTTTTTTTTTTAAAGAAAAAAAAAAAAAAAAAAAGGTGGTAGTGGTGGTAAAACAGGAAAAAAAAAAAAAAAAAAAAAATAATTCCCCCAAAATCATAAACAAACAAAATAAAAAAATGAAAATAAAAAAAATTCTTAATTTCAGTTATATTTTTAGTTATTTATTATTATTAAATAAACATTGTAGTTAAAAAAAAAATAATAATAATAATGTGCTAAATATATACCCCACGCAAATGCGTATGTCCCAAAGCTACAAGTATTTATTAAATTTATTATTAAATTTATTGTTGTTAGGAATTTTTTATTTTTATTTTTATTTTCTTTCTTTCTTTCTTTCTTTCTTTCCATTTCCATATTGCTTGATCGGGCAATTTGCTCCTTCCTTTGCAAGGCTTAACGTGCTTTTTTTTTTTTTTTTTTCTTTTTAATGTCACTAGCTATTGACTTTCAATTGAATTTTTTAACCAAAGTCTTAGCCTGTTTGATGATATTCTATATAGTTGGTAGACAAATCAGTTAATTGGTCTGTCTTCTAGTAACATCGAGATATCATGTACTGGTGCTTAAATAGAAAGAAATAAAAAAAAAAAAAAAAAAAAAAAGAAACTTCAAAATGACTTCCACCATTCTGGACTTGGAACTTTGGAACATTTGAAAAAAAATTTGAAAATTTTTTGTGAAACTTTTTGTGAAACTTTGCAGAATGGCTGTAAAAACCACAATCAAATATTTTTTAAATGAAATATCCCCAATGTTATTAAGTCAACTTCTCCAGATTTTGAAAGACTTTGTTATTTTATTATTTTTATTATTATTTTTTATATATCTTCTCGGATTTTTTCTCCATAATAATATTAATAATTATTATTTTCTTTACCAATCCTGCTTTTAAAACTTAAATCTTTTACTTTATTTATACCAATTTGTTATAATAAATCCTATTCTTTTTTTTTTTTTAAAAAAAAACCTCCATTTCTTTCTTTTTTCTCTTTTTCATTCGGTCTTCCTCTTCTTCTTCTTTTTCTTCTTCTTCTTCTTCTTCTTCTTCTTCTTCTTCTTCTTCTCTCACTTTTCTCTCCCTCCTTTGTTATTTCTTGTTGGACCCACTGCGCCGGGTTAACTTTGATTTGTAAATAAAAAAAAAAAAAATTCCCACTCCCAAAATGGAGTTTCTACCTTGGTGCCTCTATTCAAGTTTAAATACACTGGGTCCACTAATATGATCATAATCATGTCTTCTTTGTATATATATATATAGTTCTAATTAGAATAGAATAATATAAAAAATAATAGCCACCACTGTTTAAATTTTCAAAAAAAAAAAAAAAAAAAAATTTGACCCAGCTATATCGCGTGTGCATTTGTATTTATCCTTTTAGAAAAATTAAAAAAAAAAAAGTTTTTTTGCTAATTAGTGATACTATTCGGTTTATTCAAAACAATTTTTTAAAAAAATACGCGTTTCGCGTTTCGTGTTTCGTGTTTCGCGTTTTTTTTTTTTTGAAAAAGCCGTATTAAAATTAAAAAAAAAAACCGCGCTTGTAATTCATTCAACCATTTATTGTATAAAATAAAGATAAGCATCTATATTATCAAAACTAGCTTTAAACTGGCTTTAGATATCTTCCCTACCAAATTTTTTTTTTTTTCAATCTGGAAAACTAGTATTATATATTAGAGCTACTCAATTAACTGCCTATTTAAGACAGATTTTTCACACACACACATATATATATATATATATATATATACAATACACAATTAGGTCTTCACTTCAAATCTTCAAATATGTCAGTCTATTATGTATTTTTTTTTTACTTAATCAATCTTTTATCTTATCTTTTATTTTATTTTTCATATCAAATAATACTGCCTAACTCATCCATCTGTCTATCTTCGGCCTTGTTGACGTCTGCTCTTACCAGGACGCTTACCCTTGGGAGCACCACCGCTGCTGCTGCTACCACCACCACCAGTACGGTTAGCCTTCATTCTACGATTGAAATCAGAAACGTCTCCAGAAGATGCTGAATCATTACTCTTCTTAAACTTCTTCTTACCACCAAACCCATATCTTTGGTCCTTGGCCTTGCGCTTCGCATTGAAACTACCACCCTTGTGGCCACCCCGCTCTTCCTTGGCAGCTGCAGCTTCCTCAACAGCAATATCAAAGTCCTCACTTGTCATCTCGTTGCCAGCCCGCTTTCGCTTCAGACCTTGGATCTTATCCAGAGTCGCACGCTTCTCCTTGGCCCGCTCCTGTAACTTGGCGTGTTGCACTTGTTTTCCAAACTTCTTAAGCTCCCTCAGCTTGCGTGCATCTTGTTGCGCTCTCTTGGCAGTCTCGTCCGCAACAAGTTTCGCCTTAAGCTTGTCCATATGCTCATCAGACTTCACCATCTCTGCAAAGTAGTCTGTAGGCCGAGAAAATGGAACCTTATCCCGACGTAACTGTACTCGTGAAAGCTCAACAGCTGCAAGACCTTGCTTGTAAAACCCAAGCTCACGTTCCAAATCGTCAAAAACGTCCTTGATCTGTGGGGCCAGAGGCTCAGGGGAAGTCACACTGAGATGCTCGTTGAACTTGAGACCAGAACCACGTGGCAGTTGAATGGCATGCAGAGCCTGTTGCAGAGCTTGCTTGTTGTTGACTGTAAGCTTCTGAAATGGAATCACGTCAGCATCATCATCAAATTCGGCATCAGAAAGTGCAACATCTTCCTCTTCCTCTTCCTTTTCCTCTTCCTCTTCCTCTTCCTCTTCCTCTTCCTCTTCATCATCATCATCATCATCGTCCTCCTTGTTGTCTTCAATCTCACTTTCGCTGTCGCTCTCAACAAGCTTGTTGGTATCAATAAGCTTGGGCACCTTCTCTTCTTCTTCTTCTTCTTCATCTTCCTCATCCTTAGGCAGCACGTCTTCCAGAGTCTTGCCCTTCTTCTTCAGTTCCTTCTTCAGCTTACGCATGTCTTTCTTAGAAATCGGATGCTCAATGTCAATCTTAGTTTCTTCTTCTTCTTCCTCTTCTTCTGATTCATCATCTTCTTCTTCTTCTTCTTCTTCTGATTCATCAGCCTCAACCTTTTGAACGGGCTTCTTGGGCGCCCGCGCTTGCTGCTTCTTGTTGCCGTTCTTCATCTGGTTCTTAAGCTTGGAATACTCCAAAGCATCTTTCAGTTTCAATTTTCCAACCATTATTACTGTTGTTAATTTGTAGTTATTGTTTAAATTGGTTGTTTGTTTTGGTATAGACAACTAATACCAAATGTTTGTGTGTGTGGTATTGAAAAAAAAAAAAAAAAAATTTCCTTCACATAAAATTTTTTTTTTTTTTTAGGAATTTTTTCGCGCCGCATTACATTTATTTCTCATTAATCTTGTAACAAACCCATAACTAACTCATTACATAATATATATGCGGCTGGCCTATTCAATGCTCCGAATCACGGTGAGAATCCGCCGCAGAGCCTCGGCGTCTACATTGTGTTCCGCTTCCAGCTCGCCAATGATTTCCTCTGCAACAGCTCCATACTCGCCCAGCACGGCCCGCGTGTGAGCAAAAGTATTGGTTGCGCGCTCCATATACTCAACAGCATAAGTCTTGAGCGATACATCTTTGGTTTTTTGTTTCAGAATGTTGAGTAATTCCTTATTGCCCGGAGCTGCGCGTATGCTATGGATAATTGGGAACGAGAACTTGCCTTCAGTGATATCTTCACAAAAACCCTTGTTGTTGGAGTACTTCATTATTGTTAGAAAATAAATGTGATCTGGAGTTTTTTTATTTTGGATACTTACATTTTTCGATTGTAGATTAAGATAGTCATCTTGGATCTGGTATATGATGCCAAACACGTTTGCCAATGGAATCAAATCACTAATGATGTTAATTAAAAATTCAATTTGAGAATTCTTTTTGCTTTTTTTTTTTTGCTTTTTTTTTTAAAAAAAAATACTTACATTTCCACGTTGCTAATTTCTTGCATAAGTCGAACAGCAAGTCGATATAATCCTCCAGTTTCTAATCAGTTAGTAATAAACTCTTGTCAATGTTTCAATCTTACTCACTATTCATCACCATATCGATATATTCTTCTTCAGATGGACAAGTAAGCGTATCGCGCCAGTACAGATCAAGACCCTGGCCACGGTGCAGATTTAACAGTTCATCTGTGAAAATGGCTACGGCTCTGTCTGAATGTAAATCACGGACCCTAGCAAGGGCCATAAAGTAGATATAATTCGAAGTATTGATTGTTTGTGCGGTGCCAAAGATGGAGTGTGCAACAGGGAAACCACGCCGCAGATCGGCAGAATCTTCAACGTCATCGATTCTAAAAGATGATATGTTTGTTAGTGGAAAAGAGATTATATAAACCTTTTTTTTTTTCATTTTAATTTATTTTATTTTCAGAATAGAAATCACTTACAATAAAGATGCAGTATGTAGCATTCCTATGATTTCACTAATGATGGCCAGGGCAGCCGAATCAACCTGTAACACCATATTGAACGCCAATACTAGCCGCCCGCGCATGTCCTTACCAGGCAAATTTGTCAGGTAGTTGTAAGGGCCTAGCAGGATCTACAAATATTGAGAAAAACAATCATGATTTGTGTTAGAGAGGTTTACCCCAGGTTGGATCGGATTTGCATGTGGAACTGAACGATTTTTTTTCTTTTTCTTTTTCTTTTTTCAGTCTTACCTCTTGGTTGGCTTCAGTCCAGTAAGTATCTTTAGCAAGAGATTGACGGCGACGAGCCACAGCTTCTGAGTCTAGTTTTTGATCTGGCATGGTAGTGATTTCTTGGAATAGATGGTTTTCAATAACGAGGGGTTTGTTTTTTAAAAAAGAAAAGTATTTCTCAAAAAAAAAAAAAAAAAAAAAAAAAAGGTTATAAACTTTTTTTTGACGTGGTGATTCAAGATGGCGTAGTCAGACGATCGGAGGGGGGCAAAATGGCAGGCAATGGGAAATGACACAAAAGCAGCTAAGTCAATCTGGTAAGTCAGCCGTATGTTACTTTATATAAAGATACCCAGTATGTTTTCTTTAAAAGTAACTTTTCATTAACCAACGTCACAACCACCACCACCAAAATACCAAAAATACCAAAAAAAAAAAAAAAAACTCACTTTCATCTCCAGTTTATCCCAACTTTTTTCAAAACTGAAAACGTCCTTGGACTTAATTCTTTTTTACTCTTCAACCTATTGCATTTTCTTTCCAGCTTTTTTTTTTTTATCAATAATTCACCATGGACATTGTAGCCTTTGAATGGCTGATGCAAATGCCCCTTGCATCCCGGGTTCTTGTTGTCGCCATCCTCGTTTCTTCCACCTACCGCCGCGAGATTCAAGCCCGGTTCCTCATATCGTCGTCATACTTCCCACTGCTGGACTACGCAGGCCCGCTGCTGACCAACTCTTTAGTCTACGTGTGGGCACGGCGCCATCCACACGAACAACTATCGTTACTGGGGCTTGTTGCGTTCCGCGCACCATATCTGCCGTGGATCATGCTTGGAGTCGGCGTGCTGATGGATGCATTGACAGGACGAAGGCAGACTGGCGGGTCTGGGGATGGAGGGATTTTATCATGGATTGGAGGGATCCAAATGGCTGTTGACTTGGCGGGTGTGTTTATAGGCCACGCATACTTTTTTTGGTCAGATGTGCTTCCAGAAATGTACCCGGCTGAAGGTAACGGGGGACCGTTTACTCAAGTTAATGAGTGGGTCCGCAGAAGAGCAGATACCTTAAGACAGCAATGGAGACATGAGCCTGTGGAGATTCCTGTGGATGAAGTGGCACGGCCTTTACGCCCACGAGAGCATCATGAACAACGGCCAGCAGCAGTTGCAGTACCAGCAGAGCAATTAGACACTGTGCAGGCACAGCAGCAGCCGCAGGTTTATTAAAGGATTTTTCCAAGGTTGGGGGTAAAAAAATGGATAATGATGATGATGATGATTGAGTTATTGTTTTCATTCTGTGATCTAAAAAAAAAAAAGAGTTTTTTTAACGTCGAAAGGCTACAAGCCATTGAGTTTAATTGAAAAAAAAAAAAAAAAGAAAAGGAAACTACCTTTTTATTGTATTCGTTTACATATTGCATCTGTATATTTATAAATCCATGATTTTTTCAAGTGAATTTTTTTTTTTGTCCAAGTCAAAATACAAGTGTGATGGTTAGTTAAATTACTTTGATTCAAGGCTAAACTCAAACGTTTGTTCTTGTTCTTGTTCTTATCCATACAAGATAGCATTGTAGCATTAAAATGTAGCAGCAGGTTGTTTAACAATTAGCTTCAAGGATGGACTAAGTGTGGATGAGACAATGATTACAAGAGTACTATTGGATTTGATGTTGGGGTATTTTGAGATTTGTTAACTATAGTAAGGTATCATCAAGATATACATGTATGAAGAAGTAAAGGACATACTTTATTTTTTTTTTTTTGATTTTATGGCTTGAAGTATGGGTATTTCAAAGAATCGAATGGAAGGTGATACTGTAAGTATGAATTTATGAATATATCTATGAAGGGTATTTAAAGATCTTAATCTAGCCATTTTTCATTAATATTTATGAAAATAGATTCAGTCAATCAAAAAAAAAAAAAAAAAAAAAAAAAAAAAAAAAGTTATGATTATAAAGAAAAAGATTTGCATTTAGTTAATTTCTAGCAAGTATGTATAAACAGATTGAAATAAAATAAGTAAATAAATAAATCAAAAAAAAAAAAAAAAAAAAAAAAAAAAAAAAAAAAAAAAAAAAAGTTTCATTTATTTCCTCTTCTTATTATTCTCCTTCTTTATTTATCGTTTAACTTCCGATTTGACTAGTTGAATGTTTTTTTTTTTTTTTTTTTAAATTTGAAAAAATTTCAAAAGTTGGGCAACTCAAAAACTTATCAAAGTCTTTAATAAAAAAAAAAAAAAAATCTTTTTCATTTAAAAGAACCTTTGAAAAAAAAAAAAAAAAAATACCAACCCCAAAGTACCTGGTTTAAAAGAAAAAAAAAAACAGACCTTTCCATAGACTATTTTGTTTATATATTTATATCCAAATAAAGAATTTATAACCTGCTTCGTTTTCTTTTAATCTAAAATGTTATTTAAAAAAAAAACACACACACACACACATTTTAACCGCCTGTCAGCCGTTGCTAGTTCCTTTTCCTTTTTTTAGTTCTCTGAAAGTTGTTCAAAGTATAAGATGAAGCAAAAAAAAAAAAAAAAAAAAAAAAGATTTTTGAAATTTTGAAATTTTGAAATTTTGCCAGCACCTTTGTGTGTTTCACCACCCTCCCCCACATTTATATACAAAGACCTTTTTTTTTTTTTTTTTTTTTTTTTTTTTTTTTCCTATATAAATATTTGGGTTCGTTTTTTAATTTCTTCTAAATATATTTTAAAGAATATGAATAAAAAGAAAAAAATTTAAATTGAACCCGCATATTTCTTTCTTTTATTATTATTATTATTATAAAAACTATTTCTCTCTCTTTTTTTTTTTTTTTTTTTTTTTTTTTTTTGGTTCTCCTCGAGGAATTCCAACACTAAATTTAAACCCATTTTAATATGCACGCAAATCTTTTATATATAAAACAAACAATTAATTAACAAAAAAAAAGAATAAAAGAAAGAAAGAAAGAAAGGCCTCTTTTTGAGAAAAAATCAATTTTTTCTTTTTTATTTCAAATATTCTCTTGGCAGATTTTCATAAACATTGTAAGTAATATAAATATTAAGCAAAAAAAAAAAAAAAAAAAATTGGGATTTGCGGTAAGATGTTATTTTTTTGTTATATAGAACCAATATAGTTTGCTATATTGGAAAAGTCAATGAATTATTTAAAAATAAATAAAAAATAAAAAATAAATAAAAAAGCAATTGTAAATTATTAAAAGTTCGTTAATCAATTCTAAGATAGTAGTTTTATATCTTCACTTTGAAACTAGTTTAATATTGTTCCAAGTTTCTTTTTTTTTTTTCATTTGCAATTGAATCGTTATAGTTTATTTTTTTTTGTTTTTTGTTTATGAGTGTTAAAATAAACTACAAATTTATTTTCAAAATGTATTTATTAATATTAATAATTAAGATCCATCTCTAAAGCTTTCTAATCCACCAAAACTTTATTGAAATAACTTCATCAATCTTAATTTTTTTACCTCAATTGTTCTATAAAAAAAAACAAAAAAATGGCAAAGGGATGATGATGATGATAATGATGATGATGATGATGATGATGATGATGATGATGATGATAAAATACAATACGGGACTTCATTTTGTAGTTTGTTTTTTTTTTCTTGACATACAAAAAAATAATAATAAGAATAATAATAAATGTTTTTTTATAAGTTCAATTCAATTCTCTATAATCACAAACACAAATAAAACGAGTTATATTTATATTTATAAAGATTACTAAATCAATTTCAATGATATTGCCTAAATCCATCCAAAAGCTTTCTTTCATTTTTGTTTATTTATTTTTATTTTTTTTTTTGTTTCTCATGTTTTATTTCTCTTCATTCTTCGGCATTTAAAAAAAAAAAATTTAAAAAAAAAAATTTAAAAAAAAAACCCTTCCTAAAAAGAACCCTTTACAAAAAAAAAAAAAAAATATTGATTTACCATTGATATACAATTCCCATCCAAAATGGGTTTTTTAAAAGGGGGGGGCGGAAGTGAATAAAGTAAGTGAATAAGAAAGGGATAAATGGATGGATAGGAGGAAGGTAAAAAAAAAAATTAAATAAATAAATTAAATAAATTAAATAAATTAAATAATAAAAAAAAAAAAACGGCCCGTGAATATAAAATTAAAATTTAGAAAAAAAAAAAAGCGCACAATTTCCGGTAAACCCAGATTTGTATAATTTGGTCCGGTATATCGTGGTAGTTTTAGTTGTAGTTTTAGTACATAATTTCAAGGGACTTTTTCTTTTTTTCTTTTTTTCTTTTTCAATTAAATTGTCATTTTTGTTTTATAAAGGGTAGGAATAATTTATAAATGAGAGAGAGAGAGAGAGAGAGAGAGAGAGAGGGAAAAAAAAAAAAAAAAAAAAAAAAAAAAAAAAAAAAAAAAAAAAAAAAAAAAACACTCATAAAAATGATGTAATCGCGGAGACCTCGCGGGGCCCACAAAATGTAGTAGAAGCGGTGTTTTATTTTTATTATTTATATTTATATTTATATTTATATTCAATATATATATATATATATAGAAAAAGAAAAAAAAAAAAGTTACTATAAGAAATGAATTTTTCATTAGAATGGAAAAAGGCCAAGTCGCAAAGAAGATAATAAATAAAAATAAAAAACCTTGTGCTCATGTCGCTAATTTTCATACGTTCATTCATAATCATTTTTAATATATATATATAAATAAATAAAAAGCCTCACTAGAAATTTTTTAATGTTAAAGTTTCAATGCTTTAACTTCAACTGAATATATTGTATATATAATATATACAATAAAAAAAAAAAAAAAAAATTTGGTTGAATTATTTTCATTATTATTATTATTATTATTTTTTGTACATGTTTTTGTTTGTTTGTTTGTATTCATAACTTTCCATCTCATTATATACTATTTATTTATTTTTTTTTATATATATTTTAAATCATTTCAATAAATTCTTCTTCTTCTTCTTAGGTTTTTTTTTTTTATTCATTTTCTTCGTTATCATTTTTTTTTTTTTGTTCTTTATATTCATAGCTTCTTAGAAAAAGGCATTCAATGAATCAAAAACAAAGTCTGCAGTAGACCCCACAAGTGCTTCATCAACATCTTGTGGAATTGAATCAAAATCAAGACCCAAATCATCCATTACAGAAGAACATTTCCGGATAGGCATCGTAACTGCTGCTGCTGTCAAACTCTTATTATTAGAGTTTACTATACTATCCTCAGTAATAGGCATCACAACTGACGATGAATCTTTAAGATCGAAAAAATCAAAGTTAAAGTCCAAATCAAGGCCAGCCACTTTAGCACATGAACCACAATCGTCGTCACCAGGAAACATAGTCACCACACTAGATGCCCGAGATCGATCATCATCTTCTTCACATCCGCTGTTGTTCATGCTGCCATTATTACTGCTACTACTATTTAAAGCAGGCACTTCAAAGCAAGTGGTGGTTGTAGAAACAGATGAATCATGACGAGTAAAAAAATCAAGAGGTTCATCAGCACATGTAGAGTTTGTAGAAGCAGAAGACTCTTCTTGAAGCCAAATAGAGCACAGCTCGCTGGGTTCCTGGCTAGTGGTGTTAGCAGCTGCAGCAACGGCAGCAGCTGCAGCAACAAGAGTTGACTCATCAAGAGTGGGAGAGTAGAGTGAGACCGGTGAATCAAGGTCAATGGCCTGGGTGAGGGCCTCCACATCACGAAGAACGTTTGCATCGATTTCCTCGTCATCATCATCATCCTCATCATCATCCATATTGATGTTAAAGTCCTGGAGACGGAAAGACGTTAGCGAGGATAAGGGTGTGGGCAGTGCGGCTAACACACTTGCTGTGCCAGTAGACGATGATGCCGCTAGTTCCGATGAGGAAATTTCCTGCAGTGTTTGGGACTGCAGCTGGTGCTGCTGCGGCTGCTGCGGCTGCGGCTGTGACGGCGCATCGAGAGACAAACTAAGTGAGGAAAATATGTCTGAGCTAAAAAGACCAAAAGTCAAGTCGTCGTCGGTCGGCGCCATGCTTAATAGATCCGAAGAATGGATTGCCGCTGAAAGGGGAGGCGATGGGGATGAAGAAGCAAGTGGAGAGGACTTGGACGACGAAACTGAAGATGGAGGAGTAGGCAGATCGGCAAAGTAAGAGTTAGTAGTGGTGTTAATAGTAGGCAAAGGCATTATGGGTTTCGCTGCAGGCTTAGCTGTAGACTTTGCAATGGGCTTAACAGTGGGCTTAACAGTGGGCTTAACGGTGAGCTTTGAGGAAGAAGAAGCAGCCTTATTATTATTATTAGTAGTAGTAGTAGCAGTAGCAGTAGTAATAGGCTTTGTAGGTTTGGTAGACTTTGCAGGCTTTGTAGACTTTGTAGGCTTTGAAGACTTAGCGGTAGTCTTCTTGGGAACAATGAGAGGCAATGTGGCTGGGTCCTTGGACGCAATGGAGGCAAGCACGGCCTCTGTCTTTTTCTTATTTGCAAGAGAGGAAGAGGTAGGATGGATAGAGGATCGTTTTCGCGAGGCGGCGCCAGCACCACCGACGCGGGCAGTGGCGGGCACAATGGGGTGGAGGTGCTTTTCTTTGGAAACAAGGTTTGCCGGGGAAATTGCAATGGGGATGGTGGTTGGAGGGATGTTTGTGGCAGAGGAGGAGGGATGGGAGGGAACTACGGAATCGACAATGTGAGAATTAGATGGCGGATAATTGGGGCTGGGAGGCTCCAAGGGGGCGAGCTAGATAGCATACCTTTTCGGGACTTTTTGGGTTTGACTGGTTTAAGATTAGAAGAAGAAGTAGGGGAAGAAGAAGAAGAAGAAGAAGAAGAAGAAGAAGAAGAAGAAGAAGAAGTAGTAGTAGAAGAAGAAGAAGAAGAAGAAGAAGAAGTAGAAGAAGAAGAAGTCATGGGCGTCATAAGAGGTGAGGAAGTCATTACGGGAGTAGTCATCAATTTGGTCGTAGCAGTCGTGGTCTCTGTTGAGGAGATTGTTGGTTGTTGTTTTAGTTTGTTGGCATTAGGTTCATTAATCATAAGGGGTTTTTTCATATTCTTGACAAGGGTAGAAAGATTGGATAGTTGTTGTTGTTGTTGTTTTTGTTGTTTCAAAGATGAACTCATAGAAGACGATGATGGTTTACGAGATCGAGGAGCCGCAGAAATCGCAACAACAGCAGGAGGACGAGCTGTGGAAGTAGCAGTAGTAACAGGAGCAGCAACAACTACTGGGCGCTTTTGTTGGACTGCGCTAGAGGCTTTTGTTACCAGAACTGAGCCATTAAGAGAAATCGCTGCTTGTTTTGGTGCTGTCTGTGCAAGAGCTGGTGCTGGTGTTGTTGTTTGTTTTGTCACTTGTGAAAGTTTCAAATTTTGCTTGCAAGGCTGCTGCTGTTGGCGTTGTTGTTGGCGTTGTTGTTGTTGTGGTTGTTGCTGCTGCTTAGCCAAAGGTGTAACGCCGCGCGCCATAACGGAACTTTTCAAGGCTGGTGACATCAGTCCCAATTTGGAAGTTGCAGCAGCCGATTCCGGAGAGGGTCGGAGCGAACCGGCATTGGCATGAGCATTGGCATGAGCATGGACAGCGGCATTGGCAACAGCTGCAACTGCACTTGCAAGTGTTACGGCAATGGGTTTAGGGACGGATCCATTGGATTGAATTGAGCAATTGTTGGGAATGGGTTTGTTGTTGTTGTTGTTGTTGTTGATGTTCATGTTGCTGGTAGAGTTACTCACAGTAGAGGGTTTAGGCAAAAGTGGGCGATAAAGAGGACGAATTGGAACGTACTTTGTCTTAGGGAGAGAAGTAGCTGTTGCACAAGCCACTACTGGGAGTTTTGCCGAGACTGTTTTAGAAAGGGTCTTTGCGGCCAATTGTGGAGAAGGAGAAGAAGAAGTAGTGGTAGTAGTAGTAGTAGTAGTAGTAGAAGACACAGCAAGAGGGGGTTGGATAGAAGAAGAATGAGGTAAAGAAGATGGGGAAGAATGAGACAAAGTAGTTGGTTTTCTGTGGATGGTACGAGATTGAGCCAAAGAGTTGAGTCTACTAGCCATGACAGCTGCAGGGGCCTGCTGAGAGATAGCCACGTGGTGCTGAGTACCGTTAAGGCTAATTGTTGAAGATGGAGGAGGAATAGAAATAGCAGCAGCAGCGGTAGTAGTATTAGTAGAAGAAGTCAACTGATTGGCACCTTGAATAGAAGAAGAAGTAGTAGCAGAAGCAACAACATTAGCAACATTAGGGTTAGAAGTTTTGATTGAAGAAATGTTGTTATTGTTGTTATTGTTGTTACTGTTATTATTGTGATGGAGATGGAGATGATGATGATGATGGTGATGATGGTGATGGCTATTTTGCTGTTGCATGAGCTTCTGATGGGCTTGAAGAGCAGCCTTGAGAGCAGCAGTGGCCTTTGTAGTAGCCGGGTTATGTTGAGGATGTTTTTTAGTAACAGCAATAGGAGCTGCAGATCCTGGAGTTGAACGCTTGACTGCAAGAGCTGCAGGTTTCTGCTGCTGTTGCTTCTGCTGTTGCTTTTGAATTGCAGAAGAAGATGGAGGAGGAGTAACTTGAAGCATTTTTTATTTTCGTTTTGATTTTAAAATAAAAATTAAAAGATTTGTTATAATGAGAGGGAGGAGTTGTTTTTTTTTTTGTTTAAATTAAGAATAGGTAAATGATTGATTGATTGATTGATTGATGGCAACTTATAAGAATGGATGAAGAATGTATATACGTAGGCTATATATACATGTGATGAGTGGGATGGTCATGCAAAAACGCTTGAGAGGGAAAGTAAAAGTGGGTGGGTTAAAGTTGATTAAAGTAATTTGAAGAATAGATTGGAAAAAAATATGTATATATATATGATATTGATTGAAAAATATATATATATATATATTCAGATATAATTGGGTTGTAGAATAGTTAATAGATAATTGAGAGTGAAAGTAAAAGTAAAAGTGAAAGTGAAAGTGCGAGTGAAAAATTCAAACAGCAGACATAAACAACAAATTGATGATGATGATTAAGATTAAGATGTTGATTAAGATGATTAAGATGATTAAGATGATGATTAGCAGGAGGGGTAAGAGATCTTCTTCTTCTTCTTTTTTTTTTTTTTTTTTTTTTTTTTAAAAAAAAAGGGGTGTGGGAGGGAAACCTAGGCTTTATATATAAAAAAAAAAAAAAAATTCCGGGGAGAACGGGAGAAAGAAAGAAAGAAAAAAGGTGTGTGTGTGTGTGTGTGTGTGTGTGATGTATTTTTGGTAGTGGTTATTATTATTATTAAAATATAATAATAATAATTATATATATACATGTTGAATATGAAAGAGAAAATAAAAAAAAATAAAAAAAAAATAAAAAAAAAATAAAAAAAAAAAACGACGGGGACGAGAGGATTTCTTTTTTACATTTTGACATTTAAATTTTTTTTATTTTTTTTTTATTTCACTTTTTAAATATATATATATATTCTATTTAAATATTAATATAAAAGATTAATTGATTGATTGATAGATTGATAGATTGATAGATTGATTGATGATTTTGAAGAAAAAAAAAATTTTGATTCTTTTCAATTTAAATTTTTAAATCTCGTTTTTTTTTTTTTTTTTTTTTTTCAACCTTGTCGGGGTTTAAGGACTATATTTTGAAAAAAAAAAAAAAAAAAGAACCCGGTTCAAGGGCCAGAAATTTTATTTTATTTATTTTATTATTTGAGAGATTTAGGTCTTCTCTATTATTATTATTATTATTATGCGTTTAAATTTTATAAAGAACATTCATTATTTTAAATGAAACACATTAATCCAAGATTTCAATTCTCTTTTTTTTTTTTTTTTTTTTTTTTTTGAATTTAAATTTATTTGATATATAATTATAGATATAGATATAGATTTAAAGATTCAATAAATAAATTATCATCATCATCATCATTTTCTATTCTTTTATTTTTATGTGATTTTTTTTTTATTTTTTAATTTTTTTATCTTTTTAATTTATTATTATTATTTTATTTATTTATTTTATTTTTTTACCTCTGGTCCGAATCCGGACGTAGCCATTCTCCCCAGAACCCAAAAGCCCGCGATGGTTGACAACTCATCTTTTACGACAACAACATATATATATATAGCAAACAACCAACACCAACACCAACACCAACAACAAAAATTTTTTTTTTTTTTTTTGATTTGTGTAGTTTTTTTTTTTTTTTTTTTCTTCTTTTCTTCAAAAATAAAAATAAAAATAAAAAAAGAATATATATCAATATTTTAAATTCTTATAATAATTCTAATATTGAAGTTTAATTATATTAAGATATATTTAAAAAGTTCAATAAAATAACCTCTCTCTCTCTTTTTTTTTTTTTTTATTTTAAATCCCGCCCTGCTTCGGTCTTTCTCCCGTTTTAGTAGTATTTGGCAGCACCACCACCACTTGTAGTTGTAACAGCAGCCCATGCTGGTCCATTCATTTATTTTTTTTTTTTTTTTTTTTTTATTTTTTTTTTTTTTTTTTTTATAATAACAGAATTTAAGAATTTATTTTTTTTTTTTTTTTTTTTTTTTTTTTTTCAAAAGTAATTACTTTATAAGTACTAACTCACTCACTCGTAAAACAATGGCAAACCGTTGGGCGTCACGCTGCTTCTTTTTTATTTATTAATTTATTTATCAATTTATTTTTAAAGCTTCTAAAGGTATTCAGCCGAATCTCTCTGCACTGCTACTATTCAAAAGATCATCATTATCATCATCATTATTATTATCATTATTATTATCATTATTATTATCATTATTATTATCATTATTATTATCATTATTATTATCATTATTATTATCATTATTATTATCATTATTATTATCATTATTATCATCAGCTGCAATATTAAATTTATATTTAACAATTCGTTATCTTTTTATCTATTTTTTTATAAATATTTAAATTCTTTTTTAAAATCAATAACCTCAATCATTTTTTAATTCTCCATTCTCAATTTTCAATTTTCAATTCTCAATTCTCAATTCTCAATTCTCAATTCTCAATTCTCAATTCTCAATTCTCAATTCTCAATTCTCAATTCTCAATTCTCAATTCTCAATTCTCAATTCTCAATTCTCAATTCTCAATTCTTAATTCTCAATTCTCAATTTTTATTTTTTATTTTATTTTATTTTTATTTTTATTTCACATACAAATATTTTTTTTTTTTTTTTTTTTTTTTGGGGATTTTTGGTTCTGGTTCGCATAAGTATGCTTACTTAAGCCTAATTTTGCTGACTACTACAGTTAATGCTGATGTGAAAAACGTTTCTTTTTTTTTATATTTTTTTTTATTTTAAAAAATAAAAAATGTTTATATAAGCAATACTTTTTAATCACCTAAATGGGAATTTTATTTTGTACGTTTAAAAATTATCTTTTATCACCACCAATTTTGATGTTTTTTTTTTTTTTTTTTTTTTTTTTTTTTCAATTAAAGACCCCGTGTTTATGAAATATAAAATAAAAATAAAAATAAAAAAAAAAACGTTTTATATATGTCTTTTGATTAATCTAAATTTTGTTTTTTTTTTTTTTTTATTTTTAAATAATATCATCATCAATCAGATCAAATTAATTTAAACCATTATTTTTTTTATATAGATATCAATGTCTTGAAAATATCTTTATTCTTCATTTTTTTTTTTTTTGAAGTTTTTGAAAAAAAAAATAAAAAAGAATAATGATTTAACAAAAATCATAATGGTATTTTACCCTTTTGAGAATAATAAAATAAAAAAGGACCCGTTTTATTTTATTTTATTTTATTTTATTTTTTTTTTAATTGTTGCTACCACTGCTGCTGCTTCTTCTTCTTCTTCTTCTTTTTCTTCGGCCACGGCTGACACTACTAATTAGTAGTATATATATATATATTATTAATATTATTATTTAGAGTAGTTATTAACAACTATTGTTGCTTTTCTGCTGCTGCTGCTGCTACGGCTACTTCTGCTGCTACGGCTACTTCTGCTGCTACGGCTACTTCTGCTGCTTCTACTGTTGTCATCTTTTTTCGGCTCGCACGGACCAAAGCGAACCCAAAATACCGCGCGCGTACTGTAATAAATTTTATATATTTTTATTTTTTTAAAAAATTAAAAATTAAATTTCTCGTCTAGGTTAAGGGTTCGCTTTTTCTTTATATATTTAAAAATAAAAATAAAAGATATATACGTGGTTCACAATTTTTTAATATTAAAAAATAAAAAAAAAAATAAAAAAAACTTTCTGTACGCGGCATATTTCGGATCAACCATCTTTGTTCAATTTAAGTCTCATATATCATCATCATTATAATTATCATACTAGAAAACTTCATTCCAACATGTGCCATATATATATAAATTAAACATCAAATATCTTTCAAAATAAAAATTACTATCGATAAACTATTTTATATTATAAAAAAAAAAAAATAAAAAAAAAACCCTTTTTCAAAGTATAAACATTCTAAATAAAATAGATCAAATCACTTTTATCAAAGTATCTATTTCAAAAGTAATTAAAGTAAATATATCTTCAATAATCTTTCTTAATTAATTGAATCATTAATTAACTAAATTAACTTCCCTTACCATTTATAATATATATATTCTCTCTTTCTTTTTTTTTTCTTTTCAATTGCAATAGTCTTTATCTTTAAATCATGTAAAAACCAAAAACCAAAAATTAAAAATTAAAAATAAAAATAAAAATACACTGTGGGGAAATGATATATAAAAAAAATTATCCATGATCTTTAATATATATATTCTAACTAGCTTATTACAAATATTAATCGTAACAACAACCCTACATATCCGGTATATTCCATATATACAACAATAAATACTCCCTTTGAAATCCTCCTTTGAAGTACTTCTCCTTCTTTGAAAGAAAAAAAAAAAAGAAAACACTACCGAGTCATTACTATTTTCCTTCTTGTTCTCTCCTTGATTAATCCAAGTTTTGAAATTCTAAAACACAACTATTTTAAATATATTTTTTAAAACTAAATATCTCATGTTCTTTTTTATTTTTTTTTTCTTGTCTCCATTTTTCTTTATTCTCTCTTTTTTTTTTTTTTTTGTATTAATCTCGAGGTCTTTGTTTTTGATTTTTTTTATTTTTTTCATGTACAAGTAATTATTAAAAAAAATTTTTTTTTTTTTTCAAAATATTATTTCAGTTGGACCAAATAATAATAATAATAATAATAATAATAATAATAATAATAATAATAATAATAATAATAATAAAGCTTCTTTTATCTACCTACCTACCCTCCCTCTAATCCGGGGGAGGAGGGGTTCTGCTTCTGCTTCTGCTTCTTTATTATTGTTAAAACTTTGATTCTTTAAGGTTCTGAGTAGAGTGATATGGCTGAACCCAGGTGGGGTGGTGGTGCTGGTAATGGTGGTGATTTATTAACACCTAATTTGGTGTTTATACATTGAAATGAATTTTTAAACTAAATCCATCATCATCACCCACAAAGAAAATGAAAAATACTTGTCCTTTTGAATCAATCAATGCTTTAATATTATTTTACTCTAGATTTCTAATTCAATCCTTTTTATTCATTTTTTTTAAAAAAAAAAAAAACCTCTTTTGAAAGATATATTTAAACAGGCCTTGAAAAAAAATCATTTAATATACTTATTATTATTATTATTATTATTATTATTATTATTATTATTATTATTATTATTATTATTATTATTATTATTATTATTATTATTATTATTATTATTATTATTATTATTATTATTATTATTATTATTATTATTATTATTATTATTATTATTATTATTATTATTATTATTATTATTATTATTATTATTATTATTATTATTATTATTATTATTATTATTATTATTATTATTATTATTATTATGACACCCCATCCATCCATCACCATCAATATATTTACTACTGCTTCCGCTTCTCCAGATTTTTTTATTTTTTTATTTTTTTTCAGTGCAACATGCTCAAATTTTTTGCTGACTATACTCATCTTAATCTGCTGACTATGTAGCTGACATAATCACTTAAAATTTTTTTTAAACTTTTTTTAAAATAAAAAAAAATTTTTCATCCATTTTTCCCCGTTTCTTATATAATTAAAATAAAATAAAATAAAATAAATTAAATTAAATTATAATATTATCATAATAAATTTACTGTTAAGCAGAGATCAGGGAAGAAGAAGAAAAGACTTTTTAATAATAAGATTTAAAAAAAAAAAAAAACTGAAATTCCTTCTATCTTTCTTTCTTTCTTACTTTATTTATTTCTTTATTAAGCTGTTTCTATTGTTATTAAATAAAACTATAATATAAGACAACTGTATTTTTCCCCGACTTTCGGCGATTCTTTTTTTTTTTCATTCTTCTTCATACAATTATAATTATAAATAAATAAATTAAAATATTTGAATGGTCACCAAAAAATCATTTCTAATGAACACTCTGGCGGTTCAAGCACCCCCCTCCATTAATCTCTAAAAATAAGAAAATAAAGAATGAAAATAAAAAAAAAATAAAAATTTGCTCAACTTTTTTATTTATGTATTTATGTATTTTTTAGAGTAATAACTTTCCCTAAAATAGATTTTGAATCTTATATCGCACTCCGCATTTCACCATCATGATCATCAATAATCTTTTCTCTTTCCTTAAACTTTTTTTTTTTAAAAAAAAACAAAAATCAATAAATTATAGCCGTACAGCCACATTTCTGTGGAGAAAAAAGAAAAAAAATTTTTATTAATAATTATTATAAGAATATTTTTTTTTATTATACAAGCAATATTGATCTCATATCAAATGTTATTTCCAATCTCTTAAAATTCTTCTTTAACATTGAATCATCACATGATCATTTAAATTTTTCATTTTAAAAACAAAAACAAAAATCAAAATCATAATCAATTAATCGATATACAAAATGAAAATGAAGATTTCCCCAAAATCATTACAATTCATAAAATCAATGTTCAAAAATGATAAATATAAACAATCAATCCGTAAAAAAAAAACCAAATATATTTTTTTGAACTCTTTTTTTATTGTTTTCATTACAAATTTTTACTCTTCAAATCTCTAGCACTCCCCAAGCCTAAAATTCAAAACATTTAGACCTTGAAAGCACGAGAGTGGCGGCGGCCACGAGCACGCTCAAACTTGCGGCCCTTGGAAAGAACTCTGGGAGCCTTCTTAGAGTTAGGACCAAAGCCAAAGTGTCTAACAGCCTGTCTGCGAGCTCTGTCACCCTTAACAAGGACAGCGTCCTCACCAGTAGGAGTGCGGCGAGCAAGCTGATCAAGAGTGAGGGCCTCACCGCCAGCCTTAACAATGCGAGCACGGGCAGTGGCTGTGAATCTCAGAGCAGCAACAGTCACCTTGGGGACCTCAAGAAGACGGGGGTCGTCAGTGACAGTGCCAACAACAACCACAATCTTGCCAGCAGCAATAGAACCCTTCTTGAGCTCAGTAGCAAGGTCGGCGGTCGACACAGGGGGGCGGTTCGTCTTGGAGAGGTAAAGAGACTGGAGAACAGTCTTGTTGAGCTCAGAGTCAGTGCGGCGGGCAAGGACGCGGTACAGCTGAACAAGCAGAGCCAACTGGGGGTTGGCAGACTTGGGAGCCTGACGTTGGCTGTTTCTGATGTGCTGCTTCTTAGTGTGATCTATACCCATGGCGAACTATCGGTGTCGGTGGTCGAGATATGGTGGCAAAACGGGGGGAGACGGACTGGTAAAAAGAGAAAGGAAGGAGAGGGAGGATAGGGAAGCCTGCAAAAAAAAAATTTTTTTTTTTTCTTTACTGAGTGTATTACTGTGTAACAACAGTTTTTGGGTTTAACGGTGGGTGGTGTAAAGCTCAAAGTAAATTTGTGTGATATTACTTAAAAATGTTGTAACTGCGGCTCAATTTTTTTTTTTGCAACACCATAGACATGAAAACAACTTGGACTGTCATCTTCTCAATCAAGAAATGAGTTATATTTTGTGTCTGCGTGTATACCTCAGCATTAAGTAGTATTGATCCTGTAAAAGGGCTAAACCCTAAATACATATGACTTAGGACTTTTTATTAAGCTCAAGTCTTTTCTACCGATAAGACTTGGATCTCTTATCTTAACTTTGAAAATAGGTTTCAAAAATATATATATTAGGAAAAACAAAAAAAAAAAATGAGCTTAAAAAAATAATACATCACCACCACCACCACCACCATCTATTTATCTACAATACAATCATAGCATAACAACCAACAATGGCCACTACAATAGCACCCGCATCTAATACTCTCAAAAATTTGTATGAATCAATTTTTTTTTATCAACCATTTATTGGAAAAAGAAACAAAAAAATCAAGTTCTTTTTTTTTTTTTTTTTTTTTTTTTTTATCTAAGATCATCTTTTTCTAACTCAATCAAGTTTTGACATTACAAAAACAAACCCTAGGGGAATCCCACAAGCCCCCTTTGTCGAAAAAGTCGAAAATTTTGTTAAATCATCCGATGACGTTCAGCTCGTTCTCTCAAAGTTCGAGGACATGATTCAGTAGGTACTTGTCGATGAATTTTTATTTATATTTTTATTTTTTGATTTAAAGACAAAAAAAAAGATAAATATCTTGTTTTCTTAATCAGGAAATTGAGATGATGAAAAATAAATAAAGAAAAAGAATTAATATTAATCTCTTCTAACTCGATTTTTTTTTTTTTTTTAGAAAATATAAACATGTGGTATGTTTATCCATAATCACTTAGATACAGCTAGCTATATACCCAATCCACAAAATCTCTAACTTATGACTAGCAAACAAGTACAACCCAACGCGTTGCAAATCTGCAAGTCAAAATCCCTGATATCGAAAAGACCCTTGATATGGTTCGTTTCCTCGAATCGAAAAAGGTAAATAAACACACGTCAATCTCTCAATTCCATTTATTTTATTTATTTATTAATTCATTAATTAATTAATACTCTCTCATAGGATTCAGATAAGGTAATCACCACAAATTACGGTCTCAATGACTCGCTCTACACAAAAGCTGAAATCGCCCCAACAAACGTTGTTTACCTTTGGTTAGGTGCAAACGTTATGCTTGAATATACAATTGACGAAGCTGTTACTCTTCTTAACCAGCGCCTCAATGTTGCCCAAAAAAGTCTCAAGTCATGCGAAGAAGACCTTGAGTTTCTTCGAGAAAATATCACTACTGTGGAAGTCAACATTGCACGCGTATACAATTGGGAAGTCCAAAAACGACGCGAGCAACGTGAAGAGGAGAGTTCAAGATAATTATAAAAAAAATAAAAACAAAATTAGTGAATAATTAAAAAAAAAAAATAGTTATATGCCCATTGTTTTTTTTTTTACCACTTCCCCACATTTTAAACTCCAAAATAAAAAAAAATTAAAAACACACAATCATATTATTATTTACAATTCTTTAAATACCCTTTAAAAAAAGCTCTGCTTTTTATAATTTAATTATTCATTATTTATTTTGTTTTGCGAGAATCAGATGCAACGTTCAACAGAAGTGAGTCATTGTCCAACAACAGTCTGTTGCCAGACTTGCTAAGGGTCTCTGCAATCTCACGCGCAGTATCAATACGCTTGAGCTCAACATAGTCCTTGGACTTCTTGATGGCTTCACCAATAAGTTCTGCAGATCGAGCCTCACCCTGGGCCTTAACAATGGTACCCTGCTTCTCCTGGCGCGCACGGTCGACAATAAAGGCAGCACGCTGGGCCTCCTGCTGGGCAATCTGCTTGGCCTCGACGGCTTGAGTGAATTCCGGCGAGAAGGTCATGTAAGTAAGTGAAACGTCATCTAGCTCAATGTTAAACTTGGCTGCGCGCTTAACAAGGCTCTCACGAACCATACGTGACACACGTTCACGTTGGGTGATAAGTTGGGAGGCATTGAACTGGGCAACAACGGCCTTAAGAACCTCATTGACAATGGACGGCAGCACACGCTCGTCGTAATCGGTGCCGAGAGTACGGTAGATGGTAGGCAGAGAAGCAACGTTGGGGCGCGAAAGAACACGACATGTAATGTTTACCATTTGCAAGTCCTTGGTACCGGTCAGCGAGGCCACGTTGCGGGGCTTGGCTCGGACATCGTAGATGATAGGGGTTTGGAACCATGGAATGGCAATGTGGGTTCCTTCATTGTAGATTGTTGGCTGGATACCGCCAATGCGGTTATACAAAATAGCACGGTGACCACCGTCAACTATAGAAGAGACAAGTTAGTTAGTTTATTTCTTTCTTTCTTTATTATATTCAATTTCAATTTGATTGATTTGATTTGATTTGATTTAATTAATATCAATTCAATTCAATTCAATTCAATTCAATTCAATTCCAACTTACCGTTGTAAAGGGAAGATGTAAGAACAACACCGCCAACACCAAGAGCAATGAGACCTCCAAGACCCGCAAAAAGGCCCTTAGGAGAAGGTCCGCTAGCACCTGTGCGCTGGGATTGCTGTCTAACAGCTCTGACAAATTGGTTCCACTGGTTCTGGGACATGGTTTGGTGGAGGAGGTATTGGAGGGTTTTAATTGAGGGGTTTAATGGATGGATGGATGATGGTGGTGGTGGTGGTGGTAGTGATAAATTGTTTTTTTTTTATTTTTAAAATTTGGTGGCGACGATTTAAATTTTTCTGGTGGTGGGTTCACACTGTAATTAATTTTTTTTTTTCTCTCTGTTAATTCCACGTCTTTTCTATGGGTTGCGGGTTTGACGAGCAAATAGGAGGCCCCACCTAACGTCACCAGGGCACGTTTGGCTTATTTGTCGGGGTTCAAATCCATGTGTGGAATCCCCGAAGCTGGGAACTCCCCAAAAAAAAAAAAAAAAAAAAAAAAAAACTTAGATCACATGATTAAATAACCAAAGCCGTACAATGAACCGGGTACGGACCACTATATATATATATATATTTTTTATTTGAAGCATACCTTTGATGCAACACTCGTAATATTTTATGCTTAGTCATAATGTCACGGGAAATTTTAATGTGTGTGTGACTACCATTTCTATAATAGGAAATTCCCAGCCTTACCTTTTACTCTTTTTCTCTTTTTCTTCCTCAAAGACTTTTAATTTTTTTTTGCAGTGCCACCAAAATAACTAAAAAAATTTAAGGTGAAAAATTTTTCAGAGACGCACACATAGCTCAACACCAGCCGTTTTGAATAGAGAAGTCCCGTGACCACTAGCTTTTTGAGATGAATATATAGAGTGGTGGTGAAATAAAAAAAAAGCCTTTACATATATAAAAACCTTGCATTACAACAATGTATTACACTAAAATCCAGCCCTAACCACCACTCACAATCTTTGCACCCACTCTCTCTTTCTTTCTCTTTCCTCCCCCTTCTCCCCTTTTTTTCCCCTCTCTTTTCGAAAGTTGTGCCCTATACACCCACGACTATATACACATATTCGACATATATAATCGATCGACAAGATGCCCGGTGTCAACGTTAGGTGTGTATATCTTTGATACGGTTTTTTTTTTTATATGGTCAAACAGTTTTCACCTAGCCAGAGATTAGTAGAAGAGAATAAGAAAATACCCTTTGGAAGAATAGACGAATGATGGATAGCAAGATGAGGAAAAATTTTCACAATGATATATTGGATAAAACAAGAACCTATAATATACCCTTCTTTTTTTAAAATAAAAACTACTAAACGAATCTCTGACGGAAACTTTTAATGTTTATACGTTAAAAATAAATGTTTGTACTAACACAATTTTAGAGACGTTCCTGCTCAGCAGTTTATTGATGCTTATGCCACTTTCCTTCAACGTCAGGGCAGACTTGAGATTCCCTCTTACGTCGAAGTTGTGAAGACTGGTTCTGGTAAGGAGCTCCCTCCCCAGGACGCTGAAGGTTGGTTCTACAAGAGAACTGCTTCTATTGCCAGACACGTCTACCTCCACAAGGACATTGGTGTCGGTGCTTTCAGAAAGAAGTTCGGTGCTTCTGTCAGCCGTGGCAACAAGCCCTCCCACCACAGAGATGCTTCTGCCTCCATCAACAGAAAGGCTCTTCAGGGTCTTGAGAAGCTCGGCGTTGTGGAGCTTGGCACTGCTGGTGGCAGAAGAATCACTGAGAATGGCCAGCGTGATTTGGACCGCATTGCTGTCGAGCTCTACGCTGAGCTTAACCCCGAGGAGGACGAGTAAATTTAATGTTTTTCTTGTATTAAAAATAAAAAAATGAAGAAAAAGGAATAAATGATGGTGCACTATTTAAAAAAACACATGACATATCTATGATGATTCTAGGCTAGCTTTTCTTTTCTTTTTTTAGTACTTTGATGATTATTAGTAGCATCATCTTGTTTATGGTGATAGACAGGTTCAGATTCTTGTAGAGAAGTTGATTTGGAATCTACTACTACTGTTTGTTTAGCTGAAATTGCTACTGAATCCAGAGTGAAAGGTTTTCTAGCTAATCGAGCGAGTGGCCTGTAAAAAAAAAATTAGTTTTTTTGGTTAGAGCAGCTATTTACGTAGACTATTATTATTATTATTATTTGTACACATTCTACATTCCATTGCTTACCTTTGTAGAAACCTGTTGCGGTGGACTTCTAACTTTTGAGTGCACGGCGATAGGAGGTTGTCTGTAGGTGATTCAACCGAGAGAAGAGGTTTTTTAGGAAGTTGAGATTGAGGTTGAGATTGAGGTTGAGATTGAGGTTCGTTGAGCATGACGACGTCAATTGAAGATTGTTGTTGTTGTTTGTATTGATCTGACATCTTTTTTTATTATTTAAAAAGTTTTATAAACTTTGAAGAATAAAAAGAAAGTTTCATTTTAAAAGGATCTTTTTTTTTTATACATATATATATATATATATATATATATTCAACTTCAATTTCAATATCAATATCATCAATAACAACTACAACAACAACAAATACAAAGTTGTTATTTTTTATAGTTACCAATAATAACATAATAGTTACTATTAATAACTGATAAATAATTTACAATATAATTACCCGGTACCTTTACACGTGGTGTACGGCTAACAATTTCACTGAATATTTCTTTCATTTCATTGTTTGTAATGTCACAGAAATGTCTCTCCACACAAAATTTCCCACCAACCGCCCTGCCCTGTCCTTCCACATATACAAAGCCTGCAAGTCTACCAGCCTGAAAGTCTACCAGCCTACCAGCCTGCCAGCCTGCCAGCCTGCCTGCCATTCCCTCCCTCCCCCCCTTTTTTAAAAAAATTCCGCTCGCTGCGTTGCGTTGCATTGCGTCGCCTCCTTTTTCTCTCTCTCTTTTTCCATTTTAAAATCACCACATTCATAATAATAATAATAATAATAATAACAACAACAACAACAACCACATTTTGCTTCCTTTAAAAAAATCTTCCCCTTCTTTTCTTGACCACATTAGCAAATATCAAAAAAAAAAAAAAAACAACATTCGCCAATCTCTTCATCAAAATAGCTTTCAAATCTTAATATATTCCTAATATTTCTAACATCTCAATTCTCTTCACCACCACCTCCATCTATCGCTATGGATAAGTTCTTCAATTCGGTGCAATCATTCTTCCAATCAGTCACTGCTACCGACAGATACGCCGGAACAGAGTCTTCGTCAGGCAGAAGAACCACCTCAGGTGGCTTTGGCCCCTCAGCTCCTCTCACAAATGCAATGGGCGGACCAGCAGGTGACGACTCTGTCACTGCTTCACCATCTCTCTATAACCCTCCCTCAGGGTCTTTTCACAATGGAAATAACCCTTACTCTTCCAATCCAGGATCTCGTACTGGCTCATTTACAAACCTCGCAGGAACTGCTGCTGGATCATCTACATCTCTCAATAGACTCCCCTACACTCCAGGTATGCGCTCCCAATCAACAAGCTCAAGCGGTGGTGGTAGTGGCAGCGGCGGTATCTCGGGTGTCAACGGAATCCCGCTCCAAGAATACTCAGATGGCCTCCCCCCACCACCTCCTCCCTCGCTTTCTTGGAAACGCATTGACCGCTGGTTCGAGCAAAACTATGAAGAGCTAGGCGATGTTTTGGAGGAAAACTGCTCCAACAGAGACCTTAATGAATTTGAAGCTGACATTGGCTGCACCTTACCAGAAGATGTCCGTGATTCTTTTCTTGTACATGATGGACAAGAGCGCGGTGGTAGACCCACTGGCGCTGTTTTCAATCTCATTCTTCTGGATCTTGAGGCCGTGTCTCTGGAATGGGAAAACTGGAAAAAGGCTGCCCAACGTGTCGAAAACATGACTCGTGCTGCCCACGCAAACAAGTTGAATCAGCACCACTATAGTAACCAAGCCTCTACTTCAGCGGCTGGAGCTGCTGGCCCATCAAAGAGACCAGGTGCCTTTTCAAGCGCTGGAAACCTCTCGTGGCTCGACCATCAAGCCTCTTTCCCTGAAGGTGCTGTTCAACCCGTTTATGCTCATCCAGGTTGGATTCCTCTCGTTACTGACTATCTTGGAAACAACATTGCTGTGGATCTGGCTCCTGGCCCCAAGGGCAAATGGGGTCAAGTCATTTTGTTTGGCCGTGAGTACGATACCAAATATGTCATTGCTCCCTCTTGGGCCAATTTCCTCATGACGTTTGCCGATGACTTGGAAAATGGCCACCACATCATCAGCGATTTGACTGAAGATGGTGAGCTCTCGTACTGCTCTCAAAAGGGTATCCCAATCCCATATATGGATGTCTTAAAGTCCCGCGCTGAGCGCTCTTACAGACAGCTGATGCGCCAGCAAAGACAACAAGACTCTGCAAACCCAAACCACCCTTACGGTATTTATAGACAATCCTCTAATGGCTCGTCTCCACGCAACTCTATTGGCTCAGCCTCTGGTGCTGCTGGTGCTGCCGCCGCCGCTTCCTCTTCCACCCCAGCTGGCCGCAATGTCTCGGGATCTTACCGTGGTCCTTCTTCCAGACCCGCCCGCATTTCCACAGACGCTAAGCTAATATCCCCAATGAACTCAAGCTCCAACCTTGCGCTAGCGTCACCCTCATCTTCAGGCATGCCTTCCACAGGTCTAACAAAGTCTCCACTGCCAGCCGTCACATTGAACTCTATAGACGCTGTGACCAATACCTCTGCATCATTAACATCCCCACCATCGTCAACCACTACAACAACCATCCTTACACCAAGTAACTTTAACAAAACTGACATCACAAGCCCCACAGAGACCATTTTAGAAGAGCCAGAACCAACAAGCTCCACTCCACCTTCGCCCATTAAGCCAGAGTCTAAATCTGTTTCTACTAAAGAGGAAGAAAAGAAGGAGGAAAAGAAAGAGGAAAAGAAGGAGGAACCTGTTAAGGAAGAAAAATCAGATGCGGCTACTACTGCTGAAAATACCCCTAATGCCCCCGCAAAATCAAGCGAAAAGGAAACTGATGAAAAGGAAGATGCTGATTCTACCAAACCTTCAACCACACCTGTCACACCAAAACCTATCACCACCACCAGCGAAGAAAGCAGCAGCACACCCAGTGAAACCAGTGAAACCAGTGATTCTAGCAAAGACTCGAAACAAACATCAACAGCCACAACTCATGATGAGACTGAGTCTGAGGATGAGGTTGATTTGCTTAAAGACGAGCTGACGGATGTTGCTATTTGACGAGGGGATTAATACTACTATACTACAAAAAAAAAAATAATAAAAAAGTAATTATAAATAATGAAAAATAAAATAAAAAAAAGAGATTTTTAATTTACAGTAAATGCTCTATAATTATACAGTTTTCACCACATGAAGTGTTGAAGCATGCCAGGTTCGGATGCCCAAGTAAATGGATAGCACAGAAAAACAATAAACGTGATGACGTTGATGTATCCGTTATACATGAACTCAATATCTTGGAATGCCACCCGGTCCAGCAATGTTTGCTCTTCATCAGTTGGGGGTTGGTTTTTTTTTTCAGACTCCTGAGTCTGAGTCTGAGTCTGGAGTAACGGATCCAAGACTGGAGCAAAGTGGCAGGCGCGCCACACGACTAGTGGAACAATGTAGTAGCGCGGCTCTAACAATGGGCTTGGAATGAGAGTTGCCGCAGTGGCTGCCATAAACGCAAGCACAGAAAATACCGAGGAAGAGGAAGAAGAGGAGGAGGAGCAAGAGATCTTGCTCTTCTTGTTGGTGAAAAATGGAAGAACCAACGGGACTGCCAAAATGACAAATCCGGCAGTAAAAACAGGTGCACGAATAAGTGCAGCACTCAAACTCACTCGGCACGGGGCCAACACGCGGCGCCAAAGATAAAACGTATAGTGCCGGTTGTCTGCCAGTGTGAATGGGTGTGGGTGTAGGGGCTCGGCAAACGCAAAAGTGTTCAGAGACCATGCCACAAGAACAGAAATGATCACAAACACGGCACCAGCAACTACTGCAGACTTGGCGCGTAGGGGGAGTTGGCCTGTGCGGGCAATACTAACGACACCATAAAAGACGAGCGGTGGGCCAAAGAAAAAGGCGGCATGGAGTGCCAGGTAAAAGATCTGACCAAGATTGGCAGAGACTTGATGATGGGCTTGGTCGCCGAGAGTAATGGCTCCATTGTTCCAAACCAAAAATGCAGCAAAGGCGGCAGCCACGGCGCCGTATCCGAGCGTGATTGCACGCGAAATAGGTGAGTGCCAATCCAAAGCTGTTGCAACAATGCGGCTGGCGCGTGTGACCAACGTTGGAGACGGGTCTTTGGCAGATTGTGGTGGTGCGAGTTTGTTTGCTTGGATCTCAAGAAGCGTCAGCGCAACGTAACCTGCCCATACAATGTTGGTTTGGCGGAACGTAAGTGAGAGCAGAGCCAAGATTGAAGATGCAAAGAGCAACCGGACCTGTGACGCGACCACGGGCCCAGCCAAGGTGCGTTTGGTTGGGTCCCTGGCCAGTGCGGATTGGCCAACAGCTAGCGCAGCAAGCACCAGAATAGCAGACCACACGTCTGTGTAATACAAAAAGGCAAAGAAGTAGATGAGTGGGAAGGTAATGATCGACGCGTAGGTTGGTTCTTCTACAACAGTATGTTGTTTCTTCTGGACTCCTCGCAAAGTTGTCTGCGCGGAATACAATGAGTTCAAAACAACGGGCAGGACAAATAGAACTCCCACAAGATTAAGCGAACGTAAGACCCACACGTCGCCAATTTCTAGCGCAGCAATGGCCCCGGCCATACGACCAAAACTCCCAGCAGCTGCTACGGCGCCACTATCAAACACACGGAACAATGCGATGACCGGGCGCACGATCCCATACGCGTATAAAGTGGCAAGCCAGTAAAGCCCAGGCGGGGTGGTGATCATGGGGTCCCATTGGGTAAAGTCGAGTGTAGCAATGTATCGCTGGGTTAGTGGAGCATGGAAAACTTCGTCGAGATATGGGGTCCGCAGGTTTTGGCACACGGCCGCAAAGATTGGAATCGAAATGGCGACGGTTGTTCCATAGATTAGCGGAGCCGCAAAAAGAGGCATTGTGTGGGTTGTTTGATTGATAGATGTTGTTGGTGGTGATTTTTTTTTATAACTGGGGCATATAAAAATCAAAAAAAAAAAAAAAAAAAAAAAAAAAAAAAAAAACTTATTAAAGAACCGTTTAAACCCAACAACATTTTCCCTCCCTTTTGTTTAATTGCACAAAACAATATCACCACAACCATGCGCTTCTTGCTGGTCTTGCTAGCGCTCCTTGTTGCTAAAACATTGGCCTTTAATCTAGTCCGGCGAGATGACAACGATGGATACAACTACCAAAACACCATCTGTGAGACTCTGACCCAAGAGCAGTGTAAGAACGTCACCTCACTGACCTCCATCCAGTCCATTTCGCAACGTGATGCCCAACTCAATATCTCCATCACGGGTCTTTTGTACATGGCGTTTGATCTTAATTCCGCATACTTTGACTCAAAGGGATATACCCAAGATACCATTCAAGATGTCCCGCAGATTCTATTTCTGGGATTCACTTCGCTTGACCTTGATCTTTATTGGAACGAGCGCTTGGCCCGATGGCAGCTTTGCCCCTTTGACATCTCTCAAGATAACCTTACACAAAACTCAGATGGCACCGTATCACAGCAAAACTTGACCATCCGCTGTTCTGCAGAATACATATCTCCAGATGATCTTTTGGAACAATATGACAGGTTTCTAAAGTCTACAAATAACGACTTAACAACGTCCTTTTTACGGCTCCATTTGCGGCTTCATTCACTCGACCAAACAACTTCTTCAACTAAATTCAAAAGTCCTTCAAAGTCTCAACATCTGGCGCACATAATATCCAACCACTTTACCAAAACAGAACTTTACACTCTCAGTGATCTCGAATCAAACCGTAAATCTTCCTTGACTTATGGTCTTTACGGTATCAAACCAGACTCAGAATATGGGTTCCCTAAAGTCTTTCAATTTCTACTGGTTCAAGGACGCAGAATCATTGTTTCCTTCACAAACATGGATATTTCTTCAGATTCAACCTATGACGATAAAACACTGACAACAGACTCAGATACTCTTTTCAATACGACATATGTTTCTCCTCGAAATGTCTCTGGATTCTCAAACATGCCCTATTCCATGTACTTGAGCGATTACATGGTCACAGCCATTCTATCCATGGACTATTTCCCTCCAACAGACTGCTACAATACAGTCTCATGGGAAGACTTTCGCAACGACATGATGTACTACACAGGTAACATGACGCGCATTGTCGAGTCTCAGCTTTCCATAGAAAACAATACCTTTCGTGTTGAAGTTGTCGATAGCGAGGAGCACCCCTTTAATCAGACCACAGTGGCCCAGTACATTTCTTGTGGCTTTGTGCCAAAGTTTACTGCACCCATTGCCAACCTTAGCAGTCTTGTGTCCATCGTCAATGCTGCTATTTGGTCCTGGAGACCTAACCAGCCAAACGTTCCTTCATGGGTCCCCTCGGCCGATGGCTTGGGCTTGGGGAGCTATGGAACATATACACAGCTTGTCGAACGTGTTGAGTACCAGCGAGCTCATAACCTTTCGCCTTTATCTTCTGGATACGTTGATGTCAACAAGACTACAGCCTGGCGATGTGCTGTTCTTGATGAAACAGGCTGGCGCAATGCAAACTGTTTTGATCATTACCCCGTTCTCTGTGGTGCCGAAATCGCCCAACCCCAAATGTTTACCCAAAACAACTTAGAGAATGAAGAGGAAGTTGAATCTCTCAGCACTTCTGAACTCACAGGCTTAGTTTATACTTGGTCTTTTGGTGAAAATACATCCTATTTTAACGCCGTAAACGCGTGCCCCTATTCAAACCATTCCTTTACTTTGCCACACTCAAACCTTCAAGATACCTCAGTACGCCTCGCGCTCGCACAAAATGGAACAATCCCATTCCCAATTTGGATTGATTTTAATTCAATCAATGCAAAGGATTGCTGGGTCTCAGGCGGCCCTCTGGCAACATGCCCTTATACCCCAAACACATGGACTCGCAGCCAAGTCGTTCTTATTTCTGTCGTATCCATGGTCATTGCACTCATCTTGATTGCCGTTTATCTCTTGTCAAAGGATAAAACCCCCGTGCGCCATTCTGAGGGAAAGTTTAAAAAAATCATTGTCAAGTTCAACCAAAACCAGTATCACGGTGTGCCTTCATGATGTGCTTTTTTATTTTATTTTTATTTTTATTTTATTTTTATTTTATTATTATCTGCCTACAACTACACTGCTTTATTTTTACTTACTTATTTATTTATTATCGAATAATTTCATTCACCTTTTCGATCCCTTCCCGAAACTCAATCAAATCACTCTCCAAAACTCGACTGTTGGGATGGTACACCGACTGCCACATCGTCATGGGCACCCGAGGGCCTTCTCCATTCCACAATTTAAAAAACCTCACAGTCTCGTCATTTGTCGCAACACATATGCAAGTACCATCCGGCGACATAGTTGCAGACAAAACACGCAACCCCGATGGTGTAGGGACTTGCATCAACGGTCGCGAGGCAGGAGGCCTTCGGGCCCGGTGGCTTGCACGTGGATGTCGCAACAGCTGCTGGAGCTGATACTGCTGTGCATGACTTTGCAACAACTGCAACAATCCACTAGCCCCGCTGGCCCCACCCCCACCACTTCCTCCAGCGGCAGCAGCGGCAGCCGCTGGTGCGTGTCGTGGTCTGCGATGCAAAGGTGTCAACGATAAGAACGGTGATGGAGCAGCACCCATTTGAGACCGTCCTCGAAGTCTACGCATTCGGGGAATCCGACCCATATCACCAAACCCATCACGCAACCGTTCCGATCTCGACACTCTTCCTGCCATCAAAGGTGCGGATTCTACCAAAGTATTTGTGGTTGTTATTGTTGTTTCGGAATCTCGAGTTCCTGCTGTCGCCAAGTCGGGCGTGCCGGTATTTCTTCCAGGTATTTCAGTTGATAGTCGCTCTGAAGCCATGCCTGTGGGGATTCTTCCAGTCACACTATCAGAAACACCGAAGTCCATAGGTACGGCTCCCAACGCATACTGCGGGAACGCATACACAGCAAGCAAAATCGGGTTCTCGTTATCGTGAAACCCAAACGTAGCCACAAGCTGGCGTTTATGTCGAGACCAAATCACCGATGTGATTTGGCCTTTAGTTTCAATTTTTTTCAACAGCGTGCCTGTTCTTGTGTGCCAGAATCTAGAAAAAAAAGATAAAATTAGTTAGAAGTCAAAGTCATGAAAAAATAATAATAATAATAGTAATAAACTTATCAAACCTAAGAGCACGGTCTTGAGACCCGGCACCAGTGGCCAAAAGATATGGTGCCCAGGGACAGTATTCCATTGCTTTAATAGCTGCCCTGTGTGCCAGCTTATGGACTAGAGTAGGCCTACCCCAATCCTTTACATCCCAAATCGTCACCAAGTTGTCATTTCCCCCAACTGCAACTTGTTTCTGGTCCAAACTAAAAGCAATTGCTGAAAAAAAAGTTAATAAAATAATCAAAATTGGAAATCATCTTTCCTATCTTGTGAAGTGGTACCGCAAATTTGTTGACTGTGTCCCTTGAGAACCTCACCCACAGTAATATCCACTTTGGGCCTCCCATTTTCTTGAAATCGCCATTCTAAATGTAACCGAGTCACAGCTCCTCGATCATCTCCAATCAAAATATAACGAGCACGTAGCATTTGTTGGTCTTGACCTGGACTTGTTTCGTTAGATGCTGGGTCAGATGTCATTGAACTAGACTCCAAAGATACAGGCATATCTGGGGACTGTCCAAATAAATCATCCGAAGAGTTTCTGTGATATTGCTGCTGTTCCTCATTCAACAACGGGAACCAGCATAAAAAGCTAACAGGAGCCGATGCCAATGTATAAGCACCCAAGACACTTTCCGTTCCCACATTATACAACACTAGAGTTCCATCCTTGTACCCGATTGCAAGTACATTTTGTGGTGGCTCAAATCCTTGAGGTACAACAACGTTTGGGATAGCAAACATCCCTACTGGGGCAAAAACAACGCTTGTCACGTCTCCGTATCCCGTGGGAGTCTGTAAAAGAGTCGCACCATTACCTTCACTCCACACATATACTTCGTCGAGTAACCCAACAGCTACTTGACCTGTTACTCCAGACCATGTCACTAGGTTTGAGTAAAAATCGTTTCGAAGCCCAGGGGCATCAAGTATGCGGTACGGAATGTGGTTGTATACTCGTCCGGATGTGTTGGATGTGTTACTGGTAGTTATAGCCGCACCTCCATAATCTCGAGGAACCACAGTGTTTCTCAAACCGTGCGCCCTCGCACCAGCACCTGAGTTCGCTTGAGAAGGTGGCAGGACGATTCCGGCACCGGTTCCATGTGTAAAGTCATCACCATCATAAAAATAATAGTAATTGTCTTCGTCGTCTTCCTCAATTCCTTGGTCTCCCAAATTAACTGGCACAGATTCAAAAGTGTCAAAGTACTCATCATCATATACGCCCCAAACACTTGAAAATGTGTCACCTGTAGACGGATGCTGAAACTGAGAGGATTGCAAAAGTCTAGCTACTGGTCCGCTCATTTCCAAATACCTCAAAGAAGCCACTGAAGAGGGTTTGTGATCCGCACCTGATGGGGTATAGCTATAAAAGTACGACGAAGATGTAGATGAGGCTGCAGAATCTGGAGCAGGACTAAAAATGTTATTAGGACTCAATGAAGCGGAAGTGACAGCAGCTGACGAAACAGAAGATTGTGAAAACGAGCCGTTTTGGAAATGGCTTCTTTGAGGTGATTGGTAGGAAAATACCTTTGAGGGGTTTTGAAATCCCAAAGCTTTGGCAATCTTATGGCCATGTCTGTGATGACCAATTTTTTTTGAAATATCAGATGGAGGCACGGCAACTGAAGCTTGGGGGACTGGTGTTTGCATCGAATCTTGGGGTATCCCAGGAACTCCAGTTAAAGTGGGTACATGGGTATCAAAAGTGTCTTCTTCAAATTCTGCATCATTAACATTGTTGCTGTTATTATTATTGTTGTTATTACTACTACTGTCTGAAGATAAATCAAGCAAGTTAAAAACATTATCTAGCGGAAGCACTAGAGACTGTGGTGGTGGTCCCAATGGCCCCAAAAGTGACACCAAGCTCCCGTCAATTCTCTGATTTCGGCGCACGTCAGGTACATTCTGTTCCACATCGGCCATTGTGTGGAGTAAGTGACCCAAACGCGGTAGCTGCGGCGCAGGAGCTTGAGCCGCAGCATTGATAGCAGCATTTGCTGTCGAGCCGTTTCTGAAAACATTTTTTTTCTTGTCTCCAGAAGAAGGAGGCACAAGTTTTTTGGAAGAAAGAGGCGGGGTGATGAGAAAATAAGGAGTCAATGGCGATGTCGTGGGCATAAACCTGTCGCAGTAGCGAGGCTTTTTGCGCCGAGGGGGTTGAAAAGAAGGGGACAGGGAGGAAGATGCCATGGTAATTCAATGTTAGAAATGTGAAAAAAAATAACCTATTCAATATATATGATATATCTATTTTTGCAAGAGAAATGAAAAAAAAATTAAAGATTAAAGATTGCAAGGGGAAATCCAGAATGTTGATGGCCGTTTAGATGGTTGGATGGTTGGATGGTTGGTGAGAATTCAAATGGGCGCTGACCAAAAAAATGAAATGTCAAGGAAGGTTTGTTGCATAAAAAAAATTACATAAACACTTAAGTAATTGGGTTGTTGGAGCGACTAAACACACGTGACTTTAAAAGTAAACAAACAAATAAACAAAAAAAATAAACAAACAAACAAAAACTACTGCACAGTAACAATAACAACAAATATCCACCAACACATACAAAAAAAAAAATAAAAAATCTGTCAAAACCTTCAATTTCCCTTTTTTTTTTTTTTTTTTTTTTTTTTTCTCTTTCTTCCCCTTTTTTCATTTCATTTTAATTTAATAGATTCAATTATTTTCTTGTTGAAAATCTCTATCAACATTTTTTTTCTTTTAGATCTCCAAATTTGCCTAAGTCTTCTCCACCATGGCAATGCCTCGCCAAACCTATGGTGGCTCTTCGTCAGCCTCCTCGTCAATCTTTAGCTCATCCTGGCTGGAGAATCAACTTATGAACTCAACCGCTTTGCTAATCGATGAAGTTGAAGACATGGCCTATCAAACCAGACGTGAGCTTGAATGGTTAAATAGCACAATGAACCATTACTTAGACCCAAGCAATACGTGAGTAAATAACTCCTTTTATATGATGAATTGTTTCTAACTTTTTGAAAAGCGAAATGACGGAAATGCTTCAATCTCCTAGAAAGAATCGTGGGACACAATCTAATAAAACTCACTCTTTAAAGAAAGAAAACATTGACGTAAGTTTAATTGTGAGAGCCTTTTTTTTTTGTTCTCAAATTTTTAACACATTCCAGCCATTTTACCAACAATTGCCCATATCCCCTTCTCCTAAGAAGCCTTTTGCAATTGCTACAAAAAACACTCCCAAAATGGCTGCTCATTCGCCATTGTCAAATGTGCATCAGATATCCCCAAGTCCAGCACGCCCAACTGCTGCTCCTTTGCGAACAACTGTATCATCTAAACCAGCCTCTACGACTCCCCTCACGTCACCTTCAAAAGCTGAAACTCTTTTGAAATCTCCTTCTCACCATACTACTATACACTCTCGCCTAGCTGAACTGGCAATTCCCAAAATTCCTGTCCCATCATCTCCAGCATCTAATTCCTCCTCGCATTTTATTTCAAGTTCTAAAAACTCAAAAAGCCCAACACACTCGTTACCTGCACGTGTAATTGGTTCGACTTCCAAATCGACTTCCCCGTTTCCATCACCCTCCTCTCAAAAAAAAGATGATACCCTTATATCTAGCCCAACCGCTATTATCAACTCTCCACTACCTACAGAAGAATCTAAAAATCAGGAAAAAGTATTAGCAGTGCCATCTGTGCAAACTGTCTCACCACTTCATGCCCCAATTTTGGAGTCACCTAAACATCATATTCCTGCTTCTCCTAGTCCTCTTAAACAAGCGTTTTCTGAAATTTCGGACCATGAAACCTCTGACAATATGGTATCAGAAAACTTTTCTTCCAGTAGCATTGATAATTCTGAGGAAAGTGAAAATAACCAAAAGGAAAAAGATGTTAAGGTTAATGAGGACAAGAAAACTGAAACTGAAAGCGACAATATACAAAGCGATAAAGATTCTCATACTGCATCTACTTTTAGTGAAGGAAGTAGCCATCGTGATTCCATCAAAATACCATTGAATGACACTGTTGAGCCTAAACCAGCTCAAGAGCAAGAGCAAGAGCAAGAGCAAGAGCAAGAGCAAGAGCAAGAGCAAGAGCAAGAGCAAGAGCAAGAGCAAGAGCAAGAGCAAGAGCAAGATGAAGATGAAGATGAAGATGAAGATTCTTCTTCAGAAACTCCATACAAATTTGCCAAACTTCCTGCACGCGAGCCCTATACTAAAAAGTCTTTTGGCAAGACACCTTCTAGAGAAAGATCTTGGATTGACCGCAAGTCTGGAATTTCTGCTCTAGCATCTTTGTCTTCCGCACCATCGGCCAATAGCACGCCTGGTAAGGATACTTCAGAGCTTCCTGAACCAAAAGCTCCACCACCAACTATTGCAAGTGCTTCTACAACAATCACAGCAACAACTGCCAAGTTCGACCCTACCCCTGCTACTGCAGCTGAAACTTTAATGGCACCGATTTTGGATCCCCAAGCTTCCTTTTCCCATCTTTACCCTGACTTGAACAAAAGCTTTCAACTTGATGGAGATGATCTTAGACTTTCTCTACCTCCAGCTGCAAATAGTTCTCCAAGAGTTTCAAACGAAAACATGGTTCATAAGAGTATCCTGGATATGGATATTGAAATGCCTGATCTTGATGATGATTCTATCATCAGTCATAAGGGCGAATCTGAGGTATCTACCACTACAAAAAGTCCATTTGCAGCTGCCGTTGAAAATGATTCTCGTAAAAAGTTTTCAGTTACGGATTTTGAAATGGAGGATGATCACAAAACTGAAAACATGAAAACTGCACCTACATCAGCAGCAACTAGCACTGTGACATCTCCAATCAAGTCTTCAAAGCCTGATAGCGTCAACTCTAGTCCCAAGCCTTTTGTCAGCGCTGCTGGAACCAATGCTTCTTTATTGTCTGCTACTATGGGTGCATTCAAGAGGGCCAAAAAACTATTGTTTGAACACTCGGCTGACAAAGACCTTTCCACCTCTAACAAAATTCCCTTGGAACAGCAGCTTCGTGCTCTCAAGTCGTCAGAAGCATCTAGAATCCCTAGATCACCATCTCGCACGTCGCCAATAAGATCACCATTTAAAAGCTCCACATCACTTGCTTCCCCTTTGAGAGCCCCGTCTAGACTATCACCTACAACTAGAATTCAACAAGAACAGGCTGGAACTAGTTCCAAATCCTTTAATTTGAATCCCGCACTTAACTCTCCCACCGATGGAGCATCAGGCTTGGCAGCTCCTAAATTGGGAATTCATAGTATGGCATCTAAGTCCCAGCCTAACCTACCCTCAAGAAATATATACCCAGAAGTTCCGAAGCTCTTTCCTGCTGCAAAAACTATGACATCAGCTACTCAGCCTCTTCACTTTGAGCCAATTAATCGCAAATCGTCTCCAGATTTGGATGCAGCTTCAATGAATGCAAATTTTGGATCGCCTTTGACTTCACCCCACAAGCCTACAAATGAGCTGGCTCATAAAGCCCATCCATCTGTTATTCACCAAAGCACTAGAAACATTAGAGAACCTGCTTCTGCACGGGCTTCTTTGACTTTTGCCGATAAGCCGGAATCAAGAGCACTTCATTCTACTACCAAACTCACTTCAAAAACGATATTGCCTAAACAACAATTGCGACGACAAAATTCAACTTCAAGCACGACTGGAAAAACTCACAAGCCAAATCCGGTGATACCTACACCTTCGGGTCCTTTAAAGTCATATTCTTCCAAATCTGAGTTGAAAAAAAAGACTGAATCTTCCAACAGTAGAATCTCATTGTTGTCTTCTAGTTCTGTTACCGGTACCCATAACAGTAAACCACTGAATTTGACTTCCATATCTCTCAACAAACCTGCCAAAACAAACAACTCTACAGACTCTTTTGCTCGCAAGTTTAAAACATCGGTTGCATCAAAACCAAAGGAAGATATCCAAAATGTTGCCCCAGTTTCAACGTCTGGGTCTCAACAGCAGTCTCAGGCACAAAACGCTTATGCTAGTAGACCGGCTCCTCAGCCAGCGAAAAAGCGTACTTCAGTGGATGCATTTGGCTCGCCACTTGACCAACGCAAATCAATCTCCAAGCACCAGCGAATGTCTAACCTTGGCGAACCGCAACGTGTAACACAACAACAACAGCAAGAACAAGCTAAGAAATCGTCTTATACCCCCTTATCGGCTTCTACAAAGTCTACTCTTTTGAAGAATACAGCTGCTTCGTTGCACCACCAAACTGCTAAATCAACTTATGGGGAAGGCGTCAAATTTTCAAATGAAAAGCATAAGTTTACCACACCAGGTTCCACTTACCGCAACAATACCAGTACCACGACACCAAAGTACAAGTCTACATTAACTTCTACTTCATCCAAGTCAGGTACTGCAAATGCACTTTTGACACCTGCAAACCAACTTTCTGGCAATCAAGCCAGTAAGAAAATGCCTCCTCCTCGGCCTTCTTCATCCACTAAGCCTACGCCTAAACAGCCACAGACTATTCTTCCTGAAATCTATTCTGAATCTGAGGATGATGAAGAGGGTTCTATATTAATGGATTGGGCCAATTCCCCAGAGCTACATTCCCTACTTCTTCGACAACAGAGTGTGGATCCAGATACTATCTTTGGTCCGATTGCTCCATTGAAATTGGATGAAGTCTTCCGATCTGTGAAAAACTATAAGCCTACACCGAGAGTGAGACCACGCAGCAGCTCGGCAAGCTGGCTGGGCCAGGACAAGTTGTCGCAGCAAGAAATTGATGATTATGCCAAGGCTATGGGATATATGAAGTGATCGGTAAAAAGATGGAAAATGACAAAAAAAAATAGATAAACATAAATAACTTAATCATTCGTGATATTCTGTGAATAGCATCGAAAGGACACATTGTAATTGTAAATTAATCATTAAAATACACTCTAATTAGAAATAAACTAATCTTAATTGTTGATCTGAAAAAGAAATAAATAAAAAAGTTGCTTCTTAATTGTTTCAAAAAAAAAAAAAGCTTGTTTGTTTTTACTCAAGGATTGCTTATTTGCTTTTATTCAAGGGTTGTAGAATTATATAACATCAGCATCTGCGCTATCCTTCTTGTTCTTACCATATATCTTTTCATTTTCATAATAATCTTTTAATTTTGCCTTCAACATTGCATCTCCAACAGCCCGAAAGTAAGTCCTGATGCCAGCTTACGAGGAACAGGGGGTTAAAAATAACCAAACCTTCCCAACTTATCTCCACTTGTCTTCATCAACGCTGTAATTGTATTTCTTAATACCTCCAAGCAGAGATAAAGCTTACAATCTCTTGTAAGTCAGTTAAACTTTTTAAGAGACTCGACATGTCCATCTCTGGAGATATCCGTTTCAGTCCTTTTCTTTCCTCTTCAAGCAAAGGACACTCAACTAAAATGTGATGAACTGTTTCCAGCTCTCCACATTTGCAGTTGTAACTATCCTTTTCAATTCCAAACTTTTTAAACCATGCGCCAAAGTTGCCATGGCCTGTGCGAAATTGAGTAATATTACTCAAGATCCTTCGACTATCTTTCTTCATGATCACTCCCGTAACCATTTTGGAAAGATTATCAGTACATTTCGACTCCACTGTGATATTATGATACCACAGATCCTTACTACTGTTCCAATACATTTCTTGCCATTCTTCCATTGCTTGTTTCTTCAAAATTCCAATCGTCTGATTTTGTTGTTGTTTCAGTGTAAGAGGTTCAACCCTCTTGCATTTTCGTTTTTCATCCTTTTTAATCATATAGTCTCTATCATCTTTCGCCAACATATAAAGCGTGGTTAGCTTTGCAATTGGAGATTTCTCAATCAATGTTAACAAATGACTATTAATAGGATTAGTTTTGCTAATATTTAGGTGTAAACGAATAGCTTTTCGTGCCACCATAAATTTTAGCCTAATACTATATGGCATAATACCAGCTTACTTTTGTAGTACCGCAATAGGAGTTGTGCGATAAGCACCAACAATTCTTCTTAAAGCCATGTTCTGCATCACTTCCAACTTGTGGATTTCTCCTTTCAAGATTTTATGATGCCAAATTTCTAAGCCATATTCGACAATTGGTCTCACGCAAGCAATATACAGTGATCTGACTGCAGACCCTCGCATACCTTTTTGCACGCCACCAAGATGCCAAATAGCACCAACAGCTTTTCTTGCTTTATTGATTTTATTCAAAATATGAGATTTAAAATCAAGCAGATTGTTCAAAGTAATTCCAAGCAATTTAACTTCCTTTTGGGGTTCACGAAGTTCTCCATTAGGTAAAGTAAGTTCCACTTTCTCATCTTTAGGTTTCACATTTTTTGTAAAATGAATAAAACCCAATTTATCACCCAAATCAATTTTGGTCATTTTTGATTTAGCCCAATTACAACATTTTTCTAATATGTTGCTTAAGCTTTTGGTATTTTCTTCAATTTTACCTTCAACGGTAATAGTAACATCATCAATAAAGCCAAAAGGAGTTCCACCCCATTCTTTAATGGCATGATACATTGGTGTGGAATATATCAAAAAAAGTAGTGGTGGAATAGGTGAGCCTTGTGGAATTCCAGTACTAATTTTTTGTACTGATCCTTTTCTTCGGTCCATGAGCATACTAGCTTCTCTTTCACTTACAAATTGGTACGTCCAGTTTATAAGTGCTTTGGGTAGCTTCATATCCTCCATTGTGTCTGCCAATATATTTCGGTTAACATTATCAAAAGCTCCTTGAATATCAATGAGCATAGCTGAAATTTTTTCTTTACTAGTTTCAATTCTTTGGACAAGTTCCAAAACAGCATCAGTAGCACAATAACCTTGTCTTCCCCCATATTGCTCTGGTGGAAGTAAGTGTGTTGTAAGCTTGGTCATTCTTTTTTGTATAATTTTTTCCAGTACTTTAGATGGAATCTTAAGTAAGGAAATTGGTCGGTATGCTCTTGGCTTTGAATAGTCAGGTTTCTTAGGTTTAGGTATAACAACAATAATGCCATGTCTCCAGACTTTTGGGTGGTATCCAAACTTCACACAAGCTTGGAGAAGCTTGAAAAACCTTTCCTTAAAGTCTTTATTCAGCCATGCCATCTTTAAAACTTTGCCAGTAATTCCATCGTCTCCTGGAGCTTTATCATTTGGGGTATCAGCCAATGCAGAGTCAACTTCATCAAACTCTAATTTTGGCCATCGAGAATCGTCATCAATTTCAAACTCTCTATCAAGACCATGATCAATTTCAGGTAGAAGTGCCTTCCATATTTCATGTCTTTTTTCGTCAACAGTAGTAGTGAGAGTTCCATCTTCTTTTCTAATTTGTGGTATAATGGTATCATTGCTTTTTGGATTAATATACTTCAAAATCTTCCAAATGTCATTTCCTTCTAAACTAGACAAATATTTATTCCATTGCTCAGTACTTGCTTCACGCAAACTGTGGTCAAAAATTATTTAAACACAACTTTTCTAAAAATAGCATCACTTTAACAATTTGGTTTTGATGGGATAATCAGTTACCCCGCAATTAACAGTAACCTATGGCACTATGGCCGAGCGGTTAAGGCGAAAGATTAGAAATCTTTTGGGATTTCCCGCGCAGGTTCGAGTCCTGCTGGTGTCGATATTTTTTTGACTAGTAACTAGTCTTATTATATACTTTTTTTTTTTGTTTGTACACTAGTTAAATTGTAGTGTGACAAGTACTTAAAAATATCTACACTTTTATTTCTAATCTGACATTTTAGGAAATATAAATAAAATGTTAATTATTAAAATACATAATTATGTATTATAATGTATTTTGAAAGAAAATTAAATTAAAAATATTATTTTTTTGAGTTCTTCAAATTGTTTGTCACTTTGTTTTTTGTTATTCAAGAAAATCAAAAGTATATCATTAGCATATCAGCATCTGTGTAATCTTAAAAAAACCCTTTCATTGTTAGTTTATTTGCTTTAATTGAAACGTTATAAAATTATATAACATCATCATCAACGCCATCTCTTTTTTTTTTTTTTTTTTGCTGTTACTATATATGACTTTAATTTGCCTTCAACATTGCATCTCCATCACTCGAAAATTAAGTCCTAATAACCAGCTAATTATGAGCTGGGAGGTCACAAAGTAAATTTTCCCAACCTATTTAAACTTGTTTTTATCACCTTTTTAATTTTATTAATTATTACTGGCAAACGTAAACAATATGTTTGTTTGTTTGTTTTTATTCAAGGGTTATAGAATTATATAACATCAGCATCTGCGCTATCCTTCTTGTCCATACTATATATTTTTTCATTTTGATAATAAACTTTTAATTTTGGCTTCAACATTGCATCTCCAACAGCCCGAAAGTAAGTCCTGATGCCAGCTTACGAGGAACAGGGGGTTAAAAATAACCAAACCTTCCCAACTTATCTCCACTTGTCTTCATCAACGCTGTAATTGTATTTCTTAATACCTCCAAGCAGAGATAAAGCTTACAATCTCTTGTAAGTCAGTTAAACTTTTTAAGAGACTCGACATGTCCATCTCTGGAGATATCCGTTTCAGTCCTTTTCTTTCCTCTTCAAGCAAAGGACACTCAACTAAAATGTGATAAACTGTTTCCAGCTCTCCACATTTGCAGTTGTAACTATCCTTTTCAATTCCAAACTTTTTAAACCATGCGCATTCAATAAAAATCCAAGAGGTTATATTTTCTTTACTTCAAAACCTTCTATAAATTGACCATATATGTAATTATTTACAGCAAGATGACAATTTGGCCGAGTTGGTCTAAGGCGTCCGACTCAAGTGTTAGCTTCGCTGATTACAGTGTTTTCGGATCTCGTAAGAGGCGTGGGTTCAAATCCCACAGTTGTCATAATTTTTTGTTCTTTTAGACAAACTTTAGTTTTTGGTTTAACTGATAATAATTGTTTTTTTGTTCTTTGGGAAACTATAGAAAAGTCCAGAATTTAAAAAAATTTCAAAATTTCAAAATGTCAATGTTGGTGAAAGTTTATTTTTGTTTATGTGTACTATTCCCGATGAATACTAATTTCTAAGTAATTTTAAGTCCAGTATAGGAATATTTGAGTACAGTGAAACTTTCATCTTGATCTCGGCCAAAGCTTCTTTACAAGCAGACCTTTAAATTTAATATAAACAACTAAGCAATGATGAATTATTTGCGATATTTGATATTGATAAGTGTAGTTAAGTTTAAGGCTAATTAAGTTAAAAAGGAGCAAGCATTTGTTTAACAAGTTATCATTTATATCTCAATGAAGGCTGGCATTTTAATTTCTCTCATTTTCGGCTAGACTTGACCAATATCATAGGAATTGTACAACCAGTAGAATTACAATCTTAAGCAATACAGAAATGATAATTTATTGACTTTGGAAGCCCTGATAATTCACATCTACGATAGATTGAATTTCCTAAAGAAAACGTAATGTCAAATCATTTTTGTCGTGATAAAGCGTGCACATGCAACTTTACAACCTTTGTGACTCAGCAAAATTTTTTTTTTCCCCTTCATAATTTTTTTTTCTTTTCTACACACTGCCACCACCTTATTTTATACAACTTGCTTAAACAAGCACCAAAAACACCCACAACATCACACAAAAATGTCCCAAAAAGCTGTTAACGTTGCCATCATCGGTGCTGGTCTTGTCGGTTCTGCCTTTATTAGCCAGATCTCTCGTCTTTCCAAGACTCCCATCTCTTACAATGTCATTTTAATTGCTCGGTCTACCAAGGCTCTCATTTCCAAGGACTACTCTCCCTTGACTCTTGGTGACGACTGGCAGTCTCGCCTCAATTCATCTTCCGATTCACTTTCTTCTACTGGTGACATTGCTGCTTACCTTGAGAAGTCTCCCCTTCCTGTTATTCTTGTTGATAACACTTCCAACGAGTCTCTTGCTCAGTCTTACCCTCTACTCATTTCCCAAGGTATTTCTATCGCTACCCCCAACAAGAAAGGCTTCTCCTCTGATCTCGGCCTTTGGAACAGCATTTTTGAGGCTTCTGCTAAGCCTAAGGGTGGTCTTGTCTACCACGAAGCCACTGTAGGTGCTGGTCTTCCTATCATTGGTACTCTTAACGACCTGGTCAACACTGGTGATGAGGTTCTCAAGATTGAGGGTATTTTCTCCGGCTCTCTTTCTTTCATTTTTAACGAGTTCTCCAAGCCTACTGGCTCTGATGTCAAGTTCTCTGATGTTGTTACCAAGGCTAAGGAACTTGGTTACACCGAGCCCGATCCTCGTGAGGATCTTAATGGTCTGGATGTCGCTAGAAAGGTTACCATCCTGTCTCGCTTGGCTGGAAACAAGGTCCAAGGCCCCTCTTCTTTCCCAGTCCATAGTCTGATTCCCAAGCCCCTTGAGCGTGTTGAGACTGCTGGTGAATTCCTAGAAAAGCTCCCCCAGTACGATGCTGATCTCGACAAGCTTCGCCAAGAAGCTTCCAGCGAGAACAAGGTTCTTCGTTTCGTTGGTAAGGTTGATCTTACCCAACAAACTCCCTCTGTTGCTGTTGCTCTTGAAAAGTACGACAACTCACACCCCTTCGCTTCTCTTAAGGGCTCTGACAATGTTATCGCTTTTACCACCAAGAGATACCCCAATCCTATTATTATTCAGGGTGCTGGTGCCGGTGATGCCGTTACTGCTGCTGGTGTTTTGGGTGATGTTATCAAGATTGCTCAAAGACTTTAAATGATGCAATTGTACATATATTACTTAAAAATTAAAAAATCAAACAAAACTTTTAAAGCAAAATAAAGAAACAAAATTAATGCGTGTATTATATAATTTTAACCTTGAGATGTCATTTGTGGGGTTGAGTTAGTTGATGACGGGTTGGAGTTTTGTACTACATCAGACTGTTCCTTGTTTTTCCACAATTGAATGGCTTCATCAAACCACGTCATGAGCTGAGAAGTATCCATGCACACTTCTTTGAATCTTTCCAAAATCTCCTCAGGCTGATTGTTTTCTCGTCTTTTCGAAGGGTCAATACGATTGACAGCCAAGGAGTTAATCATGAGAACAAATTCTCGTTCCCCCACAATCTGTGCAATACAAAGCCCAGACTTATGGATGTATTGAATGCTTTTGTAGGTTTGGTCTCCCCAAGAAAATGTCACATTAAACCTGCTAGTGAGAGTACTGCTGAATGGGCCCATATCGTATACAAAGTCACATTTTTTAAGAACAAACTTGTGGTAATACCATTCATCATCAACAAGAGGCTCTTCAATGATATTGGGTATTGGCGATCGAAGATCTTTAAAGAAATTCGGATTATTCGTACTGTTTGCTTGATTTTTTAAACGAATGATAGATCGGGGATCAATCGCCATTTTCACAGGAAATAGTGAACAAAATGGATTAGTGTATTTCAGTTGATTGATTTCTTGCAATGGAACTTGCACTAACCGCAGACCATATTTCTCAGTGAGTTGAGTTATATACACTAGTTTTTCATCAATAAATTTAGGTGTCGTGTTAAGCCATTCAAGTCTGAGCTGAAAACAATTTTCAGGGTTATGGACTCGGTCCAAATGAACTGTCAAAATTTCTGGACGAGATGATTTTTTGGGAATGGTTTTATCAAGATTATACCTCATAGAGCGTGATAGTTCAACACGTGGTTTTGGTGAAGAATCTGTGCTTTCAGACATATTAGTTCCACCTGATAAACCAGAAGTTCCACTTCCCTGAGTTTGAGAAACTGAACGATTGCTGTTAGAAATTCCATGAAGTCCCGGGGATGTATTTTTTGGTTGTTGAGTTTGTCTCTGCCCTAAAAGAGCAGGAGATGCTGGTGCCGAGTCATCCATACTACCTGACCTTTTGTGACCGAGACTATGCATTGATGAGCCTAAATCTTTTAAAGATGTAGATGATTGGGGGTGTCGTCCAATCTTACTAAGAATCATTGAAGAGTCCCCAGAGCTTGAATCTGGCCTTTTTGAATTTTGATCAGGACGTGAGCTGGAAAACCATGATTTATTGGAATTTGATTGCTCATCATATTCTGGCGATAGTCGATAAAAGTAGTGACCATTCAGAAAAGGATGACGATTTTCCACATGATGAAACAAGCCATTACGCATCAGGTAGTTACCGTATTCTACAGCTTCATCAGCCGTTTCAATATCACGAAAATTCATAAGCAACCAATTTACCATTTCTGTTCCAATAAAACAGTGTGCATGTTTTTTCCAATGCCATGATCGATCAATGCACTTAACTCCCCGATCCGATACCAATTCTGTAGCTAATTGAGATAACCGTGCAAAACTTTTTCGAGTAAACCTTTCTGTTGGCATAATAAAAAGTGTATTCTTTCCGCCACCGTTGGCTGAAGATGAGGAAGAAATATTTAGATCGTCTGTGTTATAGTCCATGCTTAGCAAAAAAGATGTCAAATCTCCTGTATAAAAACTGATTTTTGGAATTATGTCATCTCTTTTTAAGTTTTCTGCTTCGCTTTTTTCATCGCGAGCAGAATAATATCGGTCGCGATGAAGAGTAGAAGCTAATCGACGAAGGCCCTCCAATCGAATCTCTTCGGCAGTTAGTTTATGTTGACCATCAGGAAATTTAGTCATAGTCTGAGGAATATCAACTGGTATCAAAACTAGACGCATTCGATACATACGAGGATCATTTAAAACATAGTCCTCGTATCCAGTAAGGATTTGATCAATTTGGTTCCAATTAAAAGTAGGAATACCACTGTTAATCTTAACTCTTAATATATTGTAACTGTCCAAAAATCTAGTCTTAACAAGTGGATTGTATTCCTTCTCTGACCAGCCATTTTCATTCACACCAAGTTTGTGATTATCTGATAGTAGTGAAGTTGCATCGTGCTTTGTGTAAACTCGAACATTAACGTTTGTTCCACTATCAAAAGATATGCGATGGATTTGACTCCCAAGTGACATGTAAAATCTCTTTCCGGATGCATCGTCTTGAACAATCTCAACCACACTATTTGGGCTACCATTGAATAACACTCTTTCCGCAAATGAGACTTCTTTTACTGATATGATCTGAAACCCCATTGATATTCTGATAGCAACCATTTCCATTACGAGTTCTGTAGTTGATTGATATTCAGAGGTATCTGTTTTTAAAATGGCATCATAATTTTGAACTGAATACTTTTGGCGCAACTGTAGTAAAGAAGGAAAATTTGAAGAAAGAAGAGGAAGTGCGGCAGGAGATATAAGCGAACGCCATTTAACAGTCCTACGCTTAATTTTATGAGGATAAACGTATTGCCAACGGCCGTAGTTAGAAATATCAATAATCATACCCTGTGGGACATTTGACGGATTGTCAATTGTCATCCACATAGAATGCTCTTCTTCACGCCTTTCTGCTTTGCTCTTGCCTTTCTTTACAATTTGATTAAACTCATGAGATGAAAGTGAGTTTGAAAGACCAGCAATATTTGAATTAGATTGCACGTCAATTTTTGATTCAGGCATTTTTTGTGAACTAACTTCATTTAAGCCAGTAGTTTGTTTGGTGATAGCTTGAGTTGTGACTGTGGTTTCATGATGAGCATTAGCCATAAAATCCAAATCCAGCCTTTTCCGAGCTTGTGTTATAGGCATTGCTTGTACATGAGGTATGCTGGAAATGTTATTTAATTTTGTTGCTCCAGAAATCTTCCCAAAAGGCCCAGTATTGCTATTAGAAGATGCTTTAACGGTTCTTTCAGGTCTTAAAAGGCTGCTTTGAAGATTTAGGATTAAGCCCTCTAAGTTCTTATCATTTTGTTTGACTGAACTAGACAAATTAGATGTTGGGACAGATGGGGAAATAGGCGACACCACTGAAGAGTTATTTCCAGTTGATGGACTCGTAACGATAGGAGTTTTAAGTGTGTTATCGCCTTGACCTTTTCCAGGAACATCACTAACAGTGTCAGCGTCATTTTTGCTAACTTCTTCCAACTTAACCAAATTGTGGTTGTTATTAATAGGAAATAAATGACTTAAAGATGAATTTTGTTCTTGTGGTTGAATTGCAACTGATAAAGAAGGCCTGGTAGAAAAATTGTCATTTTGTTCAGATGATAATGTTTCAGAATATGTTCCCATAATTGAGCTTGAAGGTTTATTTGTCATGCCAATAGTTGACAATGTCGGATTAGAAATAACAGAAGTCACTGTATTTATAGCTGATGCGGGGAAATTTGTCGCTAATGGCCCCACTAGAGTACTAAGTGGCCCTGGTAAAGTGGCAATTGAATCTGTGTTTAAAGGTGCATCGTTATAATCATGAGCCAATATAGATGCGGAACTGCTTTTAATTGTAGGTGATATAGGATTTGAATCACTGTTCTGGGACGCCATCCCAGTAGACATACTGTTTGTTTGAAGAGAAGCAGAAGACGAAACTCTAGTAATATCTGCAAATGATTTGAAAGGTGCGTTTAAGTTTTCAGCATCATCCAATTGAGAGGGGGTGACAGATTTGTCAGGCTCTGGATTATTACTATTAGTATCATCACCACCTCTGTAGAAAGAACGTAATGTAAGTGTACTTGCTCTTTTCCAAAAGAGTTTAGCTTTGTTGATTGACTTAATCGATCCGGTAGCGGCAGATGTAGTAGCAGGACTATTAAGAGTTTGGCTATTGACAGCTGGACTTGATACAGGCAAAAAATTAGGAGATTGAGGAGCAGTTTCAGTACCAGAGCCTAAAGAACTCACCGCTGATAAAGATGGTGACATTGCCGACGAAGATGATGAAACCGCACGCTTGATAGCTTTATCGGCACACAAGAGTGAAGTGAGGGCTGATTTTTTGGGCTGAACAATTGGCACATCAACACCACTAACATCAATTCCAATGGTAGATTTCACAGCAGTGACGATCGGTCTTGCATATTCTGTTTGTTGTGGAGCAACGGACTCTCGGGTACTTTTGATAATCTTTGGTGCATATTCAAGATCTCGTTTTTTGTCATCTTCTAAAATCAAAGTTTTAGATGGTTCTGAGATACAAAAAACCTGACAATCATATTGATCCATTTCTTCATCCATTGATTTATAGTTTGGAACTTGTGGAAGATGGTCAATCGCAATTGAACTTACTTCGTTTTCCATTACACCCATCATTTGAATTTCATAGATTTTGCAGCGAGGAATCCATTGACTTCCCTTCCGTTCATTTGATGACCAAAAAGAAATGTCAAGCCAGCTAGGAACGCAATGACTGATTAATCCACCTCTTCGCTTATCTTTAAATCGAAAAAGCGGGGTAACATGCAAAGGTGGACGTCCCAGGCACACTAAATCAATGCCGATTTCTAAGTTTGTAAGTTTGGTGCTTGTCTCATATAATAAATCATAATCCACGTCATAAATGCCGGTTCCAGGGGTTACAATTAAAGCCTGAACACCAGTTCTTCGAAGATCACGATCCCGGTATTTTCCTGAAACTAATGTTGTAACCATATTGATGGCTTCAAGAATGTTACCCTTTACTGCAGGAACAATGCGACCTGTTATTTTGCCGCTCTTTTCCAATAAAACATCTTTCTCAAAACGCGTAAACTCATAACGTAGTTTTTCCATTATTTCATCCCAATTATTGCAAACATCAAGCTGATCAACAACTACGCGAAAGTAGTCAGTTTTGGTCTTAACAGTTTCGCCATGCTGAAGGCGTTTATTATCACTAGAGGTATCTACTGTAGTAAATAAAATAATAGTAACAACGTGATGAGAGTCTTGATTGCGCCAGCGCTTAAAAACTTCTGGGAAAAAAGAGTTTATCATTTTGTGAAAAATAATATGACCTTGTTCTTCAAAGTGCCACATTTCTGATGACATTTGAATAAAAAACACAAGTCGTGAAGAATCAGACCGATAAATTATTCTAGTGTTGGGTCCAATGTAACCTGATGAAACTTTTTTCCCATTTCGATATATTTCGCAAATTGTAGTGCGAATTAATTTGCAATAAGTTACTATTTGGTCTTTGTAACAGCAAGTGTTTGTTAAAAAAGAGGATATTCTCCACATGTCTGCCCTTGTCAAATAGGTATCTTTAAATCGAAGTTCGATTGCATCTGCTTTAGCTTTTTCGGAAGGCAACTATATAGCGTCAGTATTATTATAATTATTAAGAGAAAGTGAACATACCAATTTAACTAATACTTTTGAGCGTGATGGAATATCAAAAATTTTTTTAAGTTCTTCTTTGAGAGAAATCTAAATGAATGTGTTAAAATGGCTAATTCAAAAAAATAGATAAAAATGGATAAAAAAAAGTGACTTACCTGAACGGGAGGGGTGATTTTCATGAGCTCTTCATTTAATGGCTTTACTATAAAATAAAATCTAAGACCATTTTCAGGGCTTCGAAGTTCAGCAATATCACCCTCTTTAGTATCTTTAGGTAGTAAAGTTATATCAACCATAACGTCTTCCTCGGATATTGTATGAGCATGTGACCAGGATACAAGTTGAACTTCCTTTGCTTGATATTTTTTGTTTTTTATAGCGTCATCTGTAGTCGGAGAGCTGTTGACTCCACCAGTAGAAAATCCACCGGAAATATTTTCAGAAAAACCTCCAGCACCATTGTTTTCTGAAATATTGGAAAACTGATCATGAATACCTAAAGCAGGAATAGAGTTGCGATGTTGTGGATGTGATGGTAGATTGAAACTAGCGACATTTTTAGATGTATGAAAAGGAATTTTGTTAGAAGAATGAAATTTATTGCTGCTAGTTTGCAATGAAGGATCATTAGTCCACTGAGGAGTCAAAAATGTATCTCCCTGGTCGACTGTTTTATCAGTGTTTTGAGCAGAAGCTTCGTTGGAAGGCCATCTCATAGAGTTTTTTTGAGAATAATAATTTCCCTTCATTGACAATTTTCCCATAGTTAATCATCAAAAATTGTTTTTGATAAATATGATTTCTAATATATACAGTATCGAGCTAAGTATTCGTATCTATGATAATCGAAATCATTTGTTAGTAGTGTATTTTTTGTAAGTAATGCTTTGGTCTGGTGGGACAAAATCAAAAACAATTGTTAACCTAACCCTAACCCGATAAACTTGCCCCTAAAACCCAGTGCGTCTTATTACCCTAAACTAAGCCCATAATTTCATTTCTGTTTACTTTTTTCAATCACTATTTACAAAAAACAAACAAAAAAAAAACTACGTGAATGAATAAAAAAAATTCGTTAAATAGTACCAATTATAATTATAATTATTATGAGTTTTGTTAGCTGTCCAATATGCAACCGCCAAATGACTCTTGCTCAAGTTAATAATCATTTAGATCGTGGTTGTAATTTGAAAACTAGCTCACATCTTTCGTCAGGAGAAGAAGACAAGCTTCGCGAATGCTCACCTCAAAAATTGTCACACTCATCTAATCAACTTCATTTAACCGATAATAAGCCTGAAAAAGACAAACGCTTGCCAAATACGTTTCAATTAGATAAAACAACTGAAAAACGACCCTTCTCATCCTTAATACCACCTGATTCATACAAAAACGATACAAATTCTTCTTCTAAACACAGAAAACTTGGAGCAGAGCACATTTCCACTAGTCCCTCATCAAAATTTCAGTCCCCTTCTAAAAGCAAATCAAAAATCCTTAAAAAAAGCAACGATTTTGGAGATAAACCTTTAGCTGAATTGATAAGGCCTAAAACATTAGACGAATTTATAGGCCAGGAAGATTTGGTTGGAAAACTAGACACTGGCTTAGGTGAAAGATCCAAAATAGGGATATTAAGACAATTCATAGAAGGAGACAAAGTTCCATCTATGATATTGTGGGGGCCATCTGGAGTCGGTAAAACTACTCTTGCAAGAATAATAGCTCACAAAACAAAATCTCGATTTATAGAGCTTTCGGCAACAATTCATGGAACTTCGGACTGTAAAAAGATATTCGAAGAGGCAAAAAATGAAAAAAGGTTAACAAAACGACGAACTATTATATTTCTTGACGAAGTTCATCGGTTTAATAAGGCACAGCAAGACGTTTTTTTACCGCATGTCGAACGAGGTGACGTGACATTAATTGGTGCTACGACCGAAAATCCTTCGTTTAAGATCAATGGGGCACTGCTCTCACGATGTAGAGTGTTTGTTCTCAAAAAGTTAACTCAAAAAGATCTTGAAAAAATGATGAAAAGAGCTGTTGAACTTGTCAATAAAGAATATAAACAGACATATGACGCCACTGAGGCAGACAGCAACCAAGAACGATACCCATCAGTTGAATTAAAGTTAAGTGATGATATTATTAAATATTTGTCAGGCCTTGCAGATGGTGATGGTCGTGTAGCACTTAACATTTTGGAAATGGTAATAAACATGTCAACCACGCTTTCAAACAATGACAGCGTAAACAGAAACATGCCACTGAAAACTTTTAAACAATTGACAGTAGATGAAGTTCGAGATGGGCTTAAGCGAACACATATGCTTTACGATAGAAATGGTGATGGCCATTATGATACCATTTCTGCATTTCATAAAAGCGTTAGAGGGTCTGACCCAGATGCAGCATTGTATTATCTTGGTCGTATGCTAGAGTCTGGTGAGGATCCTTTGTACGTGGCTCGTAGAATGGTAAGAATGGCTTCTGAAGACATTGGACTTGCCGCAGACGATTGCCTTCCTTTTGCTGTAGCTACCATGACAGCAGTCCAACAAATTGGTATGCCCGAAGCTGATGTTGTATTGGCACATTGTGCCGTAAAGCTCGCGACGGCACCCAAATCAGTAATGGTTTACAGAGGTTATAACAAAGTCAAAGACCTTCTTCATAATGAGCCAGGAATAAGTGCAAAGGAAATTCCCCTTCATATCCGTAATGCACCAACCAAACTAATGAAAACTTTAGGGTATGGAAAAGAATATAAATACAATCCAGATTTTATAGACGGAAAAGTTAAACAAAATTACATGCCCGAAGGACTTGAGGAACTTAAGTTTATCGATTTCAACCATCATCTTGGATCTCGACTTGATCCAGAATTGGAAGACGATAAACTGACTGAAGTAAAAATATAAATTTAAAAAAAAAAAAATAAAAAAAAAAACTGAAATCATGATAAAATTGTGTACGTTAGAAATATAGTTAATATATACTAAAAAAATTCATTACTCATTACTGTGGATACTTTTGGGAAGTGGAAAAAAAAACAGACTCATTTTATTCGCTTTATTTAAAACCCAAGGTAACTGATGGCGTTTTTGGTTTCAGTAAAAATCTGTTTCACCAATATAAGTAGCTCTGAGATTCTATCAAGACAAATCTGAGGGTTGTCAATGGAAACAGCACCCGATTCATCCTTCTGGAAGCCTAAATGTTGAATTTTTTCACAACAGTCTTGAATTCTCCATAATCCTAAGGCAGCCGAAGAGCCCTTTAGGAAATGGCCAGAAGAAGACAAGCCAGGAAGATCTTTTGCGGCAAGCGCTTGCTCCATTTCTTTAATTGAGTCCTGAAATTGGTCATAAAAACTTGATAACATTGATTTGGTAAAAGACATATCGTCGTCATCATCCAGTCCCACTATTTGTTCAAATGTTGCTGGATCAATATATTCCCGTACCCGAGGTTCGTAAAGCTTGTTTGGATCCATTTTTTATGTTTGTTTATATATGATTGTGTTGTTTATGTTTAGTAAAATCAAAGCGCAATAATTTTATGATTTCGAAATGTATATAAATTGAATCAATAATCATAAAAAAATATGCAAGAGCTTTATAATCGGATGAGGTGACCGTTAAGAATGCACGCAGATAAACTTTTTTTTGCAGGCCCAAAGATTATACGATTATACAATGATACAATAAAAATAAATTAAATTACTGGTTGATTGGGTTTTATATGCGTAGCTAATGTTGGGTTATATGCTATTGTTGATTGTATTTGTAAACTAAGACGGGGTAATGCTGTCCAAAATGATAAGGATTAGTAAGTATTGGGGAAATGTATTCAGGGTTTATTTGACAAAAACAAAGTATTTTGTTTAAATAAAAGAGAATAATAAATTTATCAATATATAAATAAGCGAAATATGTAGGATTTTGTTTAATGACGTTTCTATTTTCTTGAAATAACTTTTGATAAAGAAAGGGGAAAAAATTCTGGAAGAATGAGAAACAGAGAGGTTGAGATCAGGTGTGGTGGGTAGTGTAACTTTTAAAAATATGTAATGGTGCTGTTGCTACAAAGTTACAAAAGTTTGTAACAATATTTGGTAGTTACAATAGAGATATGCTTAGGTACTATCTTAATACCTGTAAGTGTAGAAGGCCCTTTAGAAAAATTCATCACGGTGTGTTAAGCCTCCATTTTGAGTGCGTGTCTGAGGAAGAAGCAGCCGCACTGCACGCGAAAAGCTAAACACAGCTTTTGGATGACAAGACCAGTTAACAGCGGCTGATTAAAACAGTATGCCCATGGACTGAGATAGAAAAGACATATGATGGTGAAATGCTAGGAGGAAGGAATAACCACGGCCCAGTATTTTGTATTTTTTGAAGAAAATGGAGTCTAATTTTTTTCAACAATGATCACTAGTATTGATAGGAATATTTAGAAAAACAAGCCAGAGATTGATTTCAAGGTGACGCAATAAGGTGATCTGTTTATACTTTTTTTTTTTTGTAAAATCCCATTGTTCATTATCCACTGAACTTTGGTGATATTACTAATTTGTGCAGGGAAAAAACCAAAGAGACTGAATATCATAGAACAATAATTAAGACAAGGTGAACATGTCACCCAGAATATTATGAAGCTTTATTACCACTCAAGTTTTTACTGCCTTTTTAGCAGTTCTGAGTTAAAAAAGTTGAATGAAATTAGGGATTGGCTGTTGAAATGAAATGGGTTCATTTGATTTATTTACAAAAAATATAGGGGGATTCAATATGATAAACCAGTTTAATTTTAAATCTGTGAGGGTTATTTAGGTAAACAGTAGTCGTTATTAATTCTTGTTAAATTTGTTAGATAAAACTAAAGATGCTTAATAAATATCTTTTTTTTTATTTTTTCATAAAACTGGTTTCGTTGTTTAAATTTTTTGCAGATTCAAAGGCTAGCAGATGAATACCATAGGAGTTGTTAATATACTGGATGCGGACTTTGATTAAGCTGAACAAATATGCTGAAGGAGAGATAAGAGCTTCAGTGAGACGTAATGGTGCGGCCATTCTAGACTTACCTGCACACGCCCATTATTTTTTTTGTAGCTGAGAGCATTGCATCTGGTACATTATTATCAAAAAAAAAAGGGCAAAACTACTACTCCACTTAACTATCCCATATTCAAAACATCTAGAACTATATTATACATAAAGATGTTTATAAAAAAGTTTTAAAATAAAAGGAAAGTTTTTTCTAAAAAAAACCTGATCTTTTATTCTTCAAAGAACCCTATAATAAGTGGTTATTGGTTATATACCATATATGGGGATAAATGTTTAATTGCTATCACTGTGAATGCCAAATGACTCAGAGATCTTTATTTACCACATTTAAAGGACTTGCCAAATTGCCTGCGGACTTTTTTTATTGTAACACTTCACAATGTTAAGACCCATGGAATTAGGCCCTGGACGAATTTAAGAGATAACCATGTTAGAATTCATAGGTTTTGTATTTTTTCGGTACTGTTATTCATTAGATTTAAAATGTGAAATTTTTAAATGGTTCCAGGGTCATAAAACATGAACACAGTAGCAATTATGGCTTGTCTTATAATTTTGTAAGAAATGCAGGTGATTATTCTACGTAATTAGCGTAACCATAAAGTCTTCTCGTAAACTATTTTTCGTCGTGTCCCATAATAAAATTGGTGAACTTAAAAAGTAACATTTAAGTAAGGGATTTCAGAGTATAACTTTCAATATTACTTATAATTAATTATCCAATTAGGATATATATCAGTTACTGGTTCAATCTTTAATGAACACAGAAAACCCGTATACTAAAAAGGATATCGTCAATATTTAAAAAACGTGCTCAATTAAGCAATAAAGGCCTAGAAAAAAATCTCAAATATATATATTCATATATGGATTTTAAAATATTCATAGAAGCGATTATTCAAAAAAGAATTTTCAAAAGAAGAAAATAAGAATTTGAGGATAATTTAAATACATAGCATATATTTAGAAAGAGATTGAAGTATTTTGATTTAGAAAAAAAGGCTAAATTGATCAAAAAAAAATCATCTAATCCAGAAAAAAATGGACCCAATAATTGACTTATTTGTCTTTAAATGCCAATTATGGTACTTTTAGGTTTGGGATAAATGAAAAAAAAACTGTTGATATTTAATCCATTTTTGTCTTACTATCAAATTAATTTGTTAAACCCTGTATTTAAGAGCCAAGTTGGAACAAAGTTATATTGGCATATGAATGCTCAGAAGATAAGGTATATTGCTCAAAAAAATGGGATTAGCATTATTGATTTTAATTAAAACCAAAAATCTTTAAATTCTTATATATTTATCCACTAATGTTTTTAAATTTAAAATTAAAAACAAAGGCATGATTTAAAGTCAAATGGAGATAATCTAGTTCCAGTTATTCAAATGAATTTTGAGTAAGGCATGGCAAAAACAGAAAATATATCATTATTCAATTTTTGATACATTAGAAATAAAAGTATTTAATCTATTAATTTCCTCATTTTTTTAAAAAAAAATGTTTATATTATTATAAAAATAAAAAAAAAATGGTGATTTCCCCCAAAATTAAACCATATATTCCTCACCTTCGTCAAATTGATGAAGAGCAGTTTGTTTATCAGATTAATTCTCGAATAAAAAACTGCAGCATTATTTCTTTAAATGATTCTCAGAAAGATTCAGATGCTGAAAAAGAAGTTGGAGAAGCACTTGTGCATGCCCCAGAGGTTGAATATGAGCTTCGTGATGAAGCAAATAGAAAATGTTGGAAATTATTCAATGAATATGAATATAAACGAAATGCTGGAGAGAATAAAACTAAATGGTATCATTGGTTTGACCAAAATGACAGTCCTAAAGAAAAAAAGCTTTTAATGAAACTCGATCTATTGCTATGTTTTTTCTCCTTTGTCATGTACTGGGTCAAATATCTTGATCAAGCAAACATCAATAATGCATATGTTTCGGGAATGAAGGAAGACTTAAGAATGAAAGGAAATGATCTGGTAAATACACAAGCAGTATACACTGTGGGGTCAGTTGTTTTTCAACTCCCTATGATGTATCTAATTCACAGATATCCAACAAATATTATTCTTCCTGTTATGGATTTGGGCTGGGGTCTTTTTACTTTGGCAATTTATCAATCCCATTCTCTTAGAGATCTTCAAGCTTATAGATTTTTCGTTGGAGTCTTTGAAGCAGCTTTTTACCCAACCATTCATTATTTGTTTGGTTCTTGGTATAAGCCATCAGAGTATGCTAGAAGAGGAGGGTTTTATTATTTTGGTCAAATGCTAGGTCTATGCACGGCTGGTTTAATTATGAGTTCATGTATTAAACTTGATGGTATCAATGATATAGCTGGGTGGAGATGGATGTTTATCATTGACTCTATTATCACTATTCCAATAGCCGTAATTGGATTTTTTGTTCTCCCTGGTACTCCTAAATACTGCTATTCTTTATTTCTTACTGATGAAGAAATTTATATTGCCCGAAAACGACTTCGTGACGCAAATATAGCAATCGAAGAAGAAGAACCTAAATTTCTTTCTAAAAATTTATGGAAAAACCTTTTGGGTACCTGGAAATTTTATATGTTTGTTTTCTTAAGTATTTTGGTGTCTAATACCAGTAATGCTAGTAATGGATCATTTATTCTCTGGTTGAAGTCTTTAGACAGGTACAGCATTTCTAAGGTTAATACTCTTTCTTCAATTACACCGGCCCTTGGTATAATCTACATTTTCCTTACTACGACCCTTTCAGATAAGACACAGTCTCGTTGGGGAGCCATTATTTTTTCTCAGTTTTTTAATTTTTTGGGGAACATTTTACTTGCAATTTGGAATATACCCGAAGGTGCCAAATGGTTTGCCTTCTGTATCCAATACTTTGGATGGGCAGTTTCTTCAGTCATTTACTCCTGGGCTGCAGATACCATGCGTCATGACCCACAGCAGCGTGCTATTACAATAGTATCTATGAACCTAATTGGTCAGGCTTCCTCTGCTGTTCTATCAATATTAGTATGGAAAACATCCGAAGCTCCCAGATTCAAAAAAGGGTTTTCATTTGTTTCTGCAGTTTCAATTACAATAATGATATGGGCAACTATAATGCTTCCATTTTATAAAAAGGACGAGCGCAAGCACGCTCTAGAGAATAGAATTATAGTCTACAATTCTAAGTCTGATGAAGTGCCGAGGCTAGTCGAAAGTTCCGAAAAAACAGTAGAAACTCTATCCAAAACAAGTTAAGAATTTAGATTGACACTTATTTTACTAATTAATATACACTAAAAATCACCATGTAATAATTTTATATTGTTTATTTTTCTTCAGTGGCTGTAGATGATTCACCTTCTTCTACCTCTTCCAAAACCTCTTCTAAATACTCCGATGCCTCTTCAAATCTTTCACGTGCTACTCTTGCAGCACCAATGCTATTAGAACGAATAACACGACCAAATTTCCTTCTAGGCTTTTTAGGATTTACAGAAGTGTCCCAGACGCTGTGTTCATGCGAAGTAAAAAAGAGAGAATTTTGAAAGAACCACTCCGAAATATATTCGTCTATAACTGGTGTTATTGCACGCAAAGGCATATCATCAACAAAGGCTATTAGTGCCTTTACTCGAGTGCGAAGATCGCGATGGCCTGCCAAATATACTATACCGGCGTAAGCTTCACCAATACCAACAAAAGCAATATTTCGAGCAGCAAAATTTTCCATATACTCATCCCATAAATATATGCACAAGTCTTGTGAGCCAGAGCCAATAGAATAACTTGAAGAATGACTGATACCTGCAATTCCAGGAACCGTGACATCCACAACTCCATATTTTTTCTCACGTGCCCAATCAATAACTTGCCGTGACGCGTCGATCATCAATGACTGTGAGGGGTCTATTGTTCCTAACAAAGGTCTTCTTTCTGCCCATATTTCTGGAGTGTCGTGAATTATGACAATAAGAGTATTTTCTTTATGAATGTCTGGTGTTGCTAAGATTTGTGCTTCAATTGTGTCTTGAATTTTGTCCTTGAGGATTGGTAAAGGAGTCATACGGTGCTTTTCAAACAAGTCCTTTGATTGATATGATCGAATAACGTCTGGAATGAAAACAGTTTCTTCAGTGTGTTTGAAATCAACAGCATGATATCCATGGCGCATGCATTCCCAATATTTTGATTGCTCGCGAATGACATCACTTATATCTTGGACTGCAGAATGCTGAGGAATTTTTGTTAGAGGTCGGCCGGGGATTTCACCAACTAAAACTTTTGTAACAGCAAGAGCACTTTTTGCAATGGAATCTAGATTGTATCCTCCTTCCATCACAACAACAAGATTTCCGTTCGCTAAAACCTTCATCATATGAGTTAAATATCCATATGCGTTTGGTGTCAAGTGATAGCCTCCAATGGGGTCACCTTCTGCAGCATCAAAACCAGATGAGATAATGACCAAGTCAGGGTCAAATTCAATTGCAATAGGCAAAATTACCCTGTTCATAGCGTAAATATAATCCGCATCACCCATTCCAGCTGCAGACCAAGGAATATTGACATTGTAGCCTTCACCATTTCCTTCGCCAACCTTTGTGTGAGACCCATAATCAGTTCCGGGATAAAATTTTCCGCCTTCGTAACGATGTAAAGACATATACAAAACGCGGGGATCGTTGTAAAAGGCGCGTTGAGTACCATTACCGTGATGAACATCCCAGTCAAGCACAATAATTTTTCTAACGCTTTCGGGGTAATCTCTCAAGATAGCTTTGGCAGCAACTGCAACATTAGAAAAAAGACAAAATCCTGCAGCATTTCCCGGTTCAGCATGGTGTCCAGGGGGTCTGACAATTGCGATAGCATTCTTAACCTTGCGCTCAACAACAGATTTGCATACCTCAATAGCACCTCCACAGGAAAGAAGAGCGGAAGTATAGGAGTCGTTATTAAAATATACGGAATCACCTTTTTCTGTTTCTTCTATTAATTGTTCACGTGTCATTGTCGTAGTTGACTTTATAAAATCAATGTGGTCTTGGGTGTGGACCAAAAGCAGTTCTTCATCAGAAGCAAATCGGATAGGAATTTTTTGCATGAGATTTCCAACCTCGTCGAGGCCCTCAAGTTTAGGGTCGATGATAATACCAGATTCGGCAAGTGCTTTGTACACACGATATATGCGTCGCGGGTCTTCAGGATGGGGGTCCACATAGTCGAAATTAGAAGTCACGATTTTTGCATGGTAACGCATACGAACATCGTAACAATACCCTGTTCGGAGAGGAATGTATATAAGTTGTGGTTTTGTAGTTTCAACGATTTTTCCGTTTGTTGTTATTAAAGATTGTGATTTCTCTGTCTTGTCTTCGTTTTTAATGACCGGCGGAGTTACTTCTGATGGACGAGTCGCGTCTTGAGATGAAACCAAAAGGTCGCCGGATCTTTTTCTTTTTAAATCCGGTCTTGAATCGTCATTTTTTAAAGTTTCCAAAGACATCGGTGATTGCTCTTGTGTGCTGTTAATAGAAGGTGTTTTGTTTGTATTTGAAGATTCGCAATGACTCGGAGGCTCACCAAAATCAGGGAGTTTATTTACTATTTTGTCTAAAAAGCTGTTTACAGAAGACATAGTATTGTGGACATATTGTTATTATCTATTTATCTGTTGAAAACCTTTATCAGGCGTTTGGTTTATTCTTCCTTATAATTTGTCTTTTGGCCTAGAATAAGTTTAAGGTTGGATTTTGGGATTTTTAAAATGGTGAAAAAAAGAAAAACAAGAAAAACAAGAAAAACAAGGAAAACAAGGAAAACAACAAAAAAAGAAGAAGGACAAGAAGGCCGGAAAACTAATTTAGGTCAAATATATTGCAATATTTGTTACACTGTTTTGCTTATGTCATAATAAATTTATTTTGTGAATTCCCGAAAGTGCAACTGGAGATGTATTTATCTAGAATGATAAAAAAAAATGCCTCCAGATGTCAATAAAACCTATTGCTTTTTTTTTTTTTTTTTTTCTTTACATGAATCAATAATATCAAGAAAGTATGGGCAAACGACCAAATTTTCAAATCACTGTGGTAATTAATGAGCTCACAAACCTGCCACAGGTCTCTGGGAATTCATGGATTAGGTGGTTTGTTAAAGACTCACCAAAGCCTGAAGCCCGTGGAAAAACAGATAAACACCAAGTTAAAGAGCATCGCGTCAATTACGGAAGTCATACAATTTCATTTACTCATCACATTCGTGTTTCAACACGTACTTCGACTTTAAAAGAATGTATTGTTGTTTTTGAAGTCATTTGGGAACACAAAAATTCTGCAGAAAAAATCAACTTGGGAAAAGTCGAAGTAAATTTGTCCGAGTTTGCCAATGTGGAAACTGCGCAGCCAACACGCTTTCTTTTGAAAGACAGTAAAATCAACAGCACGTTAAGTTTAACTATTGTGTTGAAACAACTTTCGGGAACAAAAAGTTATAAAGTGTATGATAATTTGAAGTTTTACCAAAAGAGGGGAAAAAAAAAAACTAACAATAGTTTAACAGACCTGAACCAACTTCACGAGTATTTGGTGATATATCATCCACTTTGAACAATGATATTGGTCGTATGTATTTTTCTTGACCCCATAAAATTTCTTTAAAAACTAACTTGTTTTAAGATGGACTGAGTGATGCTAAAAACACATTTGGTTCACTTTCAAACTCGACCTTTTCTGTTCAATGGCATTCGGTTGTGGAAGGTGATTGTCACCCGCGAGCTTGCATCAATGACATTTTTAATGGCGGGGACGGACTTGTAGGAGTGTGTTCCGTTCCCGCAGAGAACAACGGATTGGCTGCCAAAGAGAAGCCCAAGAAAAAAGAGTTAAATACTGCTAAGAAGGCAAACCTTAACAACACCTTTGGTCAAGAAAAAGGAATATTTGAGGGTGGAGAAGGAAGAAAGCCAAAGACTTCAACCAACTTGAGCGAGCTGGCATTGCTCAATGACGGTAAAATCAGGCCATTAATAATGACAGAAGAAGACGTTAGAGATAGCCTCCAATCATGGCGTATTGAAAACATTGCTGCCAAATAACTTTTGTATTAAATAGATCTTAAAGTCAGGTCTTTTATTTATTTTTAATGTGTGAATGTAAAACCCTGTTGGTTTAAGGTAGACAATTAAACTGCACGTGTAATAGCCTCTTTTAAGTGTAACGCGAATAATTTTTTTTTCCCTTCTTTCAAAAAATTTTGGCGAACAACCAACCAAATTGTATGACTTAGAAAAAAATACACATTATCCGGACAAGTTTTTTCTTCGTTATAGAAGATCCACATCTTATTAAATAATTAGGCATTTAAGATGGTACGCGCTTTTTTTTTAAAAAAAAATATTAAACAGTTTATTTCTTTTGTTTTTTTTATTATCATCTAATACAAACTTAGTCAGCCAACTACTGGTCTTCGACTCAAAGGCACCAATGGCAGTACACGCGAACTGAACTTCATGAAGAGCATATGAAAGTTCGACAATGGGACTATGATGAAGGAAAGATTGCGAATTTAGACGATGACACACTTTACGACAATATGCGTTTGTATTTCCATAGCTGTAGGTTGCAACAAATTTTGCTTTGTTTTTTTGCTCTAAGCGGGTTTTCTAACTTGAAACGTGTTTTGTAGTGGTTCGCTTACTAGGTCGACAACTCAATGTTCGGCAACGAGCCATTGGAACAGCGGAGGTTTATTTGACACGATTTTTCACCAGAATATCTTTTTTTGAGGTCAACGCCTATGCCATGGTTGCAACATGTGTTTACGTTGCCTGTAAAACAGAAGAATGCCCCCAGCACATTCGGACTATTACAAATGAAGCAAGATCTTTGTGGCCTGAATATGTTAGCCCAGATCCGACAAAAATTGCTGAGTGCGAGTTTTATCTTATTGAGGAACTTGATAGTTATCTTATTGTTTATCATCCTTATCGTTCACTGATTCAATTGACAGAGAGTCTCACTATAGCTAACAGCCAGCTGACTCTTCTTAGTGAGGAAATACAGTCCGCTTGGTCCATGATAAATGATAGCTATGCAACGGATATGTTATTGTTATATCCTCCACATATTATTGCAATGGCTTGTCTCTATATTACTCTTGTTTTGCGAACACCACTAATGAGGCAGTCCAGGTCCTATGAATCCGTCAAAGCGAAGTTTGATCAATTTGTTTTTTTTCTTGGAAACTCAGGGATAGATCTTGAAAGTGTTATTGATGCCATCCAGGAGCTAATTTCTTTATATGTTCGATGGGAGTCTTATGACGAAAGCAGATGCAAGTTGATACTTTCGAAACACATCTTGTCTTCAGGGTGATTACTTGATTACTTTATTATTATTTTTTTGACATTGAAACGCTTTCATAAATATCATCAAATCCCCTGATCCTTTCAATTTTCAACATGATTGTCAAAGACTTTTTTTCTCACTTTGTTTTTTTTTACTATATTATCATTACGTTTCAGCAATGGGTCGGCAGTTCACTGAAGCCAACTTCCCGCATCCTAAAGACCATCTCGATGATAATGATGATGATGATAATGATGATGATGATGTTGATTCTTACTTTTCTAATAACAGCCAGGAAGTTCCTGATGAAATAAAAAATGCTTTAGATGCAGCATTATGCGAAACATATGCTACTAAATTAGTGGTTCCGTTTGTCATTAATGAATTATCATTCATCAATAGTTTATCAAGCTGTCTTGAAGCATCTGACGAATACAACAATATTTTGGCAAAAATCAATCTACTATCCTCAAAAGAAATTCAAAAAAAGATTGATACTTTTAAATGGAAAATTAAACAACCTAGATCGGTTAATTCCAAAAATGAAGCTGAAAATTATAACTCTGACTCTGATACTGATACTGACTCTGACACTGACTCTGAATCTAGCGCTAACGTTAACGAAAGCCACATCAGCAAAAGTAAAAGTGACAACAATGTTGGCAATAACAGCGAAAATGAAACCCTAGAAGAGTATTATATGGAGGCTGATGAATCAGATTACGATGGAAGTATAAGCATCAGTGATGAGGAGGATAATATCCAAGATTTACCCGACAAAATCAATAAAGACGAAATTTATAATAGTGACGGCAAACAGCCAAATTTCCAATCTTCAAGTCCTTCTGCTACACAAAGGCCATTTTCTTCGATGCCTGACTTAATCAAAGTTAGTTCATCAGACTTTAACCTACCACCTCCTCTTATGCTTCAAGACACGGGGCTTCCTCCGGCGGTCAGTCATTCAGAAAATGGTCGCCACTTGAATTCTGATAATTCTTTGAACTTCTCGTTATTACTTCCTCCTATACGTTCTTCAAGTTTGACACCATCGGTGGGTTCATTTTCCTTAAACACACAACCTCTACTGAAGCATTCAAAAAGCATTTCAGATTTCCCTCCATCAACAGGCGAACCCTCTCAGAAATTTAACCCTGAAACTTATTCAGGTTTTACTTTACCATCATTTGATCTTTCGGATCATGAAAAAAATTTAAATCCTTCCACACCAGTGGTTCTGAGAAATGAGAATCGCACACCACCTAACTTGTTACATATTACCAATTTTCAAGCAATGTCGACACCCTCGACACCGTCAACTCCAAAAAATCAAAAACTTTCAGATGTATATCTTAAATTTCCTCTTAAAGGCAACGGTGGCAGTCCAGAAAGTCCTTCTTATATTTTAACAAACAGTAACTTGCCATACAATAATGCTACTCTGTCTTATAGTCTTTTTTACAACGGTTCTCCAAATTTAGACAAAAAGTCTGAAAAAGTTTCGGATATGATTTTTGATTTAGATGATTTTAAAATAAAGCAAGAAGAAGTTACCGACGAAGAGATATTTCAAAAATATAATACCCTGAGTGATGTGGAAGATACCTTTCATCAAAGCGAAAACATTCCTGGGAATGAAGATAGTCCAACTCAGTACCATGGTAGCTCTGATAGCTTTGAAAGTATGTCAGATGATTATGAAAATTTTTCAGAAAAATCTGATGAACGTTTAGAACTTCCAGTATCTTCTAGGATGGTGCGTGCTGATAAAGGAAAGGGGATAACCAAAAATACCAACAGGAAAAAAAACAGAATTCCATTCTTAAACATGGCTGGTTCCAAGTTTTTATCAGGTGATAATGTTGACGATTTAAACACGTTTGGAAGTCCAGAAATTGAAGATTTTGATAGCGATCTGGACATCGAAGACAAAACTGTAGATGACTATGTGAAGGAAATCCAAGATCTTTACACTGACTACTATAATTTTATTCATAACGTGAGTTTTTCTTAGTTTTTTTTTTTTTTTTTGTATTTCTTTATCTAGTACTAATTTGAATATTCAAGACTGTTGGACCTATTAAGTTTGCCCCAGAAGATGTGATTAATAGAGACCTTCATTACATGAACTGCTTTTTGAAGCATATCCAGGATTTCAAGGTTATCCCCAAACTTAGTGTTTTTGAACGCAGTGCTCTTCTTGAGAAACAGTTTTTTAAAACACCAAAAATAAATAAGCAGCAAGTAAAAGAGCTTGCAGAACAGTCTGGATTGTCTGAAAAGTCTATTCGTATTTGGTTTGCCAACAAGCGAAGCCGAACCAAAAAAGAAAGACTTAAACAAAAAGAAGTACAAACCTGATGTGTTTTTTTGTTTAGTAGTAATTAAATTAAAAAATAAAATAAAATAAAACAAAATTATTATAATGTTTAATTAATTTTTATTCAAGGATTATAGAATTTTATCCTGCTATCCTTTTTGTTCTTAGTAGTTACTATATATCTCTTCTTTTTTATAAGAAACTTTTAATTTAGCTTTATTATTGAATCTATAACAGTCAAAAAAAGTAACTCCTAGTGACTGCTAACAAAAATTTAAGGGTTTCCGTTTGTTTGTTTGTTTGTTTTTATTCAAGGGTTATAGAACTATATAACATCAGCATCTGCGCTATCCTTTTATTGTCTGACTATGTGACTTGCCGGTTTTCATTTGTACCTTTTTAGCACGGGTGGTTTCTGTTCTGTGCGTCTCCGGTAGCCCGGAAGATGGGCCCTGATGCCAGCTTACGAGGAACAGGGAGAACCAGTCTGTCGGTCCCAAAACCTTCCCAACCCATTTCCACTTATCTTCACGGACGCCCATGTATTTCTTAATCTCTTCCGTCAGAGATACGGTCTGCAATCACCTGCAGGCTATTTAGACTGTACGGAAGAGTCGGCATTCCTGTAACCAGGGTAGCCTATGGTTTTCAGTCTAGGTGTGTACTCCCGTACACATCCTCAGGAAAAGGGGGTATTCTGGGAATCGAACCCAGTATCTTCCGCTATCGAGCGAACGTGTTATCCTTTACACCATCCAGCCCTTTCCCCATGTAAGGGTTTCGTTTGTTTGTTTGTTTGTTTTTATTCAAGGGTTATAGAATTATATAACATCAGCATCTGCGCTATCCTTCTTGTCCATACTATATATTTTTTCATTTTGATAATAAACTTTTAATTTTGGCTTCAACATTGCATCTCCAACAGCCCGAAAATAAGTCCTGATGCATGTAAGGGTTTCCGGCTTTTCTAAATTTTTAAAAATGATGTTTCTCTCATAATTATACTAAATTCTAACTCAAAATTTAAGGTTTTCTGGTTTTGTGGTGTAATGGTTATCACGTCTCGTTCACACCGAGGAGGCTCCGAGTTCGATCCTCGGCAGGATCAATTTTTTGAATAAAAAATCAGAATCAGGGTTAGGTTTCAGTATTTTTTTTTTTTACCCTCTCACGTTTTACCATGCTAGATTTTTCTCTTTTTTTCCTCTCACAGTATACATCCGCTGATCAATCAGTTTGCAACCCCTTCCCCAGTTGGTTCATTTTTTTTATTTTAAAAAGATGCTTAGCTTGCTGAGAGTTCAGAATCGATATGCTGTGCGAGCACTTCAACTTCAACAGCTTGGGGTGAGGCTTTATTCGGTGAAGAGCCCAAGAGTAAAGCGACCAGGAGCTTTTACTTCAAGTAGGCAAAAAGTGCAGCCGACACCTCCTCCACCTCCCCCATCTCCCGTACCTACTACGGCTCCACCGATTTCGACAAGTCCTCAAACAGTTAGTGAACCAAAAGTTGTTCCTAAAGAAGCGCAGCCTCAAAAGGCTTCGATACCAGAACGTCCTGTGGAAAAAGAGCAAAAAAGAGCTCCTAAAACAGAATATAAGAAGAAGGAAGATAATAACAATTCGTTCAACAGGAAAAACAATAGAAGCAATAATGATCGACAAAATCTGAAAAATAGCAAGCCAAATTATCCTCCTAAGAAGAAGATTATCAAGCCAGTTCAGAAAAAGACGGTCATGATTCCTAAGAGTATAACACTGGCTAATTTTTCGCATGTCGTCAATACCAAGTATTCACAACTTGTCACTCTTATGACGGAAATGGGTTTTGAAAACCTGCGTCACGATTATATTCTTTCTGAGTCTGATGCAAAGATGATTGCTGAAGAGTTAGGCTTTGCACCAGTTATCGACGATACTCTTGCTCTTGATATTTATCCTGCCCCGCCTCCAACTACTGAAGAACTTGCAAAAATACCCTTCCGCCCCCCTATTGTTACAATTATGGGACACGTTGATCACGGTAAAACTACGATTTTGGACTACTTGCGAAAGTCTTCGGTAGCAGCTGGTGAACACGGCGGTATCACTCAGCATATTGGTGCATTTTCTGTGAGGCTTTCTTCCAATAAGGAGATTTGTTTCTTGGATACACCTGGTCACGCTGCATTTTTGAACATGCGTGAGAGAGGTGCCAATGTTACAGATATTGTTGTTTTGGTTGTTGCAGCTGATGATTCTGTTATGCCACAAACTAAGGAAGCAATCAAGCACGCCCAAAACGCCGCAGTCCCCATCATTGTTGCAATCAATAAATGCGACAAGCCAGATGCAAATCCCAATAAAGTTGTTGAAGACTTGTCTGCTAATGGAGTGGATGTTGAGGATTATGGTGGAGAAACTCAGACAATCCGTGTTTCCGGTAAAACTGGCAAGGGCATTGATGATTTAGAAGACGCTATTATTACGCTCTCAGAAATGCTTGAGGTAAAGGCTCCTAAGGTTGGCAATGCTGAAGGTTATGTCATTGAATCACAAATCAAGAAGGGCCAGGGAAGCAGTGCCACAGTTCTAGTGAGACGAGGAACTCTTAAAGTCGGTTCCTATGTTGTTGCTGGCCAGACATGGGCCAAGGTCCGTAGCATGAAGGACTCCAACGGTAAGACTGTTAAGCAAGCCGGGCCTGGTACACCAGTTGAAGTTACAGGTTGGAAAGAGCTTCCTGTTGCAGGTGACGAAATGCTTCAAGCAAAGGATGAAAATCTGGCCAAGAAGGTTGCAGAAACACGAATTGAGCGAGCCAAGATGGAGAAGGAAGCGGATGAAATTAATGTTTTAAACGAAAAAAGACTAAAGTTGCATCAAGAGCATGAAAAGGAGCTTAAGCGTCAAGAGCGCTTAAAAATGGGTCTTTCTGCAGAGGTAGAATCAGACTTTGTTGACACATCTAAAGCAGATGAAGCAGCTGGTCCAATTGTTGTTCCATTTATCATTAAGGCAGACGTTAGTGGTTCTGCAGAAGCAGTTGCAGATAGTATTCAGGGTCTTGGAAACGGAGAGGTACAATCTTCGGTATTGTACAAGGGAGTGGGTCCAGTCACAGACACGGATCTGACGCGTGCGGAGACTGCTGGTGCAGTAATTTTGACCTTTAACGTTGCAACTGACCGAGATATTTCGCACAAGGCCCAGTCCAAGCATATCAAGATTGCAGAGCACAAGATTATTTATAAGCTGCTAGAGGAAGTGACTGAGGAGCTTGCCAGCAAGCTGGAGCCTGAAATTAAGCACAAGGTTTTGGGTGAAGCCAGTATCAAGGAGGTTTTCAACATTACGCTGAAGCGCTCTAAGAACATGCAAATTGCTGGTACGCGTGTTACCAATGGTCTTCTAGCACGTAACGCAAAAGTCAAGGTGCTTCGCCAAAACGAGGTTGTCTATGTGGGCAACTTTTCGTCGCTCAAACACTTTAAAGACGAAATTGAGACTGCTAAGAAGGACACGGACTGTGGAGTTGCCTTTAATAACTGGGATAAATTTGAAGTCGGTGATGTTATCCAAACGTTTGAGGAGATTGTTATCCCCAGACATTTTTAGATTTGTACATAAAAAAAAAGAGCCTTGTAAATAAATATACATTTTTTTTTTCAATTTTTATATTAATTTTTTTTTTTTTTTTTGGATTCATAAAAATTCATTAACGTGGGTGCAATTTTGGTCTAAAGACCTTTTTTTTTCTTTCCTTCATTTTCATCATCATGTGTTGTATGCATCAACTAATATTTACTCGTCAGCATCTTCAACATCGGACTCTTCTAACCAGCCAATAGCACGCTCAACAGCACGATTCCACAGCTTGTATTCCTTAGCACGACGTTCAGGAGTATAAGTACCTTTGAAGATAGTCTTTCCTTCTTGATTGATGGTCTTGAGTTCTTCCTTATTCTTCCAAACACCAACGGCAAAACCTGCAGCAATAGCGGCACCCAGAGCAGTGGTTTCACGCATAGCGGGACGAATGACATCAATTCCCAAAAGATCAGCCTGGATTTGCATAGCGGTATCTGAATTAGTAATGCCACCATCGACACGGAGAGCCTTGAAAGGAGCACCAGAGTCTTTGGCCATTGCCTCAAGAATGGCCTTTGATTGGAAGCAGGTAGCTTCTAAAACAGCACGACAAATGTGGTTCTTAGTAGTATATTGTGTCAGGCCAACAATGGTCCCACGAGCATCATCACGCCAGTAAGGAGCAAAGAGACCAGAGAGAGCAGTGACAAAGACGACACCAGCATTATCAGGAACCTTGGCAGCATTGTCACCAATCTCAGCAGAGGTAGAGACGAGGCCAATATTGTCACGCAGCCACTTGATTGCGGAGCCTGCAACGGCGATGGAACCTTCGAGAGCATAGACAGGAGGGGAATCCTTAAACTGGTAGCCAATGGTGGTCAGGAGGCCATTCTTGGAAATGACTGGTTCATTGCCAGTGTTGTATAACAGGAAGCAGCCGGTACCATATGTGTTTTTCGCCTCACCAGCATCAAATCCGAGCTGTCCAACAAGGGCAGCGGACTGATCACCGAGACAGCCAGCAATAGGAACACCAGCAAAGTAGCCAGTACCAATACGACCGTAGGTTTCAGAAGAGGAAACAATTTCTGGAAGAACCAATTTCTGGAGGCCAAAAAAGTCGAGGAGTTTGTCATCGTACTTGAGAGTCTTGATGTTCATAAGCATGGATCTGGAAGCATTGGTGGCATCAGTGATGTGGCGGCCGCCATTGAGACCACCAAGAAGGTTCCAAAGCAACCATGAGTCTACAGTGCCAAAGGCCAGATCGCCACGTTCATAGACCTCACGGACTTCAGGTCTGTGGTCCAGGATCCATCGGACCTTAACGGCAGCAAAGTATGTAGAGATGGGGAGACCACAAGTTTCCTGGATCTTGTCAGCGCCGGGCTGAGCTTTGAGCTTCTTGACGGTTTCAGTGGTGCGAGCATCAGACCAAACAATGGCGTTGTGCATAGGGATACCGGTCTTGCGGTCCCAGACGATGGAAGTTTCACGCTGGTTTGTGATACCGATGGCCTTGACCTGGGAGGTGTGGATGTTTGCGGAAAACATCTTCTTTCCGACCTCATAAAGACAGGTGTTGGCAGAGTCGGTGAGCTCTTCTGGGTTATGCTCCACCCAGCCAGGATGGGGGTAATATTGGTTAAATTCAACCTGATGTGACAGGCGAATCTGGCCTTTCTTGTCAAAGAGGATAAATCTAGTGGAGGTTGTGCCTTGATCGATAGCACCGACAAATTCTTCAGCCATTTTAGAGATGGTAGTATATGAGTTGTATGAGTATGTATGGGGGTAAAGAGTTGACTATTATATAATAACTACTATACAAAGAGAATCTAAACAGAAATAGGTAAGCCTAAGGAAGAAAAAAAAAAAAACTAGAAAATTGATGATTTAAATGAAAAAAAAAATAGTAAATAAATTATTAAAAATTAAAGAAAAAAAGAGAAAAGAGAAAAGAAAAGTAAAAATTTCAAAAAAAGGTGGGGAGAAATGGGGATTTTATAAAATTTTTATATATGGGACATTTGAAAAAAAAAAAAAAAAAAAAATTGGCCCATGGAGCCACCAGACGACAAAGTTTAGGGACATTTGCGGGGAAAGAATCGCTCGTATCCTCCACACTAATGGGCTTATAGTCAAATCACACACAAGAATGGTTTTTTTTTTTTTTTTTTGAATGCCTCCTGTTGCCCCAGAGTCTGCAAGTTTTTATGAATTGTTTACTCAATCCGGACATTCCTACTTCTTTTCTCCCACCCCCAAAGATTTTTCATCTTTCTCTACCTACCACCACCTCCATACTATATAATTTTACTGGTAGCGCACGGGCCACTCTCATGCGCTTTTTTGATCATCTCTCCGCCTTGGTCCGTCATCGGGATACGGGAAAAGAAAGGGAAACCTTTTGATGCTTAATTGAAGATTTACAATCATTGTAAATAATCCGTGTTTTCATTAATCCGGTTGCAGATTCTTTCCTGGACATCTGGTAATAAATAATATAATTTAAATTAACAAGTAGTCGATCTTTATAAACCGTTTGCTGATAGCCAAAAAGAAATGGGATAGGAAATAGAATATTATGGTATTGGGGGGGGGAAGTTTTTTTTTATTTTATTTTATTTTATTTTTATTTCTAGAAAAAAGAGGAGGTTTGGAAGAAGATTTTAAAAAAAAAAAAATAACCTTTTTTTTTTTTAAATCTTAAATCCTCGGATCATCTGAGGAAAATGGGGGTGGATATATTAATACTAAATCCACCTCTGACTAGTTGAAAATTTAATATTTTCATCAAGTTCCACATTTTTATTTCTTCATTTTTATCTTCATCTTTTTTTTTATAATTTCTGGGGCTTTGAACGCCCGTTTTAGGTAAAAATCCGGATTTCCCCTAAATATTACCGTATTCAAGTTAAAACATCCATATCGTACGTGTAGACATAAACCTTTGACTATCATTCCTATATATTACTACTACCCTGCAAGATACTGTGATGTCACCATCGGGCAGTTTTTTTAGATGGTTTTTTAAAAAAAAAATCTTTTTTTTTTTCATTATTCTCGAAAGATTTTTTTTAAATAAAATATTACAAAGAATTGATAGGAGTCCTCAGGCTTTTGTTTCTTTAAATATCTCAGGATAATGGCCCGGATAACTACCCGACGTTTCTCATCTATTTCTAAATGACATCTTGTTGCAACTAATAAATGAAAAGTCGTTAAGTCACTGAAAAAGAAAACTCCAAAAATGAACAACAGAGTTTAAAAAGATCTTTAATACCCTCGTTATATCTAAAAAAAAAATCTTAATTTACAGACCTCTCATCTTTCTCTTTTTCTTATTTTTTTCCAATTTTCATATTTCCCAATCTCAAAGTAAGGTTGCAAAAAAAAAATTAAAAAAGTACCCTTTTACTTCGGCTTTTTCATCTCCGGATAGACTTTTGCGTGAAATGCGTTTACTTGAAAAAAAAAACTAAGACACCCAATGGGTCATAGCTGTCCGTAAAAGAAAAAAAAAATATATAGTAATATGCCCCTTCATGATTTTTTCTTACAGGAGCTTCACGCCATTTTGAAAATGATTCATGGAACACTCGGATGTTCTCTGTAAATTTTTAGAAAAAAAAAAGGGAAAAAAAAAAAAAAGAAATTAAAAACATCACAGTAAAAACTCAGGTAGTAAACCATATGGAGACTCAATTTAGTATTCAAAAACCACAGTTAAGAGAAGGAAGAAAAACCTCAAAATATTGTTGGTATAATCTTTACAAATATCATAATTAAAGATCACCAAGTTTCACAAAAATTTACATCTTTTGCTGTAATGTCAAGCAACAATTGAAATTAATGGAAATTAACAATCTATTTATTATAATTACATTTCTTGGGGAAATTTGTCTTCTATATATACAAAATAGAAATAACAAGTACTGTAGATTATACTTTTCAAGTACAATAAGCTAATGAACGGACCAGAATGGCTCGAACGGACCTGTGAAGTCCTTTGAAAACTACAGACTGATCTTCACCATGAATGGCTTATAAAACAGGTCAGATTAGCAAATATAAAGTCTTTTGGTCTAGATTGTCTAGTGATTACTATTATAATACATAGCTTTGTTATCAATAAAAAAACAACTACTACACATGGCTATTCATTAATTCTTAGATTGGATAGAGCCTAACTTGATGAATATATAAAAACCTGGAGTTATCTCAGTTGTTTTAATAGTTTTCTTAATGCTCTTGCAAAAAAATATAAGAGTAAAAAATAAAGAAAAAGCAAATTCAAACAATATGAAATTAAAGTTTTGAAATATAACTGTGACCTTACTCAGATTGAAATAGTATTATGTGGTTTTTAATTTCCCCTCATATTTCAAGCCAAAACTTCTTTTAAAGTTATTTGAAAAGTTTGAAAAAAGAATCATGGTACCAATTTTTTTCAGAATGATCTATCTTTTGCTTCAATATTAGGCAATTGAAAAAGATGTTTGAATAAGTGTCTGAGATATTTCAATTGAAATGTCATCTTGTTGTTTAATCCAGCTTAGAATTATAATAATCCTTTTACTTATTCAAGAATCAGCCCTTTAGAATAATTTCAGCTTTTCATATCTATGATTATTCAGCATTATTACTTGTTTATTCATAAGATGAACAAGATTCTAATTATCAATTTCAATGAAATATTTGAATCTAGTTTGAATATTTGAATCTAGTTTGAATATTTGAATACTTTCTTGGTGATATACACTTGAAAATGCTTTGGAGGTTTGGCTTTTTTGAATGTTTTCCCAGCTTTTCTAGGATACTCCACGTGTAGGCCTGGTCGGTATTGTCGGCACCATTACTTATTCAAAAGGTCATCTATTTTTTATTTGTTTTTGGTATTAAATATTTATTAATGTACACTTTTGTACATGATTATTATAACGAACATGACGTATAAGCGCGGCATCGTTCGGAGGAATTAATCCGCTTGCACTTGGAAAATTAAGAAGTAAAATAAATATAAAAAAAAAAAAGAACAATTAAATTTGTGAAAAAAAAAAAAACTAGAGGCCTTATTTTCTTTGAATGTGATAGAAGGATATAACAAGAATAACTTTCTCCTCAATGCTGACTTGTCTCCTTCTCCCCCCACTTTTGTTGTTGGTCTAATGCTTATACTTTGCCTTGCTTCGCAACTCTGTTTTGCTTGCCCTCAGCGCCCCGATTTGGGTTAAAATTGCTACTTTTTTAAAGAAAGGACTTGGGTTCAAAAATATGCCATACAAATTTTGGACTGGTTCATATTTAAGGCTGAAGTAGGTGACCTTGTAAAACTTTGTGTTTACAATAAATATACGACTTTACTCAGGCTTTAATAAAAGGCACCCGCCTGCCGACGGGGAATAACAAAAAAAAAATGTTAACAAAGCTTGAAGAAAGAAAGAAAGAAAGAAAGAAAGTAAGAAAGTAAGTAAGAAAGAAAAAATAGAAGTCTTTGTCAAGTCTTTCGTAATTACATATTATAATATATAAAAAAAATCATCTAAGAATTTTTGTTAAGCTTTTTTTTTTTATTCATTTTTTATTTGAATCTGATGCATCTAAAAATGAAGCAAAAATATCAGTCGGTATTAACTGTTTAAACATTTTCGGTTCGGCTACAACCGTTTTTTTTTTTTTTAATATTGAAAACATTTTAAATACTAGGCTTTGATTTTATCCATTAAAAAAAAATAGCGCCGTGCTAACATTGTACAGTGCAGCATATATAGTCCAAAATGTCTTAAAAGCACCTCTCCGTTTTTAAAAGCGACGACGTGAAATATTATCAAAAATTTACTAAAAAACATGATTCTCATAGTGTCTGTTTAAAAATATTGCCGATTATATCTTGTCGTTAATAAAAACGACTAATTTCTTTATTTATATTTTGTACTTAAAAATCTATCTACAGTGTTTTATTTTTTTTTTCTTTCTTCTTCAGCCTTATTGCATCTCAGGTAGAATATTGCAGAGAAACTATGCCTAAATTTAGCTGAATACTGTCTGCAAGAATCATTACCATAGTTTAGGCGATGCTTTTATATATATATATATATATATATATCATCATTATGAAAGGTCTCAAACTACATATTGATCAATCATGATTGAATAACTTTAACATAAGGTCAACATTTTTAAGCCTTTACTTTATAAAAAAAAATTTCCCCACGTTTGATGTTCATTGAAAGCTCAATTCCTACGGATCAAGCTTCACTTTTCCCCGATCACCGATAAGACCATTTAAATACAGGTATCAAAAATAAAAAATAAAAAAATATATATATAGTAATAGTCTATAGTCTACTAATATTACTACAAATAATATAATAATAAATGCTACGCATTCTCTCACTCCTACTATTATTGTGATAAACAACATGTCAACCGCACGTCTGTCGCCCGTTAAATATATGGCGAACTCAAGGATATCATCCCCACTTGAATTTAACTTTTCTTTTGTGGGAATAGCTATTTGCTCCTGCCATGTTCCGTGATTGATGTCCGTTTTTGGGATCCTAAACGATTCCCTTAAAAGAAATTTTGGGGTAAACCAATAAGAAATTTATCCCGAGATATTAACGACAGGTTGTATATCAGTGGTAATATCGGTATAAAATGTATAATCCGATACATCCTTATTACCTGGGGATAAACTAGTGGTCAAATTTGATCCCAAAATGATGTTCAAATTTAGAAAATTTTGATTTTGAAATTTTAAGTTGTTCAAACATAGCCTGCTAACTTATTCAAGAAAAGTATAATGGGGGTAAACTGTGAAAGAAAAATAAAAAAAAAGTTCAATGGCCAAAATCGTTTGAAAAGAAAGCGGGGAGAACATAAAAAAAAAAGGCAGGAAACAAAGTTTTCATCTTTTTTTTTTTTTTTTTTTTTTTCAAGTCATTGGCCTACCCCCAAGTATGGGGTGACAGATCTGGAGAAATAAGCACGAAATCCATGTCTCATTCAGTACCTAGGTAAAAAAGAAAAAATATATATATTCTTCTCCGCAAATATATAAACATCCCGCTTTTCCCTAGTCAATGAGGCTTGAATTTTTTTTTATTTCCTTCTATTCTCTAATCATTATCATTTTATTGTCTTGTTCTTTATCTATTTTTCCATTGTCGATCCCTAAAACTCCTTGTTTTACCTATTGGGTCTTAGAGTTACTATTCCTCGAAAATAATAATACTTAATCAGACAGCACCAACTATATTTTACTATTCCTTTTTTTATTTCCTGATTCAGCATTTTTACGGAACTTTCTTTTAATAACTTATTTACAATAAAAAAAAAAACAAACTACCATGAGCGAAACCACTTACTGTGACACACTGGAGAACCCACCATTCTGGCCCCGCATTCGGCACAAGTTCAGAGAACCCTTTGCTGAGTTTCTTGGTACATTTATTTTAATACTATTTGGTGACGGTGTTGTTGCTCAAGTCGTCCTTTCTAGTAACAAGAATGGTAGTTACCAATCTATTTCCTGGTGCTGGGGTATTGGTGTCATGTTTGGCGTCTATGTTTCTGGCGGTATTTCCGGTGGTCACTTGAATCCTGCTGTCACATTTGCCAACTGTGTCTTGAGAAAATTCCCCTGGAAAAAACTGCCAATTTATGTCGTTGCTCAACTTCTCGGTGCCTTTTGCGCAGCTTTTGTTGTTTATGGTAACTACAAGTCTGCCTTTGACTATTACGCTGGTATGGGTGTTAGAGATGTTACTGGAGATGTTTCTACTGCTGGAATTTTTTGCACCTATCCTGCTTCCTTCATGACTAGAACTGGTATGGTTTTCTCTGAAATTATTGGCTCCTCAATCCTAATGCTTTGCATTTATGCCATCAATGACTCAAATAATATGGCTGCGGGCCCTCTCGGTCCTCTGATATTGTTCTTTTTGATTTTTGGCATTGGCGCTTCCTTTGGCTGGGAAACCGGTTACGCAATTAACCCTGCCCGTGATTTTGGCCCAAGAATGGCCTCCTATATTTTGGGTTATGGCCCCAAGGTTTTTACTGCTGGCGGTACCTACTTTTGGATCCCCATTGTATGCCCAGTCATTGGATGCACTTTTGGTGGCTTTCTTTATGACTTGTTCATTTACACTGGGACAGAATCTCCCATTAACCAGCCCTACTTTGGTATCACTAGACTCGCAAATAAGTCTTCCAAGAATGAGGATGTTGAGAAGAGCAAGCACAATGACCGGATACTGGCCGGTTTTGTTCACGGTCACTCAGAACACCCTGTTTTGGAGACTGTTACATATGCTGATGAGCATCCTGAACATATGACTACAATGTCGGCAACACAAACCAGCAAGGCTCGTGTTGAACAGCTGGAACAGCTTTAAGCATTGATTGTATAATTTAAAACGTAACTTTTTGCATGTATCATAGAAGATAAAAAATATATATTCTTGTGTTATTACGATAAATATCTCGATCAAAATCTGTTATAAAGAAGAAAGTTACTTACGACAGACTTGGATTTTCCAAAACTACAACATCAACTAGTTAAAGAGTTAATAGTTGACTTATTTAAATTAAAATTTAAAAAACTTTAGTACTAAAATTGCAATTTTTAATGTATGCTTATTGCTAAATATATTGGTCAATATTTGTTGGATTAACCTCAAAAGCACCTGATGTATATTATCATCTTTACGGAAAAAAAATGTTCTTTTAAATGCCACATTTAAAATAGTCTCCTTGTTTTCAATTTCTAATTTTTACGAACATTATAGCTCACTAAAAATATTTATGAATTTACTTTGGTAATGTTGGTCCAAAAAAGGGTTTATTTTGTGTTTAACTATTGCAAAAACTTATGTTCAAATTAATTTCATGTTGAGGAAAACTGTGAAATTAAATGTTGATATTGGTAAGTATTTATAAAATATTAATAATCATTACATATAAATTTATGTTTGGTAGTGTAGTGGATTTTATGCATTGCCACCACCAAAAAAAATAAGAAAAAACAAATTAACCCAGGGTTAGGTTTGTAAACTGTTTAGAAATAGGTTGGGTGTTTTGCTTCCCTTAAAAAAATAAAAAAGCGCACACGACGATTCGAGAACCATTATCTTTTGATTTTCCCTTTACAAGAAACTATTAATTTTTTTTTTTTGATTTAATTAATTCTTTTAATTATAATATCCGGATTATTTTAACAATACTTTTAAAAAGCTTGTATATTTCCAACTTTTTATTTAAGAAACTTGTCTTGTTTTAAAATTTTTTATAAAATTTCTTTGCTCTATTAACTTGTATCCATCTAATCAAACAGTTTAAACAGAAATCACTCCTCTATTTAATAACTTATATTCCCCCCAATCATTTCTAAAGAACATATATATCTCTTTTTTTTTAAAAAAAAAAAAAGTAAATCTAACATCCGACACTTGAACAAACAGAAAAAATGTCCAGTAAGTTTTGAAATTTTTTTTTTATTTTGATTTTCACGTTTTTTTTTTATTTGTTTTCCATCTTTTTTATTTGTTTGTTTACTTTGTTTTGTTTTTTTTTGCTCCTAAAAGGAAATTCACTGGCTCGTTATTGATTGCGGATGATGAGGGTTCCCCAATTGTAAACAACGTCCCAACGGATCGTATCCATGACAATCCCTCATTTCTATTTGTCTTTGACTTCCCCCACCATTCAAAAGTAAACAATCATTTGTTTATTTATTTTTTTTTCACTTTTAAGATCTTTCTTTCTTATATATTTTTGAAGAAAATTAATCATTCTTGATATTTTAAAATCTCAAAAACTAATAAAAACAATGTCAGATCAACGTGTGGTTATCATGCTTACTAGCATGGACGGTACTAAATCCGAAACTTTTACCTTGGACAGTAACAATAATACTTTGAAAGTCGGTCGCGGAAAGAAGCCTTCTATTTTTGCAGTCAAAACTTTGAGCCGTGAGCATGGTTTATTTACTCTCAAGGATGACGAACTTCTCTATACTGAACTTAAAAACAGACATGGTACTTCGATGGTCATTAATGATCATACTGTCACTCTGTCGCCGGACGAAACTCGACACCTTGGAAAGGTTGATTCTCATACATTTAAGAAACTATGCCCTATGCACTTTGCTAGCAAGTTCAGTGATCTTAATTCTTTGAAAGTTAACGTTTCTGCTAAAATTGATGATACCCCTGATGCAAAATCTACACAGAAAACAAGCTCTCAAGTCCCCTCTACTTTTGAAGATACTGCCGACGAGACCTTTTTGCAAACCGAAAACATTAAAATTGATGGAGATAGTAATGATGAAGTAGCCATTCCTGTTGAAATTGAAACAGAAAAGACAGCTAAGTCTCAAGATGATGAAGTGATTATTGAGGAGAGTCTACAAGCTACACAAACAGAATCTTTTCTGAAAGATTCGACTGAAGCAGAACAAAAAGAGACTGCGGAAATTAAGGAAACAGAACAAAATTCTGAAAATGGTATTTATACATTTTATTAATTTTTTTTTATTTAGCATTTTGCTAACTTTACTAGACTCTACCACTCCCAGCAGAAAGCGAAAGAGAGATGATGAAATTGAAGAGGATATTGATTCTAAGAAGAATAAAAATGACGAGGCCGCTACTTCAGATGAAAAAGAAGAGTCTTCTGCCGAAGCTACTACAGAAGAGAAGACGGAAGTTGTTGCTGCTCCCGCTGCACCACACGAAGAGAGGCCGTCAAAGCGTGCACGCATTCTTGATTATATTCTAAAGTTGGGCGTTGGAGCAGCCATTGGAAGCGTAAGCACGTTTGCTCTTCTTGTTGCTACAGCCCCACAGTAAAGAGGGTATTGAAAATTGACTTTTTCTAAATCTTTTTACCAAAACTTGTTATCTCTTTTTCCTTGTTCCTTCCACCCCCCTCTTCGATTATCGTTTATGATGATACCACTAAAAGTCATGTTTATGACCACGACAAGCTAAACAAACCAATGAAAGTGTTTAAATGATTGAGAAAATGCCGGTTCCATTATATTTTTGATAAATCTTCAATTAATATCACACTTCTTAATCATTTTTACCTTTTATTTTGATATTATTAGCAATGAGTTATGAAATTTCTATATGTTCTTTAAGCCACTTTTTTTTGTTCTTTTTTTTTATGATGGCGTTTCTTTTATGTAATTTTTAGTTTTATTTAACCAATTGAAAATAAAAAAATTTATCAAAAAATAGGGCTTGCTTCGAGTATAATAATTATTTTTTGAATCACGATGGATAAAAGTTTTTTTTCAGGTCAATTCTTCATTCCTGAAGTGAAAGCTTACTACTCTTATTGTTTACATCAGCTGTCAACATATTTTTCAAGTTACAAATAATTGTAACATAGCTAAAGATTAATTTTCCAACCATCTTTCTCAACAACTAACAATTGGCTGTCCAAACAAACATTGGAAATACTTTAAGTACTTCAAGTACTACAAATCTTTTAAATTTCAATTTTTTTTTTATTTTTCAAGTTATATTAATAAAAACACAAATGCTAAAAAATGAAATGACACAAACTTCTATATTAAACACAAAAAAACAAAGAGCACAAAAACTGCTTATTTCTTGGCAGCCCCGATAATGACAGTCTGATGCTCCATTGTGTTTTGTCTTGAAAGAGATGCATACTTTGCAAATGGAGAATTCTCCAAATCGTCTTGAGGATTTTTGACCTTTTCTGCGTTGCGTCTGTAATAAATGCGCTTAAAATACTTGTAAGACTCGGCGCCAATCATGAAAATAAAGATTGATGCAACACTGATACCCCATTCCCATCCAATAGGACCATGCTTGAAAACATCCTTATTAATGACCGGAATGTAAATCAATGGAGGAGCAGAAACAAATCCAAGAATAACAGACCAAAACAAAAACTGATTGCTCCACAAGTCTCTAAACACTTGAGTGTATGGTGTATCAGTTTCAGGGTGCATTCTAAAGAGTGATCGTCTCATGTCAATAACTTCCCAAGCAAGAAGTAACAGACACCAAGTCATAGTCAAGAATGAAGCAGAACGACCACGGAACACATGCTCGCATACGTCAGTGTACTTGTTATTACAGTTCTTGCCCAAAACATCTTTGCCAGTTCCATCCTTGTAAACAACAACGACAAACGAAAAGATACAGACACCAGCAATCCAGAAACCGTAAACAAGCATATCGACAATGACCTCCCAAGTAAAAACACCAGCTTTGGGATCAACAGGAGGACGTTCCATAATATCCGGTGCTGCAGCTTCAACACCAAGACCCATAGCAGGGAAAGAAGAAGTGATCATAATAACCCAAAGAACTTCAACCGGAGAAAGAGGGAAAACAGAAATTCCATCCTCATCCTGGAAAACAAGACCAATGAGCAAAAACAAAGCTTGAGCAATATTACCAGCGAGCAAGTGCAAAACAAACTTTTGAATGTTTGCAGCCATACGACGACCTTCTTCAACCGCATTCAGAATCGAAGCAAAGTTATCGTCCGACAAGACAATATCAGAAGCATCCTTAGCAACATCAGAACCAGCAATACCCATGGCAATACCAACATCAGCACGTTTCAAAGAAGGAGAGTCGTTAACACCATCACCGGTCATGGCACAGAAAGCCTTGCGTCTATGGAGTGCATCAATCATGCGGACCTTTGTTTGAGGGGCACAACGGGCAATAACAAGAGGCAAAACAGGAAGTGCATCAATTTCATCATCAGAAAGTGAATCAAATTGGTGAGCAGTCATGACCATAACTTTAACAACATCTTCTGGATAATGGTACAAATTGTGAGGAAGAATTCCAACTTCCTGAGCAATGGATTTGGCAGTACCGGGATGGTCACCTGTAAGCATGTGAACATTAATACCAGCCTTGTGACACAACTTGACAGCACCAGCAGATTCAATACGGGGAGGATCGTAAATACCAATGAGTCCAAGGAAGTGAAGATCTTTTTCCAGGTTTCCACGTTCCAACTCCTTCCAGTCTGTATTTTCAGGACCATCATAAAGCTTTCTAGAAAATGACAAAACGCGCTATTATAAAAGTTAGTCATAAGAAAAAAAAAAAAGAAATTTACATACCAGACCTTGCTTAGCAAGGGCATCCATATTTTTCAGGACAAATTCCTTATCCTCTTCAGTAAGAGGAGAAATTCCATTTTCGTCAGGGTTAGAGCCACCATACCAAGTAGAGCAGCAGTTCAAAACACGTTCCACCGCACCTTTGGTAAAGATGTGGGTAAGACCAGTAGCGTTTTCCTTGTAAACAGCTGTCATGCGCTTAATGGAGGAGTCAAAGGGGTATTCAGCAAGATGAGAAAATTTTGGACTATCACCTTCAGTCCACTTAGGTCTCTGCCAATCCATTCTGTGTGTAAAGACTTGAATAGCAATTTCAGTAGGGTCACCGTTAGCTTTCCAAATGTGGGCTCCACTTTCGTCAATTTCATAGTGGACTTTGGCAATGTTAGCAAGAGAAGCAACATCAAGCCATTCAGTGAATTTCTTAGAGAAAGGTTCCGGGATGTTCTGGTGAATATCATCTTCAGAGCCGTCTTCAAAAGGTGTGTTTGGCGAAAAGGTAACCTGACCGATTGTTGGGTTGAAAGCCTCAGTAGAGTTAACAACTTGGTAGGTACCAACAGTGGGAATCCAAACCTTGCGTCCAACCATCTTACCTTGCGTTAAGGTACCAGTCTTATCAGAGCAAATGTCATTAACAGCACCAAGAGCTTCAAGAGAGTCAAGTTTACGAACAATAACATTACGGCTAACCATAATCTTAGTTCCAACGGCCATAGTAATAGTAAGGACAACTACAAGAGAGGCAGGAATCATAGAAAGAGCAACAGCAATGGCGTAGATAGCAACTTCCTTGTTAACTTTAAATTTTTGGGCAGCCATAACAACAATTGCAAAGACAACAGCGACACCAAACAGAAAAATAGCAAGCTGAGCAAGCTTTCTGTGGAGAGGGGTGCCGACATTAACACCAAGGAAGGCACCAATTGCATCTTTAACAGTTCCGACAAAAGCACCAACATAATCACGCTTGCGGGCCTTGCCAAACTCGTCGCGCTTGACAGGGCGAAAACCTTTATTTTGGGAGCGGAGGGACATAGCAATGACACCAATTTCCGTATGCATACCAGTACTTGTACAAATACCAATTGCACGGCCCTTGGTAACAATTGACGAAGAATAGGCCATATTGATACGGTCTCCAACACCACATTCAAGAGGAAAAATTGGAATTTGCTCTTTGGCAACAGGAAGCGACTCACCAGTAAGAAGAGCCTCGTCAGTTTCAAAGTTCATAGAATCAATGACTCTAAAGTCCGAAGGGATAGTGTCACCAACTTTGACACTAATCAGATCTCCAGGAACAACCTCAATTGAAGGAATAGTTTCATCGGTACCATTACGAATGACTCTGGCTGTTGGAGAAGAAAGAGATCGGAGAGAGTCCATGGTTTTTTCAGCATTGTACTCTTGGATAAAACCAACAACCACATTAATGCCAATAACACCGGCGATAACTCCACCGGCAATCCAATCTTTAATACCAAATGAGATGGCCATTGAAATCACAAGAACTAGAATCATAGCGTTGCATACTTGCCGTAAAAATACCTTGATCATAGAGACACCTTCACCCTGGTCAAGCTGGTTAGGACCATAGATTTCTAGTCTTTTCTTGGCTTCGTCGTGAGTAATACCACTAGTAGTATTTGTCTCAAACGCACTGGCTGCTTGTTCAATGGTGAGAGTCCATGGTGCGTTTTTGACATCCATTCCGGCATTTTCACTACCGGACATGTATGATGGGTCCATTGAAAGTGTGTGGACCACAGGATTTTTCTTTTCAAAATCCATTGTGATTTAGATTGTAAAAGACTTATTGAATATTATGAAATTTATGAAATTTATGCGATTAGTTGTAAATCTAAATATAAGTAAAGAACCAGCTAGGCTTATATTGGATATGTGAATAAAGATTCAAGATAAAGAGAAAATGAAAAATATAAATACAAAATCTCTTAAATTAGGGGATATCAGGCTATATTTATAATTTTTCTGACAAGAAAAAATGCCATGAAATAAAAAATGTTTATCTACAAGGATTACTGATATTCAAACAGTGGCGTTTAACCTTTTTTTTTTTATTTTTTTTTTTTTTGCCAAGACCCCAAGTAAAGTGTGCCGAGCACAACAACGACAATCAAAACTGCGACAGTATATTTGGCTGCATGCTGGTTGAAGTGCTGCTTAAGATGCTGCAACCGCTCGTTGATGGTGATTTCAATTGGTGATGGCAGTGGAAGATTGAGCTGGGCTGAATGAGGGGAAGGGTGTGTTGTTTGGTGCCAAGCTGGAAGGCCAAAGGGAGCGTATAAAAGGAACTATGGGAGCGAAATACTTAAAAGAAGAAATGGTTTTAGATTCAGATATCATGATTGAAATTACTATTGAAAGTTTTTGAGTCTTTAGGAGGTCGGGTGGTAAAAGGTCTGGCTTGAGTTTCAGGAACCGTTATTTTCAACAAGCCTGGGATCAGGATATGTTGAGAAATTGAATGGAGGAGTAGTTCGTGATTTTGGGAGATTTTGTCAAATGAGCTACCCACATGGTACCCACTGGGTACCAAAGTACCTGGGTACCTAGATCGGGCATCTATAAACGTAAGTTGACTCCTCCTGCTAGCAACGCCCAGGCTTGGAACTATGAGTTGTGAAGAAACTTTAAGAGATCCAAAATATCATCGAGAAAAAAAAAGATAAGAACAGGAACTGAAAAAAAAAGATTTCAAAATTTGTTTTTTTTTTTTTTTTTCAACAAATCTTTGACAGTTACCAAACCTCCATTATGATAATTATCATAGCATCCTGGGACCGTCATGCCTAATTTAAAGATAAGTTTAGCTTTTAAGTCATGGAGCCTTGCAACTAGTTTCTCCGCACTTGAATAACACATGACCATATTGCTCCGTAGAGGTACCGAAACAAAGGTACCATTCGGCACAGTCAGCCACTATCAGCTCCGGAATTATTCTTCTACTTCTATGCTTGAAAGTTGCTTTTATCTTTCTTTCTTTCAAAATTATACTTTTTTTTCCCCGCCAAATTTTTTTCTATGCCCTGATTCTTTAAAATGTACATATGTATAAGAAGAAAAAAAAAATACTAAGATGATGTATTCTAACAACTGACTAAGCTATGGTACTTGCTAGTCGTACCACCCAAGAAACTTAAAATTGCTTCCGAAAAAAGAAATGTGATTGCTTTATCAAAAAAAAAAGGTCATGTGGACATTTTACGGTATTCTATGAAAAATTGAAAAGTTGAAAAGAATTTCACTCAAAAAACGTTTGAAAGTCACAATAATAAGGGGGGAAAATTTTTTCAAAAATTCAAAAATCAGTAAATATATTCCTCAATTTTTTTTCTTTGAAAAAAATCAAGAAATTTATTTAGTGATTTTTATATAAATAGGTTCCATCAACTTCTTTCATATCCCTAATTGGAAATAAGGATGAAAAGGCTTGTGAGTAAAAAATAGTCAAGTTTGGTGATTTCTCGCTCACAAGCCTTTTCAAAAGATTAGCTCATGGGCTCTTAAACTTTAATACAATCCTGGAAACTAAAATAAAAATTTCTTGTTTTGATAAAAATTTTAGCCAAAATTTTTTTACTCATGATTGAGATCATTATGCTCACTTAATAATTCATTGACCTCATGAAACTAATTTACAACAATATATAAAATATAAACATTATAATTTATTAAAGAAAAAGTTCAATTTATATTTTCTAATCGAGGTTCAATGAAAATTTGTTTAATCTGAATATTTGTGGTGATTATTTTTCTTACTATTAATGTTGCCAAGATCTTACGTATTACTCAAAGAAATTTAGTGAAGGAGCTCTAAAAAAGTCTCAAGTGAACCGAATAATTATTTATTCCTTCCTATTGCAAACGCTTTTAAAAAAAAAAAAATGTTTTGTTAATCAGTTGAAATTGTTTTTAAACATTGGTCGAGTGAAAACAGGCATAACAAATGCGGTAACTAATTACAATTAAAATAAAAAGTAGAAGCAAAAGTAAAGATAAAGATAAAGGTAAAAAGTAAAAGTAAAAGTTGAAGATAAAAAAAAAAATAAGGTTCTGAGGCTCGAAGTGACGATAATTTTTTTTAAAAAAAACCGTTATATGTTACAACTAAAACAATAAAAAAGTGTCGGTTGTACATATGCTGTATCCATATTGAAATCGCTTCCTCAGTGTCATGTTATGAGGTTCTTTTTAAATCATTGGATTAGAGCAACCCTTTATTATTTCTTTTTTAATTTTTTTTTAAAAAAAATGCCAATATATTTTTAATATAAAAAATTAAAAAAAAAACAATGAAAGCACAAGTTTTGCTTAGAAATTTTTTTTTTAGAAAAAGGCGTTATAATTTTGTGTGGCTGTATCAAAGAATAATGAAACGGTCAAAGATCATAAGAGAAAAAAGAAAAGGAAAAAAAAAGAAAAAGAATAAGAATAAGAAAAAGAATTTGAGTTTACTGAAAACAATGGCAATTAAACATTTCCGAAAGATGGGCTAGAATAGAATCATTTGAATACATTTTAAATTTCGATTTCAAACCTATTTGAAGTGTTTAATAAATCAAATATGCCATTTTTCAAGTTCATGTTCGGTTATTTCTTTTAGCTAGTTTTTTTTCAGATGATAGGCTTACAAGTAACTGACAGCTTTATAATCTACAAACTGGCCCGTGATATGATTATTATCTAAGTGGCTTATTATTTTTCAAAAGGTGGATTGTGAATACAATTCTTAATAATAATATCAAATTATTCTTTGGCAGGTTTTTGTCTTCACGAAAATTTCACATTATTCGACTCTTTTCAAATAGCAAAATTAGAATTTTTCAATTCTAAAAAATATTTTTTTGTCTTAAAAATTTTCCCCTCCATGCTTTTTTTTTTTTTTTTTGAAAAATAAATTTAACATCTTAGCCAATCCTGATTTGAAATTTGCCCTCGTGGGGTTTGAAGATGCCGTATGCCTAGCAACGGCTAGTACACTAACTATGAAAAATCTTCACCTATCTTTTTTTTTATACTTTAGATGAGGAGAAAAAGAGGGGTTGAAATTTGAAAACAAAAAAAAAATAGTATTTGGATAGAAATAAATATGAATAGTGTGAACAATATAGATTTTAATGTTCAAAATTGATGTTAACTTATTTCTAAATTTCATGTTATAGTAGAGTTGCAAAAAGATGGATATTGCTACAATTTAAGGGGTACAGGTTTAAACTAAACCCACGAAAATAAAAACCGTCAACTAGGCTTACTAGGCTTACTAAGCTTACTAAGACATAAACTCTTCAAGCCTCAGTGAAGATATTAAACTCGAACAAAACTACCTTCTGAAATAATTTTTTTTTCTAAATTTATTTTTATTTGTGAAATCATTAAATATACTAGATATACTAGAAAAGGAATTTATGGGCCTCTCTATCACTATGATAGAAGACAACTGTTCTTGATAACTTTGTTATTATAAATAAATATAAAATTAGATCTTGAATATGTCTCTCTTAAAGGTAAATTTATTTAAAAATGCTCAATAATTTAAAGGTTATCAGAAAAACTCAAGATTTAGCTGAGAAGTGACAACACTGCACCAAAATTTGAACTATTGAAATTAAAGATCAAAATCAAAAATAATGTTTTTCATATATCACGTGATACAATACCTAAAACAATTTTGTGCGGCGTTTCAAAATTTACTATGTTGAGAATTTACTTGGGCGTATAGTAAATTTTGAAAAATTCAAGGATCGAAACATCTAAGATATTTGAGATAAAAAAAAAGTATTTCATTTAAAAAGAATATCAATCAAACCTAATAGATCAGCAACTTATTTTGTCACAAAATAATCCTCCTACATAAAATCTAAAGAAGTAATAGTCACGAGAGTACGCTTATTGTTCCATTGTTCTAAATGATTTGATATCTCCACAATAGGGGGTTTGCCAAAACAATCTCAATCTATTGTTAAAAAAATCTGCTAATTTATAATTACAAAGCGACAACCTGTATAATTGCTGCAGCACTCTCCGTAGCAGCATTATGTTGAGCAGTCATTTTTTCGGCATTAAAAAAGAAAGGAAAAAAAAAGCAGGACATAATTGCTTGGCTGGCGTGCTGGCCAAGACCATACTGAGTTCTGTGAGAAGATATCTCTATTTAAGTTTTTTTTGATAAGAAAAAAAATTAAAAGGGTTAATTCAAGTTTAGACTTCTTGGGAAATACCGGGCACAATAACCAAGACCAGTCTATTTTGCTGATAGGTTTGGCGTGAAAAAAAAGGAAAACAGGCTAAGTAACCATGAAATTCAAAAAATCTGGACAGTTTTTGACTTCATTTTACCGAATTAAGATTGCTACAGATATTAACAACTACTGTTATCGAATATTTTTTAAAAATAAATTCAGCATTCAAGAACAACTCCATTTTTTTTTAAAAAAAAATCAATGACGTAAGTTAGGCTTACTCCTCTTCTTTTATCCTGGTGATACACAGCACTGATTTTCATCAATGATAGAATTAATACTAAATCTTGGCAGAAATTTGATTAAAAAATTTCAAGTGGTATTCTCAAATCAAGTTATCTAGGGTATTTACAAATGATAGAGGTGAATGACCCAAATTTTCCATTTCAATGGTGTTTACTAACGTTTAAACCCTTATCAAGATAAGGAGGAAACCCTTGCCCTATTTTAAGATTTCTTTTTTTTTTTTTCAAAAAAAATAATAAGCTAGCTTGCTTAAACCAATCAAATAATGTCCACAATTCATTATATTTATAAACCTAAATACCTAATAAAAAAATGTATACTCTACTGTTAATGAGGGTCAGGCTCACTTGGTGAATCTTCGTGGTCTACTGTTTCTTGCCGGTTAATGAAAAAGAATGATAGACACATAAGCAAAGCACCAACATAATAGAGCCAAGTGCCAAAATGCGATTTAAGAATCATATCGCCAGCTAAAGCTAGGGGAATGGTAGCCGATAGACCAACTGTAACAACGAGTGGAGATGTCAGCAACATTGACATTGCCCAGCAAAAATCTGAAATGATTGTCGAGGCTGCGTTGATGAGCACAATAACCCAGACGTACTCCGTTGGTGGAAGCTCAAACTTTTCCACACCACAATAGTTGAAAATCACAATCATAGGCCATAACAGCAACAGAGTGAATAGTCCAACAAATCCGAAAAAGTGAAACATGTTGATACGCTCGTCATCATCACCTACGCGAACCTTGAGTAATGTTGTATAAAAACCGTAAAGCAGAGCGCTAACCAGTGCCATTGAATTTCCAAGCCAGGCTAATCCTTGAGGATTGTCTGGATTCCCTCCATTTACCGAGTTGCTCGTGCTAATGGATTCTTCTCTATTGATAAGGGCAATTCCCAGAATCGATATGCCTAGTGCGCCTAGTTTCTTAAAGCTGAACTTCTCCACTTTAAAAATGCTCCCTAAAATAAGCGTGAAAATGGAGGAAGTACTAGTTAACAATGTAGAAGAACCTACTGATGTATAGGATAAACTAGCATTCGAAAATAAGTTTGCACAATACCACAGAAAGCAAAACTGAGATGCAAGCTTTGCAGTTTGGGCAACTGTAAATTTAGGCAATTCTGGGGTATTTTGACCTTTTGATCCGCTTGTTTTCTTTTGAAGTGCCGCGGAAGCAGCTTCTAAATCTTGTAGGCTATGTTGACTGTGAGCAGGTGATAGCAACCCTTCTTGTTCTGTTAATGATTGTACTCGTATGTTATATGGGTAATTAGTATGAGTTGTGACTGAACCACGGTGTTTTAGTTTTTCCTTTATCCATCGCCACGCTGATGGAATTATATAAACGGTAAATGTGCCCGTATTTAAGTATGTCACAAAATATGGTTTGCGATAGACTCCAGATTCAAATATTCCCTAAATTTTGTTAAAAACTTTTTTTTTTTTCGCAAATTGATATCAACATACGTTAACCAAAAATCCTGATGCCACCCATAATACTATGACAACAGAAAGTAAAAGCAGACCCAGACGCCATTTACTCTTTAACTGATCAGCCTGTTTCTGTGATGTTAATGGTGAAGCGATATCCGGACTATTGTCTCTGGTTGACTGTGCACTGTTATAACTAGGGGCCGAGGCCGAAGACGATGAAAGTCTATCTTGGGTATTTATATCCATAGTGGAACTTGCTATGATTTTAAATGAAATTTTTTCTTAAAAGCCAAAAAAAAATAGTAGCTTATGAGAAAAAAACGTACGCCTACAAGCTGGCGTTAATAAACAGCAATAATAACTATAGTTTTTACAAAAAAAAAAAACTAATCAAAAGGCAGAAACAAAAAAAAACAAAAAAACAAAAATGAAGAATAGGGAACGAGATGAGCAACAAAGCAGTGTATCTGGAGGTTGTTTTTTTAATTTTTTTTTTAATTTTTTTCTTCCAAATTTGTCTATATCACGTGACTTGATTTAACGAGACCACCTCCGACATTAAACTACTATCGTGAAACCAAGCGATTTATTTATTTATATTTAAAACATAGGAAAGCTGTAAATTTTTTTTTAAAAAAAATATAGAAGTTACATATTTTAAGAATAATTTTTTGAGAGGTATTTTTAAATTTATAATTTCGGGTGTTAAGAGGTTTCTATTTACCGATAACAATTAGCTTATGGTTTCTATCAATGATATTGTTCATATGAATTAAAATATATTTAACATGTTCTTAATACGTTTTTAAAAAGTTTGAAATTAATATTTAAGAGCATATATGCTATATAGATTATTCATTTTAAAATAAAGGTGTCTTGAGGACCCCGGTGGTTTTAAGCACAAAATACCTTTTTAGACTTTGAATAGTGCTGCCATTAACCACGTACATATTTTTGTTACCTGTTCACTTAGTAATAAGCTAAGCTTTATTTCTGCGCCCACCCCTTTTCTCTTCCCCCCTTGCAACATCATACTTTTTTTCTTGTCTGTAATTTAAGTCGCCAACACCTTGATTAATCTTGAAGCATCCCTCTATTGCCGCCAGATATGTCAGACATACTAAAACTTTTGATAATATGCGCTGTCATGGGCATATCATCATATGCTGTTGGCCTTGTTCCTTTATCTTTTCCCTTACCTGCGCCCAAAGTTCGGGCTATCAGCATTCTTGGCTCTGGCATTCTTGTCGGCACTGCACTCGTTGTCATTATACCCGAGGGGATCTCTATGATATATCGTATGGCGTCACATTTAGAAGATTCACATGAACTTCCTACATCCTCAGATATACCGGAAAATGATATGATTCGTCTCACCATTCGTCACGGTGGAACAGATTCTGGTCCTCGTGCCCAAGTCGGCTTAGCTTTGTTGCTCGGATTCATTTTTATGTACATTATCGAAAAACTCTCTTTTCTCATTGCAGCATTTTCAGAGTTATTTTCAGCAATCCTGCCTTCTTCTAGATCTTCCAGCGGCTCTTTTACTTCAATAGATATGTCTACAATTCGAAACAATATATTTGGCGGAATCTCTTCACGTGTTTCTTCCGCTCCAGCAACACCGTCTACTCCGGCAAATCTCGAGGCTGGAAATTCAGTGAGTGGAACCCGGTCTCCTTATAGTCATCATCATCGCACCGACTCTATAATCCAATCTAATGGTACAGATGGGAGTCCGACTCCTGACTCTTCTAACACAAGTTCTACCGCGTTAGGTCTTGTCATCCATGCTATTGCAGATGGTATTGCTCTCGGAGCTAGCATTGCTTCGGGTGATAGCAGCGTTGAAGCCATTGTTTTTCTTGCAATAATGATACATAAAGCTCCCGCTAGTTTTGGTCTTAGTGCAGTTGTTTTGCAAACTGATGGTGTTCAAGGAGCCAAAAGAACTCTAGCTCTTTTTGCAGCTGCGGCTCCCGTTGGTGCTATTCTAACATACTTTATCATAGTATTTCTTGGATCTAGTGATACTGAACTCATCAACTGGTGGACGGGGATATTACTACTGTTTTCCGGTGGAACATTTCTTTACGTGGCTGTTCACGTTATGCAAGAACTTGACCAAGCTCAACACGGAACACACGGTGAACAAGAAATATACCATAGCACAAATACGACTGTTACTGATGGTGCAGATGCTTTATTAGGAATTATTGGCATGCTACTCCCTCTTTTAACTCTTTTTGTTCCAGAAGATTAAAAAATTATATAAACTACATCCAGTTAAAAAAAAAGGCCTAAAATCGCCAATAGAATATCATAATCGCATAATGATTTAAAGAGCAATTGCTTCAGGGTTATCAATCATCCATTGGATCTTATTATTACGGAAATCATCAGTTGTTGTGCCCAATGTCCCAAATCCAATTTCAAGAGTTTTTTTATCGCTGTTTGTGTACTTGGGCCAATTAGAAAGTGAGACACCCACATTTGGATCCAAATGATTAGCAAACGCAATAAAATATTCTTGATATGCACGATATGGGCCCAAATCCAAAAACCACTGCCAAATCAAATCGTTGGCATGAGTTGTACCCAAGTATGGAAGCCCACTAAGTGCTTTCGATAAGTAATTCCATCTAGGTATACTATTATCAGACCACAACAACCGACGACGGTTTGCATGGTAAAGCAAATCAGTTAAGAGCCCCGCAATACGCTTAAACTGAATACCTAATCCTAGACTGTATAGCAGTCCTGTCCCCCATGGAGCTCCCTGGGAAGGGTCTTGAGGATATAAACTCAAAAGCTGACTGCGTTGACTTTCCGTTGATTTAAACAAAAGATTTTGTGCTAAACTTTGAACTTGACTTTCGCTCCACGAACTCCAAGACAGCAAAGCAGCAAATAGTGTTGCTTCATCATTTTGATTACCAATGATATATGGAACTTTGGCAAACTTTCCAGCATCAACAAGTTTATAGGGGATATCTCTTAGTATATTTCCATCAGCTCGCGGACTCCATGTAATAAACATATCCATAACACCAAATCCATCAGCCAACCCCCATGAGTTCATTGCTGCTGAGAGAGTGCTTGTTGATTTACCCCGCAAACAGGTCATGGTATCAGAATCACCAAGATTTGAACATCCAGCAGCATCAGCGAAATGATGATACAATTTTTGAGGACGACTATCAGTAATTGTTTCCATAGGGAGAAGTGAACCACTTTGCATAATTGCTCCACGGAATAGTGGTTTACCATTATAAGTATTATCACCGTCGTACATGGCCATCTGTGCAAAGCTAAAAAACGATTAGAAAAAAGAAGGCAAAATTAGCTAATCATACTTACATGTTCATTCCACCAGCTGATTCACCAAACAGAGTCACTTTATCAGGATCCCCACCAAATTGCGAAATATGTTTTTGAACCCATTGAAGTACTAATCTCTGATCTAACAACGCCGGGTTTCCTTCCCCTTCAGCTTTTACTGCACTCCCACCAAGATATCCAAAGGGACCAAGTCTATGATTAAATGTTACGACCACAACAGGCTGACTAATTCTTTGAGAAGCTTTGACATATTTCCCACCATCATATGTACTTCCAGAACCGAAAATAAAAGCACCTCCAAAAAACCATACCATGACAGGAAGTTTATCACCTGCTTTTGAACCAGCGGGCCGATAAACATTTAGAAACAAGCAATCTTCACTAAGATCAACCATATTTGTCAAACTTTGAACAGGAGAAACTAATTGCTGTAGAGCAGCATTAAGTGGATTCAGAGTAATCAGAGTATTGAGTAAATCTAGAACCCCACTAGGATTAACGCCTAAACAAGTGTGTCCAAAACTTGTTGCTTTAAGCCCATCATATGAATGATTATACTCCACAGGTGCCCTGAACCGCAAGTCACCTAAAGGTGGTTCTGCAAATGGGATACCTTTAAAAGATTCAACTTGAGAATCACCAATACCAGAAATTACTTCATTTGAATTCAATGTTACCTGTGGTGCAGCTATCACATGGTTTAAAGCCAATACGCTTAGCAAAAGAGATGATAATACTAAACGCATAGTTAATATAAAAATGAGTTTGTTGTCAATTTTAAGGAAGGAAGGGATAATGAATAATTATTGGTTTTTAGTATTTTGAAAATTTTTTTAGATTCGAAGGAAATATGGAAGAATTTATACAAAACCGAATTGCTTTTTAACTTTGAATTTTGAGCAATATGATACAAAAATCAATATTGCTAAATTGAGAATACATAAATTAAAGCCGCCTTAATTTTAGGAAACAAGAGTGTTACTTTTTACGGCTTGGATTATTTCAAATTGAATATTTTTAATTTTTAGAAATAAATCTGATCATTTTTGTTAAATAATTATTTTAACGAAGAACTTTAATATATCTATCATGCATAATTACTATATAGTCATTGAAAATAAAATAGGCAACTAATCATAAATTAAACTAACAAACCAACAAAATTCAAATAAAAACAAGAAATTTCAATGATCATCATCGTGATAATATATTATTTTAGCGTGTTTTAAAGATTTAAATGTAATTGAACCGTAACTAAACCCTTTAAATAACTTGGAATTCATCAATCCTCCTTCCTAATTAAGATACTGAAAAAAAAACAAAGAAAAAGTTAGTATGAATCTTTTTTATTGATTGTAACACTCATAGTCAAAATATAGCAGAGTGCAATGTTAATTAAACTGTACTCTGCTTTAGTACATAAAATGACAATAAATGAGTACAGTATATTAATTAATTTACCCAAAAATCAGTTTCTTGCAGGTTTTTATATTGCGTATTGATCTTTGAGTTTCTTAAATTGATACATACCCTGGTCATTTTTACACAACCCCTGACAAAAATAACTTAAAATACGCGAACTCGTATCTCAGCTATTCAACTTACAAGCAATTTGAAGTTAAATGTCAAATTTGAATAAAATACTACCGATCTTCATAAATGAATAAAGCAAAAACCTTAAAATCGTAAATTTAGTTTTTTAAGCTAAAAAAAGTTAAAAAATTGAGAAATGCTCAATTAAGCAAAAATATGGAAATTATTGATAAATAGAATTTTTATAACTTTAAATTGTTATTATTATAAAAATTATTGAAAAATTTCAATAAATTTGGCACTAGTAACTTTTTTCATACTGTAGAGGAACCAATGATGTATGTTGCATAATAATTGCTTATAAATAGCTTGAGAATATTGTAAAATGGGCTATTGGTTGACCTTTTTAACAATTTGACTGATGATAAAAATTTATCCCTGTTGGAAATTGAAATGCTTTAGGTTTTATTTAGTCAAAGATAGAATATCAATATCTAAATAACTTAAAAAGAAGACAATTCTTTAATTTTCAATTCCAAATCAAATAGATTACAAGTTATTTAGAAACAATTTGTCACTAAATTAATGTGCAAAATGTTGAATTGATAGCTAATAATTTGTTAGATTATTAAACATTTTATTGCAATGCAATTGCATTGATCGAGTCCATTTTTTGAAATCACCATATATATAATGATAACTTTAAATTGTATCCTTCCTTTTTTTTTAATATGAAATCTAAGCCTTTTAATAATATTTCCCAATAGCAAAAAAAATGTATACCTTATTTTTAAAGAGAATTTACCATCAAATAATATATATAGTACTTATTTTGGAATTTTCAGCATCAAGGCTTTTATGTTAATGATAAAAAAACTTAAAACTAAAGTTAAATTAAGTTTTAATGTTTACTTACTTTTACAACCTCACACATGAATCGATTACATAAGTGTATAATTCCAATAGTAACTATGCAGTTACATGTTTCTTTAAGTTTAACATGTCGTGAAGAGTGATAAATCAGTTGATGAAACTTAATAAAATAATTATCTTAATGTTTCTATTCGAAATTACTTTAAGCCTATTATCACACTTTTCTCAATAATAGGTTATGTTTAAAAAAAATTGCTCGCAACGAGTATTTTATTGATAAGTTTAATATCATTTAGATTCCTATCAGAAATAGTGATTTTTTTCATTAAAAAAGTAACCAATAACTTTATACACTGTTTGCTTTCTATATTCTATCAATTTTCAATTTTGAAAGCTCTATTATCAAACATTTGGATCTATTATTCTGAAAGGTTTGGACCAACAACATGGAATCGACGATTTTGGTATAATAATGATGATGCCGATTCTGACAACATGATTTCCTTCCGTTCTGATTCAATCAGCTCTTTATTCTCATCTTTTGTTGAATTATTATTTATTTCAACATGTAGTACTCGCGCAACCCAAATTTCATGGTCTTGCACTGAAAATGCCTCATGTTGCGTACAATAAATAACCGCTTTAGCATGCTTATAAACTGGTACATTTAAAAACTCTGATCTCCATGTAGATGTACCCTCGTTCCCACCGTTACGAGTGACACCAGGTGATCTAATGCCTTCAAAAGAAATTAATGGAGATATTGAAGGGTGTGTGAAAGGATTAACGTCACGACCTAGCCCTCCCGCAAATGCACGGCACGATTTTGCAGCAGCTCCGGTTGCAGGAAGAATATTAATAGCAAATATTGGTCTAGTATGTTTGTCATTAGTTTTAAAGGGTCTCATAGAATCAGCTGCATGACTTGGTAATTGGACGTTAAATGTTACTAAAGGTCGAGGTTTGATGGACAATGAAGAAAAGCTAGATACGGTCAATCCTCTAGGATGTGGATAGCTATTAGTATTACTATCTTTAGGACCAGCTGTAGTGATAATGCAAGCGGGAGAAGCTAACAACGACATAGCAGATCGAAACGTTTGTACAAAAGATTCAGAAGTTTCAGCATCACTGTTCTTCTCTACCTGTGACTGTGCATAAGCGATACGACTTGAATGAAAAAACCGAACATTATTAAACTTAACGTTTGCTGAGGCTTTTCGTGAGTTCCTTATTAAATCAGAACCAAGTATTGATTGTTTTTTATTAAATGAAAAATATCGATTAAAGTTTGACGAAAGACAACGACATATTTTAGAAGAAGTGGGCTTTGTGACCGGCATTTTATTTCATAGATTATGGGGATGTTGTAAGATTTCTGGGGAAAAAAAAACGAGTACCTGGAAACAAAAACCGCTGGGCCAAAAACCACTCTGCGGTTTTTTTTGCAACAATAATTTTTCAGTAACAAATCTTTGTAACAACGGGAATATGTAGTCGTGATGATATTTACCCGTAGCTTTTGCATCCCATCCAAAAATTTTAATGTTGTGATGGATTTGTGTGAGCAGACACTAAATTTTTATTGACGCGTCTGAGACCAAAAATCAAAAATCGCGTTTAGCTATCTGCGGTTGATAGGAAATAAGCAATGGACGAAGATCTTTATGACGAGTGAGTTAACTTATTATTGAAGTTTGGATTTTTCTAACTGTCTAAAAAGGTTTGGCAATTATATTGGACCCGCTGAAGACGAAGACGACGAGCAGGTCCAAGAGTCCTATGTGGGCAACTCTGACCATGCTGATGACGAATATCGCCACCAAACCCCTGATCAAGGTCTTGAAGAATCAGATAACATTGAACAAGAAGAAAATAATGGTATGGCTATTTTAAATATGCACGATTACTTTGCTCTAACTCTTATATAGAACCCTCGATGGCGGTGGTATTACACGAGGATAAGCGATATTATCCTACAACTGAGGAGGTATGAATGCCTGTACACTAAAATGAAAAATTTCTAATTTTATATCTAGGTATATGGCGAAGGCGTAGAAACTCTTCTACAAGAGCATGATGCTCAAGATCTTTCAGAACCCATAATTGCCCCTATAAATACAACTACCTATATTCGCGAAGAGAAAAACGCACCAGAAATTAAATACTCTTGGGAATGGCAAGCGAGTTTAATGAACCTTCCTGATCATATACGAAATGTGGCGCTTGTTGGAAATATTCATCACGGAAAAACGTCGTTCCTAGATTTACTAATCAACGAAACACATGTTCTTCCTGTCAGAGACCGGTCAAAGCAAAATGAACAGTTAAGATACACTGACACACATGTATTGGAACAGGAGCGTGGCGTAACTATCAAGGTCTCACCAATGTCTCTGGTTTTGAAAAATTCCAAAGGAAAGTCTTTTCTAGTAAATGTTATGGATACCCCTGGCCATTCGAATTTTTTAGATGAGGTTTCCGTTGCTTCTCGTTATGTCGATGGTTTTGTTCTTGTTGTTGACGTTCTTGAAGGCTTATTGACTTCTACTGAACAAATAATTTCTCATGCTATTCGGGAAGGTCTGCCTCTTATTTTAGTCGTCAACAAAATTGATCGTTTAATTTTAGAACTAAAATTACCTCCTAACGAAGCCTTTTACAAAATTCGCTATTGCATTGACCAGGTTAATAATTTCATAAACAAAGTTTCGCCTTTTAAAAACGGCAAATATTCTCCATTATCACCTATTACCGGAAATGTTGTTTTTGCTTCATCAACATGCAATTTTATGTTTTCACTTTACACTTTTGCATTAAAATACAAGGAAAATTCACCAGAAATAGACGCAAAAGCATTTGCAAAAAGACTTTGGGGTGATATATTTTATAACAGGGTGACTCGCAAATTTACCAAAAATCACCAAGCGAAAGATTCTAAAAGGTCTTTTGAGCATTTTATTCTTGAACCTCTTTACAAAATATTTACCCACACCTTAGAAGAAGAAAAGGAAGGATTAGAAGAGACCCTTGCAAAGCTTAATATTTCATTAAAACCAGCAACATATCGATTAGATGTTAAGCCTCTTCTCCAAACAATATGCTCCTTGTTTTTTGGAGATTCTTCAGCATTTGTTAACGCATTGTGCGAACACATTCCAGCTCCATCTCAAGGTGGTTCTTCAAGAATTGTCCAAAATTATTATACAGGCCCAAAAGATGGAATAGAAATTGAAGCTATGGAAAAAAGTGATTCAGAGGGACCATTAGTGGTTCATATTGCCAAATTAATCAGTACACCTAATGCTTCTGGATTTTATGCTTTGGGTAGAGTCATGAGTGGTACGTTAAACAAGGGTGTACCTGTATCTGTTCTGGGCGAAAACTATTCTTCTTACGATACAGAGGATATGCAAGAATGTGTTGTATCTGATTTATGGATTTATCAGTCAAGATATAAAGTTCCTGTTGATGGTGTCCCTGCTGGAAACTGGGCTTTAATTGGTGGAGTCGATCCTTCAATAGTCAAAGTTGCAACTATTTTCATGACCAATCAGTTCCCCGAAGAGGGAATGCATATATTTAGTCCCATTAAATATATCGGTCAACCCGTTTTTAAAGTTGCGGTCGAACCCTTTAATCCTTCTGAACTTCCAAAATTGTTAGACGGGTTGAGAAACATTCGCAAAAGTTACAGTGTTGTCCAAACTAAGGCAGAAGAATCAGGAGAGCATGTTATTATTGGAACGGGAGAGTTATATATGGATTGTATTCTTTACGATTTACGAAATCTTCATACTAATATCCAAATTAAAGTATCAGATCCTGTTGCCAAGTTTGCTGAAACTTGCTTAGAAACTTCTGCTATTCGGGCATATACTGAGACACCCAACAAGCATAATAAAATAACTGTTATTGCTGAACCGTTAGATCCAGATATTGCTGCTGATATAGAAAAGGGCATTGTTCAAATGGCTGGTGCAAATGGTTGGACATCTAAAAAAGTTGCGAAATTTTTTCAAGAAAAATATAATTGGGACGCTATGTCTGCACTTTCAATTTGGGATTTTGGACCGGAATCTGCAAAAGAAAACATTTTGCAAGATGACACACTTCCTGATGAAGTTGACAAGAAGGCTATGAAAGCCATCCGTGAATCTGTCAAGCAAGGCTTCAAATGGGCTATGAGAGATGGCCCATTATGTGATGAACCGATTCTTAACGTTAAGTTTAAAATTATAGAGGCCGAACTTTCAGAAGACCCCAGTCAGAGAAATAGCAGTCAAATAATATCTACTGCTCGTCGAGCGTGCTATTCTGCCTTTTTATTGGCATCGCCTCGACTAATGGAACCTCTCTATTTTTTCGAGATTATCGTTAATTACGATTCCGTCAATTTTATTAAGTCAATTGTCGATCGACGTCGTGGTCATGTGGATATGGATAAGCCAATTTCGGGAACCCCATTAAGAATAATTACTGGTGATATTCCAGTTATTGATAGCGTGGGATTTGAGACTGATATCAGAGTGGTCACTCAGGGAAGTGCTTTTATTAGCGCTCTTGTATTTTACAAATGGAGTATTGTTCCAGGAGATCCTTTAGATAAGTCACAAATTTTCAGACCATTAGAGGTGTCTCCTACGTTTGCCATGGCACGGGAATTTGTAGTCAAGACTAGACGCAGAAAGGGTTTGAGTGATGAACCAACTATCACAAAATACCTTGATGAATCTCTTCTGGAATCACTAAAAGAAACAGGTCTTTTAGATGAGTAATTTAGATCTCTAGAAATATATAAAAATTAATTAATATGTCGCTTACATATCATGAATTTCCATAGATCATGTTTCTTAAGCCAGAAAAAAAGATCTAATCACGTGACAATTATTTAAAAAAAAAATTTTTTGAAGCGATTTGAAATGAACTTTTCCTTAAATAATAACAATGTCCAACATCACTAAGACTTATGAAGAAAGAGCAGCAGTTCACAAAAGCCATACTGCTAAGAGACTTCTCACCTTGATGGCAGAGAAGAAAACTAATCTCTGTGCTTCTTTGGATGTCACTACTACTGCTGAACTTTTGCGACTAGCTGATATTCTTGGACCTTATATTTCTTTAGTCAAAACACATATTGATATTGTTTCTGATTTTTCATATGAAGGAACAATTGTTCCTCTTGTCGAACTTTCTAAGAAGCACAATTTTTTGATTTTTGAGGATAGAAAGTTTGCTGATATTGGCTCTACTGTTAAGGCCCAATATAGCTCAGGTGTTTACAAGATTGTTCAATGGGCTGATATTACTAATGCCCACTCCGTTCCCGGTGAAGGAATCATTAGTGGTTTAAGAGAAGCTGCTCATGAATATATTGAAGCCAATGGCAATAAAACTGACCGAGGCTTGATTATGCTTGCCGAGCTTTCATCTAAGGGCTCTTTGGCAGTTGGAGAATATACTGCACAGACAGTTGCCATGGCTCGCCGAAACCTCGATTTTGTTTTTGGCTTTATTGCTCAAAACCGAATGGAAGAAGGTGAAGGAGAAGATTTGTTAATTTTGACTCCTGGTGTTGGGTTGGACGACAAGGGTGACGGCCTTGGACAACAGTACCGTACTGTTGATACTGTAATTAAGGGCGGCTCAGATGTCATTATTGTCGGTCGTGGTCTTTTTGGAAAGGGTAGAGACCCTCAAGCTGAAGGCAAGAGATACAGAGATGCTGGTTGGGCCGCCTATGAGGCCCGTGTTTTTAAATAGATTAAAGTATATTTGAATTTTTATGGGACCAATAATTACTGAAAAAAAGCACATTGTATCTATCATATTCTATGTAAAGCCTGGATCAGTCAAACTATTATCCGGAGTAGCATATCGCAAACGCATTATTTCAAAAACAACAAGGCCGATACTTGTTGATGGCATAGTGGCTAACGTTGAACGAATAAATCCACCATAAAGCCATCTTCCCCAGTGACCATTGCAGTCACGGACAACAATCCTATGAATTTGCTGAAATGTATGTATGTAACCTTTTGAATATAATCTCAAAAATGAATGAGGAGGAATGATAAAATCTATAAGAATCTTTTTATAGTCAATTGGTTTATGAGTTTTGTTTGTAAATTGTTGCTTAAGGAAAATAAAGAGGTTTTTAGTTGTTTCTGGGGTAGCTGATTTAATTGTGGGTTTAGCTTTTTGTAAATCTTGTTTCTTTTTTAGTTCTTTTTGCTGCCTAGCAATATCATCTAATGCTTCTAATCGCATAAGATAAAGCTTTTGGATTTTACCTAAAGGGTAGTGAACAAATTGAACTGCTATTGCAGACATAGCTCCGGCAAACAAAATAAAAGATGGGTATAAAGCTCTTGTAGCTTTTTTAGGATCACCGTCATGAAAGAAATTAACATACGTGCGATACCAAGGACCTTTGATTGTTTCAAAAGTACTAAAAAACAAACCGAAACCAAGAGACTCTTTGATAAAAGAAATCGAATACCCAGAAAAAACACCACGAGGTCCAATTTCTTTTAACTTCGCCCAACCGTAAGTCCACATTGTTTTATATTCTGAATTCAATAGTTCGGATGCAGAGAATCTTGTAACTATAGCGTCAATTGGCGCTGCTGCTAAACTTTGCATTGTTCCTGCAACCGCACCAGCACAAAAGGAATCAACCATGACAGATGAAGTATAATGTCCTGGTAAACGAGAAATTCCTGTTTCTTTATAATGCTGAATGTCATCATGTTCTTGTGATTTTTGAATAAGCGTAAGCGTTGTTAGATAAGATGAATATAAAACAAGTCCTACACTTTATATTATGTTAGCCAAAAATAAAATAAAAGAAATTAAAAAAAAATTAATAAAACTTACGCAGAATTTGCAATAAGAGGAGGAAGAACTACAAAATATTGTTAGCAAAAAGTTAAGATGTTTGTTTTGTTTACAATGGTTCTGATCTACCTACCATGATTTGGAATAAAGCTCCAGCCATATTGTTTCACTGCATGTGCCAAAAGAGCCTAACAATCGTTAGATATAAAGGAAGATAAAAACAATCATAAATTTGAACTTACAGGGCCTGAATGAGTGAATATGCTCCAGGGTTTCTCCTTATAGATCGGATTGACAGCACGAGGAATTGCCTATTATTGTATTATTAGACATGTGATACTTTTTTAAGTTAAAAGAGCATGAGCTTACGAACCAAATAGCTAAACATTAAAAAGTTAGTGATTGCTTTAACACTTGTTATCGCTCAACATACTCAACTCGAGTTGGCCGAAACAACTTAACTGGTACCCGGACATAAAATGTAAAAAGCTGAGAAGCCAACGCACGAAGACCTGCTGTAGTGGCTCCCACAATTCGTGATGATGCTAATGTATTATGGATTTCATCTTTGTCCATAGAAGATCCCACGAGTTGAGAGGCAGACTTCATGGTCGCTTAAATGATCCTGAGTTAAATTTTGTTCCAATATATCTGGATTGAAACGCCATCGAACAGAAGATTTAGTGTACCACCTGCTTTGATTAGAGAAGTGCGTACGAGCAATTTTTTTTGGCCGCACCGCCAATAAATTAACCACAATTTATCCAATCACGTGCATTTAATTGAATTGACCGCATAATTATGTAATCATAATCTGTTTTGATTGTATGTGATGTAAATAACTGGTTAAGTTGAAATTAACATCAATTACGTTATAACGTACTTTTAATTACAATTCAAGTTTGAAGCCTTTATTAAGGTTGACTAAAAATTTAAACTGATTGGCAATTGCAGAGTCTTTATTAGAAGACCATTAAAATATATATTACAATTTTGTAAAACCAAGGCGCATATCTTAAAGATTGAGATCTTTTTTTTTTTTTTTTTTTTTTTTGCAACTGTCAAATTTCAAAAGCTATTGTTTTGTGGTAAGGCTCATATACCTGTAACGGTTCATTCAAACATCTTAAATCTATTTAGGGTTATTCGGAAATCGGGTAAATTTTTTTTTTTATAAGCAAGATTTACTTAGCCTTGCAGTGACTGTCATAGAAGTTGTCGAGTCGCTGCAGTTTTAGAACAGACTCGCAATCCTAGACTCTGAGCCATGACATTGCCTCTAACACTAGAAGGTGGCAGAGCCACGTTAGCCGTCTCGTTGACTTGTATGATAATTTTTTTTTTCTTTTTTTGTATTTAATAAACTTAGTTCTTGTCAAGTATTATTTATTGTGATGAGGCACTACGAAAAGTTTATTACGTATCTCATCTTTTATTGTCATATACACTAGCCGCTTCATTTAGCCAAATAAATATCGGTCTTCCCCCGCCATTTTTAAAATTTCATTTTCTTCTTCCTTCCATTAACTTTTATTACTTTCATTCATCACAATCAAATTCAAAACAAAAATGTCTTATCCAGGAGGTGGACATAGAACATATGGGGGCTACGACCCAAACTCTTATCAAAATTATAACAATGATGGAGGCTATGGTAACAACCAAGGCGGCTACAGCAATAATCAAGGTTATAACCAGCAGAATTTTGGCTACAATCAAAACGGATATGGTGGAGGTGGATACGATAATTATGGAGGACCTCCACCGGGACCTCCTCCAGGACCTCCACCTAATCAGGGGTATGGTGGACCCCTAGGACCTCCTTCAGGGCCTCCTCCTAGCTACGGGAATGACTATGGAGGTGGCTATGGAGGTGGTTATGGAGGTGGATTCGGAGGCAATAATAATAATTATAATACTAACGGCAATAGTTATGGAGGGAATAACGGGGGATTTGACGACTACAATAATAGAGAATACAATCAAGGTGGCTGGGGTGCTCCAGGAGGTTATGACAATGCTAATTTTGGAGGCAATTATTCTACAACAAATATGCGATTCCAAGCACCTCCAACTCAAGGTCAATCTTTTGGTGTTAGTGGTATGCAAAACTATATGTATTCACAATGTAACGGCCGCCGAAAAGCCTTGTTAATTGGTATTAATTACTTTCGACAAAAATCTGAGCTCAAGGGCTGCATTAATGACGTTAAAAACATTCGCAACTTTTTGGCTCAAAGATATGGATATAAACAAGAAGACATGGTTATTCTTACAGATGATCAGTCTAACTCTCAGTCTATTCCCACAAAAGCTAACATTATCAGAGCTTGCCAATGGTTAGTGAGGGATGCCAGGCCAAATGATTCACTTTTTTTCCATTATTCAGGGCATGGTGGCCAAGAAAAAGATTTAGATGGAGATGAAGACGATGGATATGACGAATGCATTTATCCTGTTGACTATGCAACTCAAGGCTCTATTGTCGATGATCTTCTTCACAATATTCTTGTTAAGTCTTTGCCTCCCGGTGCTCGTCTCACGGCATTGATGGATTGCTGTCACTCGGCTACTGCACTTGATTTACCTTATGTTTATTCAACAAAGGGTACTTTAAAAGAGCCTAACCTGTTAAAAGATACAGGCAAAAATGTATTTAGCGCTTTTTCCAGTTATGCTACCGGTGATATTGGTGGCGTAGTAAGCTCTGTTAGCGGTGCTATCGGTCGGCTTACAAAAGGAAACAAGGGTTATGAAAAGACTAAGCAAACTAAGACATCACCAGCAGATGTCATTATGTTTTCTGGCTGCAAGGACAGTCAAACTTCTGCCGATAGTTTTGAAGATGGTTCTGCAACCGGTGCTATGTCCCATGCTTTTATTCAAGTTATGTCAAATAATCCTAACCAAAGTTATTTGTCATTATTAAATAACATGCGTGATGTACTTGCTGGAAAGTATGACCAAAAGCCGCAATTAAGTTGCTCTCATCCTTTAGATTGTAATCTTAAATTCATTATGTAAATTTTGTTGACTAGTTATGAAACGGATATGCTAGTAATAGTAAAAACTTATTTAAACAACTAATATTTTGGAACCTTTTGAAAAAAAAATAATTATTTAATTATTTATAATTAATTCAATATATTGTGCTATATAAAATACCTAAATTTAAAATTTGGAAATTGAGAATTTATTAAATTCTTTTGTTGATGCCATCATACAATCAAGACTAAATAAGTTGAGGTTTCATTGAAAATTAGGATTTAAAATTTTACATTCTTACCTTAGGTTAAGTTAAACTTAGAGTAGAAATCCTAATATTTGAACTAATCATTAACTCATGTTTGTTAAAAGATTTTAGAAATCTATTACTAAAACAAATTTCTTACATTTAATTTTAACATTAAATATTATAAAGATTAATGAAAAAAGGTTTATATAACGTATCTAAAAAACAATTCATACTTTTAGTATGTTTATAATTTATTATAATGAAATTAAACTAATTAATAGTAATTTGATCTTTTGGGACATAAATAATAGAAAGCGATTTTAGCCAATCATCGAAATGGCCTCTGATACCAACAAGTCTTGTTCCCTGAGGTGTAATAACTTCATGCCATTTCCCACTATCATCTTCTCCACACGGAGGGCCTGTTCTGCGGTTTGTCACAAGCTGACATAAATTCAAATGATTACCAACTTTAATACGAAAGCCAACAATATATTCGCCTTCTTCCAAAAAAAACTGATTATCATGGCCACCCATGCCTCCAATACGTGGTCTCGAAGGTCCATTATGTGCAGCTCCAGAGTCTTGAGGCAAAATAAATTCTATTCCATCAACATAACGGCCACTTCGAATATTGACGCCATGAATGAAAGGTGGAATAGCTGAGATTTGTAACTCGCCAGATTTTTCTCCATAGAACGGGGAACAGGTGGCAGTTAAAGTACCACAGTTATAATAAAATGAATGTTGAATAGTATTGAGATCAGATTGCTGTTTAAGAATTAGTTCCTGTCCCTGAGACTGAGCTAAATGTGTATTGGTTGTACAAACAAGAGAAATGGCATTAATCCAACTGTCGTAATAGGTTTTGATACCAACAAGTTCCTGCCCATAAGGAGCACGGATTTCAAAACTATCTCCATCTTCAGATTCGCCGTATACTGGACTTTTGCGAAAGTTTGTGATGATTTGGATGTTTTGCAAAAAGTCATCAACTTTACCAGCAAATCCGACAATATATTCGCCATCCATCAATTCAAATCTGTTATAGTGTCCTCCAAATCCACCAGCTTTTATCCAGTATGATTGATCCTCATAATCATCACCCTTAGCACCAGTGATAAACTCAAACCCGTCAACATAAAGGCCACTTTGAATGTTGACACTCTTGAGATTAGGAGGAATTATTGCCATTTCAAGGTAACCTGTTGATTCACCATGAAATGAAGAACTGTTTCCGGCGACGACACCGTCCAAAACACGCATGTAAGAATGCATGACTGGATTTCTTAAAATGTATTGTTGCACCTCATATTCTGTAAACCTTGATCTAAACAGTTCATTGTTTGATGCATATATGATGGAAAACGAGGTGATCCAGCCTTTCACGAAAGCTCTCATGCCAACGATCTGGTAGCCCGCTAAATGGATTAAATTATATTCTTCATCTTCATCCAAATCAGTTCTTCCATAAATAGGGCTTTGGCGACGATCAGTCAAAATCTGTAAGCTTGAAAGTCGACCTTTTGATGAGCGAAGGTGAAATCCAGCAAGATGCTCATCTTTTTCAAATTGAAAACGATACTCATCTCCACCATTACCCCCAACTTTGTATATTGAGCTTCGACTTTTTTGATATGGAACGAATTCAATCGAATCGATGAAGTGCCCATTGCGAATTATCACCTCAGAAATATTAGCTGGAATGTAGCCAACTTCTTTTTCAGCACCCGGAATATTATCATCAAGATCAGAGCAATAGCTGGTAATAAGACCTATATCACGGCCAAAAGTAGAACGAATTTTGTCTTTATAACTGACGTCAACAGATGGATGTTGTGGACGAACATAGGGATGTTTTGGAGGTTGAGGTGGGTATGATCGAGATTTTACAGGTGGAGTTGGTGATAAAGGTTTGTTTTTATAAACAGGAACTGCATGTGATTCGTCGTCGCTACTACTACTACTGTTGCTGCTGCTGCTACTACTACTACTGCTGCTGTTAGATTTTTTGTGTTTATGGCGACGATGGAAATGCATTCTTAAGATAAAAGGTTATAAATGTTGTGGAAAAATGGTAAAACTCTTAATTATTAAGGAATAGCATAAAAACATCTCTGTAGCGGGAGTGTGTATTTTATTTATATAAATAATTATAGCACTTGACAATTTTCTTGTTATCATGAGATGAATAGCGATTGCGGCTGAATTTCAGCTACATTGAAATTTATGTTGGGTTGCAATCGCCCTGGATATACGTGGAGTTAAGGAACACTTTTTGTCTATTAATTAATGGACAATAATTATTATAAACAAAATTATGTTTAAAGAAGTAAATAAAATAAACACTCTAGATCACTCAATGATTATAATCATCGAATTTCATATAGTTTGTATATAAAAAATTTGATATTTATTAAAACGCGAAAATGAATTAAAATTTAATAGAAAGACATTAAAAGCCGTTGAAATTATTTTTTTAAACGTTATTATGTACACCATCATCTACGTCTAACAATATTACCGGCGACCTCACTTGGCCGATTCCATGTCCAGATTTTGCCATCTTTAGATGCCACAACAATTGTCTTTTCCAAAAACAACAAATCAGTTAATGGTTCCACTATTCCTCCATTAGTGTTAACACCAAACATCAAGGCTGCATTAATACTATTGTTAATATTGTTCGGGTTATTATTTCCAGTAGCGCCATTAGCAGAGACAGGATTGGAGTTTTCACCGTTGACAGTAGAATCGGCCGAGTCTCTTCCTGTTTTATTTGGAAAACGAACAGTAACCTGAACAACAGGTGTTAGTTGGGGAACTTTGTCTTTCGCAATGAATGGGTGAACTCGGGATACATATGGATTAGCAGCACTGCCACCAATGCCCCCAAGTGTGTTTTGGTTGTTGATTGCCGCTTGGTTTGTTAAGGAGTGGTTAGATATAACAGGTTTTAAAGACAGATGACTGCTATCTCTATTGTGCAGATCCGAAGTAGTAGCAGAATGTGTATTATGTGACCCCTTCTTGTGTTGGACCTTGGGTCGTGATAGTGTTTTGGGTGAAAAATCCCAAAGAATCAACTGGCCTTCATCACCAACTGAGCCCACTCGGTAAGTAGCACCAGCCACACCCTCATCACCATCAGCAGCAGAAGTTCCAGCAAGATCACAGTTCCAAGGATCAAATGCCACTTTACGAACCCACGAATGATGACCAGAGCCTCTAGCAACAACAGTGCGTCGTTTGACTGACCAAATTGTTACTAGGTCATCTTTGCCACCAGTTGCTAAATACTTACCATCAGGTGAAAAGGCACACGTTAAGAATCCATCATAGTAACTTGGAAAAAAATCGGTAACAACTTCAGTTCCCAAGTTGAAGAAGCGGAGGTACCCGTCTGCAGAAGCAATGACAGCTGTTTGCCTGTCAGGAGAAAATTCAATAGCAGTTAATGGTTTATGGGATAACTTGTAGACAGCAAGAGGATTGTGTTTGGCGCTGCTAAATTGCTTAGGCGCGTTTTCGGAATCGCCATCATCATCATCGTTGATATTTTTGTTGATGTAATTAAAAAAAATATTGCCGCCAGAGCTTGTAGTGGCGGCTGTGTCCTGACCATCTGCGGGAACATCACCATAAAGCGACTTCACAATTCTAAATGCCTCAGTAGACCGACTGTCTTGGTAGTTTAAACCACCATGGTTTGCAAAACCACCATCCTCACGGTCCTTGTCGAGAAGAATAAGTGTACCGTTGGAGTGAAGTGTGAAAAATAAGTTCTCTGAGCCTGGGACCCATTTTATTGCTGTCACAGCAGCACCAATAATGTCAGCATTCTTATTGATACGGTGATACTTGTTGCTAGCCGAGTCAAGCCACATAGCATCACCAGAAGACATACCCACAACTACATCCATGCCATGCGCACTACGCGTGTAAAGATTAACGTCGTGGCAAAGAGGATGAGAACGAGTGAAAAGGATTTTACTGAGATACTGGTCGCGAGGTATTGTTGCGGCCATTGACGAAGCATGCTTGGAAGAAAAATCAAGCCATTGTAGGGAGCGTCCAACATTAGCCCATACTACAGGCTCAGGATCAAGAGTTCGGTCCGCTAATCTTCGAGACAGATTTTCGTTGACTATTGTACGTGAGATAAACGTGGAGTTATTTTTGACCAAGTTTGACTTAGGTCTTTTTCTTTTGCTGCCATTAGATGGATTTGTTGAGGTCGAATTTGTGTTTCCACCGTTCCCAGAGCCTCCAGAAATACCAGAAGCTAAAACGCCATTTATCGATGTTCCGTTAGAAGAAAGCCCCAGTTTCCCAAGATCAAGGTCACCGTTAGATCCAAGGCCTTCGGTATCATGGGGATCAAGAGGAACTGTGATATGAAGATTGCTGAGTAACGGACTTGTACCAATGGCATCTGGAGGCACAACTGTAGTCCCAACCAAAGTAGATGGTTGGTGTGAAACAAGAATATCATGAGGAGTAGTTGGAGTTTTTGCATCGCAGGATTTCGAATGTGAACTACCAGTAGATATATTTAAAGAACCAAGAGATAGCAAACCCTTTTTTTTTTGTGTGCTTACGTTTGTGGGTTGCAAAGAAAGAGGGGTTTGCGGAGAGTTAAGACCTTGAGCAGCCAGGTTGGGGTTTTCAACTATTGGTTGAGAAATCGGTTGTTGTACTTGTACCTGTATCTGTTGCTGTTGCTGTTGCTGTTGCTGTTGTTGTTGTTGATCAACAAATGGATCCGCAAATGGATCATTTTTGCGCTCGTCGATTGGAGTTGTAGGAACACTACTGGACTGAGGAGTATTCAAGACGCTTTTGCGGCCTAAAAAAGAAGTGGTCCAGCGAGATTTAGGTTGTTGTTGTTGCTGTTGCTGTTGCTGCTGTTGTTGATGCGCTGAAAATGACGTAGAAAGAGAGTTACCATTGTTCGCTATTGCTTGTTGAATATTATTTTCCAGTGATCCTGGCGGTGGGATATAACGGATAGTTACTGCAGAAAGGCGTACACCTGAGGAATGAGTGTTAGGATGATGAGCAGTGGGTGTCAAAGGGTTAACTGCGGTAGATGGGGGGTCCAAAGGGTGGGCTGTTGGAACTGCTAAAGATATAACATTACGAGGTTCGTAAACACCTTCTGGTGCAACGAACGAATGATCAGATCCAAGACGAATGGCAGTATTGGCTGCTTCGATATTATATTGCGACTCACCTCTGATGTTGTTAAACATCGTTGTAGAGGGATAATGCATCGGGTACCGAGGTCCCGCCGTAGCAATAAACATCATCTTGAAATATCTTAATTAATTAACACTTGTTAAAGTTAATAAAAGCAACGCAAATGTTTATAAAGAATAGTCAAAAGTTAATAGTTGAAGTAAGATTTTGAAAAGTTAATACAATGAAATGTGTGGAAAGCCCAAGTTTGTGATTGCGAAAGAGTTTCAAATGGTGGGTGTAATAAAGGGGTTGGGGTTATAAATGCGGGGCTGAAATTAATCATTACCCGGCTCTTAGTTGATGTTTTTTTTTCCTTGATGTTTGTTGTTTATTTTTTTTTTTTTTTTTCACATCACAAAATTGAATCGCTTGCAAAGTGTTAATCCATAACATAAAGGAATACCAAAAAAATTAACAAATACCAATGTCACTTTGGGTAGACAAATATAGACCTCGATCGATTGAGGCACTTACTTACCATTCAGCTCTTAGCGATGAACTTAAGGCGCTGGCCGCCTCAGGGGACTTTCCTCATATCCTAGTTTATGGCCCATCAGGAGCAGGAAAGAAAACTCGAGTGATGGCTGTCCTGAAAGAGCTTTATGGAAATGGTGCAGAAAAAATTAAGATTGCGTCTAGAGTATTTCAAATTGGAACATCTTCCCGTAAAGTTGAATTTAATGTGGTATCATCAAATTACCATATCGAGTTTACGCCAAGTGACATGGGAAATAATGATCGAGTTGTGATCCAAGATCTGCTTAAAGAAATTGCTCAAACTCAATCAGTAGACACACGATCAAAAAATAGATTTAAAACAGTTGTTATTAATGAAGCTGATTCATTGTCGCGAGATGCACAAGCAGCTCTTCGTCGCACAATGGAAAAATATTCTGCCAATATTCGATTGGTTTTACTTGCCAACTCTACCTCTAATATTATATCGCCCATCAAATCCCGTACTTTGCTCATTCGTGTGCCTGCACCATCTGCAGAAGAGATTGGGGAAGTAATTTTACAAATTGCAAAGAAAGAAAAGGTGTTACTGCCTAGCACCGAAGAAGAACAAAAGGAATTGTTTGACAAACTGACAAGATTGTCACATCGCAATCTACGCAAATGTATTCTCATGTTTGAGGCTATGTATTCAGCGTCCAATGGCAATGCTTTAACAGTTGCAACACCTACACCATCACCAGATTGGGAGCAAGTTATAGGAAAGATTGCAGATGAAATTTTGCGTACGCGCACAGTTGCCAATCTGCTATCGATTCGTGGAACATTGTACGATTTAATCGCACATTGCATTCCCCCAGAAACTATTTTAAGGACGCTGACTTATGAACTACTACACAAAGCTAACTATAATGTTGGGCCTAGCATTGTGGAAGCAGCAGCTTTTTACTTCCATCGATTACGACAAGGCTCCAAGGCTATTTTTCATCTTGAAGCTTGTATTGCAAAATACATGCAAATCATTGAAACATTTCACACAAAATAATATTTACAAATAGTCATATACACACATATCCCAAGTATTTTCTGACATCCTTCATCGTCTGTACTTCTTGTAAAAGTCTTCCTTCGACTTCAAAATGTTGGCCATTCTTTTTGTCGGGTTTGCCAACATATTTTGAACAACATTGACCTTTTCTGGAACGTCAACCCGATCAAAGCCTGCCTTAGGCTTGTCGGAAAGAGTGACGACTTCATAAATCCCAGGAAGCTTGTCAGCAGCCACGCGGAAAGCATCTCTAGCAACTTGTTCGTGGAGATTAGGACCGTTGATTTCGAAGAGAATCTTGCCAGTAGGAACACGGACTGCCCAGTGATCAAAGGGACCCTTGCCCTTACCCATACGGGTTTCGTTACCCTTAACACAGACAGCAATGTTAGTCTGAAGGCGGCGGATAAGCTGAGCACCGTTGGCACGCATAGTACGCATAAGCCAGTTATCGGCCTCCTTGAGCTGAATAGCAGCTAAACGAACACCATCGCTCTTGAGGCGCAGGCCGTATTGACCAAATTGTAACGTGGAACCTTTGATAGAACCACCAATGCGCACAGGGACGCGGCCTTTGTGCTTCTTGCCAACCTTGACAAATCGCGGCGCGTACTCGTGCTTAAAGCGCACAGCATAAGGTGCACTAAAAGAAGAAGCTGAAGACGTAGCAGTGCATAGCTGCTTCAAGCTACTGCGAAACAAAGTAAGAGCGGATTTAGCGTCAAACATGAGTGCGTTGGATGTTATTGATGATTTTTTGGGGGTGGTGGTAAATCACTAAAGCATAGATTTTTTTTTTTTAGTGTGGTGGTGAAATTTTTTTTATCAGTCCCCATTGGTCAGCAACCTCAAACTGGGTTCGCGTACCATGCAATCTATATTGAAAAGTTTCTGCTCGTAATTATTTCTACACTTTACAACCACCCATTACATTTAAAATCAACAAACCATCTAACAATGGCAACAACATTGGCTCCAAGAACGCTGCTGCGTGTGGCTTCTGCCGCCACGATGTGTACTGGTCCTACAGTTATTCAAACAGTGCGCTATAACAGCTCTTCCTCTTCGACTGTTGAAATTCTTAAAAAGACATACCCGATTGACGAGTGGACCAACGTAACGCCGTCAATAATTGAACTAACTAATCGCAAACTTCACTTAAATCCTTCACATCCTATTGGTATTCTTCGCAACATGTTTGAAACCCAGCTTGGCCAAATTGGTGGTTATACATTTTATAACAGTTTTGAGCCTGTGGTATCAACGTACGAAAACTTTGATGTGCTTGGGTTCCCCCAGGACCATCCTGGGCGTTCCAAAACTGATACTTACTATGTTAACAAATCTACCCTTCTACGTACCCATACTTCTGCTCATGAAGCTGAATGCTATAAGAACTGCAAAACCCCTGGATACCTGATTTCTGCTGATGTGTACCGCCGCGATACAATTGACAAGACTCACTACCCGGCGTTCCATCAAATGGAGGGTGCATACACGTGGTCGCGCACTGAACACCCTGGTGAATCTCTTGTTGATGCTATTCAACGTGATTTGGATCGTCTTCCTAAGCCCGATATTATTGTCGAAGATCCTAACCCGCCTTTTCACCCGGAACGCAACCCTAAAGAATTATCTATGTCTGATCGTGAAATTGAGCTTGTGTCTGCGCACTTAAAGCGCACCATTGAACTCTTGTTATCTGCTGTGTTTAACCGTGCTCGTGAAGCTGCATTGGCTTCTGGTTCTCAAGATCCAGATCTTCAAGCACCTCTCAAGGCACGTTGGATCGAGGCTTATTTTCCTTGGACGGCTCCTTCTTACGAAATTGAAATTTGGTGGAAGGGAGACTGGCTGGAAATGTGTGGATGTGGTGTCGAGCGTCAACACGTTTTGCACAATGTGGGGATTAATGACAAGGTTTCCTGGGCTTTTGGTATCGGTCTTGAGCGTATGGCCATGTTACTTTTTGGAATTCCGGATATTAGATTGTTTTGGACCAAAGATCCTCGTTTTGCCTCTCAATTTTCTGAAGGAATCGTGACTAACTTTAAGCCATATTCCAAGTATCCAGGCACGCTCCGTGACGTAGCCTTTTGGATCCCTAAGGACTCTGAGGGTATTCACGAGAACGACATCATGTCGCTCGTCCGAGACATTGCCGGCGATGTAGTGGAGAACGTGTCCCTTCATGATGAATTTGTGCACCCCAAAACTGGAAGAAAGAGTCAATGCTACCGTATTAACTACCAGAGCATGGACCGCTCCCTGACCAATAATGAAATCAACAAGTACCAGGACGAGTTTCGTGCTCAGTTGGCTAACAAATACGACATTGAACTTAGATAAAAACTTCAAGATTTTGTAAATAAGCTTAACATGTTTTTAGTGTACATAACTTAAATGAAAAAATACATGTTGAAATAATTATTTTTCAACGTCAGAAGCGCGAACGACGACTTTCTGGCCCGAAATCTTATCGGTTCGCAGCAGGTCAAGACCTTCTTCCACAGAATTAAGGAAACTATCTTTAATCAAAAGCAGTTCAGGGTGGTATAACTCGTGCTGCAAAAAGTGAAGGGAAATCTTCTTACTAAGAAAGTCATCAAAGTCACGACGGAGCTCGGGCAAGGCAGGAATTGTTTGGGGACCAAACTTAAATTCCTCGTTGATGATAGTGTAAAGTAATGTCGTGTTAAACTTAACCTTCTTGTTTGCATCAGTCTTGATGTCATTAGCAGTCAAAAACAGCAAGTTGTCAATATATGAATTGTCAGCAATTGCGTCATAAACTGATTGGAAAGTTTCTTTGTTAGAAACAGAGTCAAACCCATAAATAATATCAGGATGCTCTTTGCGAATAGTCTCGACAACATTCTCAGTTTTGTAATCGTAAGTGAAATCTGCACCACGCTCTTTAAGACTGGCGTGGTGTTTCGAACTAGCAACTGCAATCACTGTAAGGCCATAAATTTTCTTTGCCAATTGAATTGCAATATATCCAGCAGAAGTAGCACCACCCCAAATAAGAACCTTTTTTCCTTTGTAGGATTCTGGGCTTGCGTTGGCAAGCTCAAAGGAGTGGTTAAAAACAAGGCCATCAGTAAAGAGGGAGAGATTGATAGCAGCAGCACCCTCGTAAGACTGGACAACGCCAGCAGGAATAACATTGTTATGGTCAGCAGCAATCTGAAGACCATCCTTGTTGTAGTTAATAGTGGCATAGTCATCAAGAAGGGTGTAGCCAGCAAAAGCACCAATGTCTTTAGGATAGTAAGCGCCATGAACAAAGCCAGAAACCGAGTCACCGACCTTAAAACGATCAGCAGCTTCAGGGCTGACCTTGACGACAGTACCAGAAACATCAGAGCCTACAATGGCACCTTTAGGGCCAAATTTCCAGACAGCATGCTTCCAGTCTGTGGGGTTAAAAGCATAAGCTTCAGACTTGATGAGAATTTTATTGGCAGGAACTTCATAAGTGTCAAGTTTGATTTCAGCAGGCTCGACTTCAACAAGCTTCTTGTTTTCTGTGTTTCCAGAAAGAACAATTTTTTCAAATCTAACGACAGTCATTGTGAGAGAATAGTGGTTTAATGAAATACAAACTTAAAAGACAAAAGTAGAAAAAGTAATGATAGGAAAAGTAATAATAGGAAAAGTAATGATATAAATAAATATTAATGCAAAAAAAAAAAATTAAACTCAATTGAGAAATTTCTCTTCGTATTTATACTTGAGTTATTGCTAAATCACGGAATTTTGCGCAAAAATTCAAATAGTCATTTCACTTGCTGGAAGTTTCTGTAGCCTTCCCCACACAATGCATTGTTGATTAATCAAAAAATGGTTCACTAAAGTAAGTTATCAAGGCCTTTTTAGAAATTATGATTTGTAAGAGAAAACAAAAAATAAAAAAAATTAAAAAAAAACTGTTCATTCTTTGATAATTGTAAAATGTTAAATCAGAACTTCAAAAAAATCTCTCATATTATTAAGGCTGGCAAATATTGTTTTAAACACTATGGGTACTCATTAATTCACTATTTGGTACAAATTACTTTAATATCGGCATTTTCTTAAGTAATCGGTCTAAACACTAAAACACAATCTCACCATAAAGACTTTCCGTTGGTTATTTTTTTTTTTCAACTATCATTAGCTCATATTTTTTTTCTCTCATCAATGTCAGCAACGTGTTCATATATTTTGTTTCTAGGATTATTCTATCATATTTCAGACCTGTTCAATTATAAATCAACCTTGGCTTTCTGTATTACAAAGAATATCCTAAAATCCGCGGGTTACCATCTAAAGCCTGGAAAATCCATTAAAGGTTTTTCCGACATCTTAACCAAGCACACGTAAGGTCAACTCCACTGCTGCAAATGTCCCCGAAGAAGCAGGAATTGCTCTAAGAAGAGTAGGCACAATCCCTCGCCAAAAGCCTCTGATTCCTTGAGTTCTCCAGACATCCTGTGCTGCACGAATGGCGCTACCACCATATCGTGATTCCCCGGCGCTGGCCAGTCCATCAGCCTGGACTCGAGACTTGACAACATCAAGTGGGTAGGACGCCAGCCACAAAGCCTCACCAGCCACCGCACCAGCACCCAAAAGGTAAGGAGTAGGCAAGTCGTTTCGCGTCAAGGAAGGATCATTTCGCACACGCTGTAACCGGTCAACTAACGCCGCAATAACATATTCGTATGTTGCAAACCAAACGCCGTACGCTTGAGCTTCACGTAGCACAGTCACACCAGACCCACGAAACAGAGCTCTGTTGGCTTTCAAATCTTTTACAACATCACGAGGACCATTCCACCGTGCTCCAGAACCATCCTTAGTAGATCTCTGTGTTTGAAGTAAAATACGAACCTGCTCAATCGGACTGGTCAATGGAGTGTTGGCAATACCAGCTGCCGCTCCTGCTGCATAAATTTGTGGGTAAGTCAAGCCCAAGGCTGTTGTTTTAACATTGGCTTCACCTTCCTTTTGATTCTGGCCTTGGAAAAAGCGCTTGGCTTCATGAAATGCATAAAATTGTACAGAAACGCATGCACCAACACCCAGTAATGGGGCTAAAGTACCTTTGTAAAAAGCCAGTGGTCCTTCTTGTGTCAGAGTCTGCTTAAACACCGATAAAGGTGTGCTAGGAGCTCCACCCGTATTAGTGCTTGCAGCTTGTAACCGAACTTTAACAAGATCAAAAGGTTGCCCGATAAGAACTTGCACTGCACCCCCAACAAACCCGGCTGCCTGTTCAAAAGAGGTTAGAAAACATTTGTTGTGAAATAATATCAGTCGCCAAACTTACAGTATCCTTGAGTTTGCGCGACAGAGATGTGTCGATTTCTCCAATATTATCTTCAGAAGCCATTGATATGGTGATATTTAGTGGTAATAAAGAGCAAACACCGATTACAGTCTCTTTTTGTGCTTAAAAATCTTCCCCGGGCTCTTGTGTGTGCCCCATTGCCCTTACAAATGGCGTCAACACTGAAAAATTTCGCCTACAGTTCAGCGGTTTCCACGTGAAATGTCATCACCAAAAAAAAAAATTAAATAAAGATAAAAACTAACTAATTTCTAATAACTTCTATAATAAATTTATAGGTAACTTTTTGGTAACTTCAAGCTACTGCTCCCACTGAATTCCAACCCAATCTTGAAAGTATCCGACCCCAGATGGCCCAAGCTGTTTAGCAGTTGGGTCCACTAAAGGTGTAGCCACAAAGATAGTTCCCCATTCCATACCATTTTCTAAAATTTGTTTAGCATCTAACGCTTCCTCCAAAACTGAGATAGCGTATGGCATAATTTGGGCCTCCACTGCTCGTGGCTCACGTGTGACGGGATCCACAGGAATGCTAGGGATGCCACCATGCTCAGGAAGTACCGCCCGTGCAACTGAATCTCGAGCAGAATACAAAAGAGGCTGGTTATGAGAGTCCTCTGCTCCTCCTTTAGATGATGTTCGGTAGTAACGGACAATTTGTTCAGGGTTTTGGCCCACAATATCAACAAACTTTTGGAATGCAGCATCTTGTGACTTGAGTGCATGATTTGTTGCCTCTTCCATAGGGGTAGTTGACGATTTGTTGCTTCTGTTTTTACCCTTGCTCTTAGGATCATTTACCTCCCCCTCATCATCGTTTATTAATAGATTTTTCAAATCTGCTGGAGATAACGATGATGTGATTGACTTGTTGGCCTTATCGCTCGCCTTCGGGTCTAAAGTTTCGTTTTCAACATATAAATAATATGCAGATGGAAACGTTGGAAGCTCACTGATTTCGTAATCAGTATCTTCCTTGAGCACTGGTGTTTTTGCTGATTCTTCTTTAACTGGTTCTTTGGTCTCTTCCGTTTCCTTAGTGTCAGTAACACTGGTGGTAGATGATGTCGTTGCCGCGGGTTTGGAAGCAATTTGAGCCCATGTAGGCTTCTTGTTTGCCGATAATACTGGATTTTCCGTGGATGGCTTTGCCTTTTCTTCTTCTTTCTTGCCAAAAGGATTGCTCTCTCCAAACGGGCTGCTGCCAAATGGGTTGCTACCAAACGGATTGCCACCAAATGGATTCGAGCTAGCAGCAGCACCGCCAAATAAATCTTCACCTTTAACTCTTTGCTTTTCTTTTTCTGCCTCAGCGCGTTCCCTCTCTTCTTTTGCTGCCTTAGCTGCAGTCTCATCTTCAGCAAATGCAACCTGTTCCCGCTCCGCCTCTAACTTAGCGTCGCGTCGCACACCCCGCACGCATTTGGCTGCACCCGATTTCCTTCTGCATCCAGGAGACCCACAAACAAAAACATACAAGACTCTATCGTAAAAAGTTCCCTCCAGAGGAGCGCTGAGCTGTACTAGCAAAGGCATTACTTTTTTGCACTCTTCACAAGTCATGTACTTTTTCGGCGGTTGTTGATCTTTGCTGAACCACACTGGTCGGCCACCAAGTAAATTGTCTTCAATAGTCGGTCCTGAAGACTCATTATCAACATCGACTTCTTCATCTAGGTATCCGAGTAACACAGATGTTGTATAAGGCTGGGTGTCAGCACCACGCACTAGGGTACGTGCAGGAGCGTCGTCTTCATAATCATCTTCTTCGTCGTACTCATCAGCATCCCATTCTTCATCTGAACCCAAACCGGTAATATTATTGTCCTTCAAATACTTTTCAATATCTTCTGGTTTTAATCCTGACATTTTTTTTTGAGATATATAATGGTATTCTGGTTGTAAAACTAGTGGTATAAATTAACAGTACAATTCGGAAACTGCTTAAAGAAAAAAAAAATTTTACATGCTCTAATATTATTATGTAATAATGTGCGGCTTATCGTCAACTAATTATCATCTTTATCTTAAATTTCAGATCTGGGTCTTTTGAACAATTTAAATGCAATTTCTCATTTTTTCTAAATTTTAATTTATTTATATTTGAATAAAATTAACAAATTTATTCATTTAAATGCTTAATAAACTTCTTCATCAATGATTTTTTCCCATACGGTATGGCTTTCATTCATCTCCTCTAGCTCTTTCAAATCACACAAAACTTGCTCTTCCCGCACAACGCCAGGCAATCGTCGTCCTTTTGATCTCCATCTCCAAACCTTTTTCGCACGTTCATTAGTTGCCAAATCCACATAGGTAAACTTAATATTGTTGACAGTTAATATATGGGCAATACGATTAGTGTCGGTCACCATATAATGTGTTCCAGAACTAAAAGAAGTGTACAAAAACACTTCTGGTTGCTCTTCATCTGACTCTTCTTCTTCAGACTCCTCCTCATCTTCTTCTTCTTCTTCTGATTCCTCATCTGACTCTTCTTCCGACTCCTCTTCTGACTCTTCTTCAGATTCTTCCCCCGACTCTTCTTCAGATTCTTCTCCCGAATCTTCCTGTGATTCCTCATCTGAATCTTTTTTACCAGATTTTTCTGCAGAATCAATTTTAAGGGAGTCTTCTAAATCTGTATTATCTTTTTCAATATCTTCTTCTTTAATTTCAGATTTAGCCACGGGCTCCTTTTCCTCTTCTTCATCCTCTTCTTTAGCCAAATGCAATGTTGTTGGTGGTTGAGAAGAAACAGATTCAGTATCCAAAGAAATTTCTTTCTTAGATTCATCGCCATTATTTTTGTTCTCAAAAGCTTTTGAAGTCTTTTCAGTTTCATTTTCACTTTTGAGATCATCTTCAGCCTTCACAAGCTTCTCCTCTTTAGAAATTTGTTCAGAAAGCACTGTTGCTTCAGAATGTGTATTCTTTGTTTCTATCACCTCTTTTTTTTCTTCAGAATCAATATTTTGAACAGTCTCTTTTTGTTCTTTTACTTCTTTCTCATTATCCAACTCCTCTGCTTCAACTTCCACTTCTTTCTGCTTATCGGCATCCCTCTTATCTTCAATGATATTTTGATTATCGCAAGCATTTTCTGCTGTTTTCTCGACCCCAGAAGTCTTTTGAGAAATTTCTTTTGACAACTTCTTTTCCTCTTCAATAGATTCCAAATCTTCAAATGAAGCCGACTTGGTTGGTATGGCAGCTACTGCAGCTACTGCTGTTGCTACTGTTGATGCTGTTGATGCTGATTTTGCTGGTGTGTCAATGGCATCTTTAGATACAGATTCCATAGATCCAATGGATGAAACTATATCACCTGGAACTTTCTCAGTGACCTTAGATGTATTTTCGCTGATAAAAGATACCTCGGAGTCACTTTTATCAGAAATCTCCACTTTTTCCTTGTCGTCAAGTTCATTGATAGTGCGTTCAGCTGTAGAAAGTGGAAGGTTATCACCTTCTTTTTCATGCAATGATGATTCAGAGTCTGAAATTTCAATAACTTCGTCATCAGAAATGGAAATCAGATCCCTAACTTTATTGCTCAAAATATCGGCAGCAGGAGATGAAGGAATATTAGCATTATCTAAAATTTCAGGCTTAGAAGAATCTTGATTATCAATTGAGCTAATGGAGGATTTGTTTGCAACGGCTTCTGATTGAATGGATTTTTCAGTTTCAGAAGAGAATAAAGATTCCGATTTGAAAAAACCCTTGGAAACATCATTAATTTCTTCCACTGTTTCATCTTTGATTTCAAGCTGTTTGCTTTCAAGGTCCTCAACAGTTTCGTGTTTTTTAGCTTCGTCGGAATTAGGATCAGTTTCCAATTTTCCTTTGGTATTGTCGATGGACACAGCTTCAGATTCTTCTTTCCCAACTTCATTATTAGAAAATTCCACTTTATCTTTTTCGTTATTAGAAGTTGTCTCCACCAAACCAACAGATGACTTGGTTTTTTTTGCGCCATCTTCGTCCACCATTTCCTCGGTATCAGATTTTTCGTCTTTCTCTTTATCTTTATCTTCAACTTCAACTTCAACTTTATCATCATTTGCTCTCAACATTGTTTTTGGTAAATGTTTCTTTGCATCCAAATCGAGGTTGTCAGTTACTTTAATATCATCTTCAACTTTGAGATTTTGAGAATCTTTATTGAATGATTTCTCGAAGGAATCAACCAAATAAACTTTTTTAACAGAGTCCAAATTACCATCAGACTCTGCTTTCAATTCTGGAGATCTTATTCCATCAGCTTCTGGTTTAAACCCATCTTTTGATTTTTCAACATTGTTTTTCTCATTGTCTAAATCATCAGTTTCAGAAGATCGAGATGAGTCAAGTACTTCAACAGAACCCACATTCGCGGTTGAAATAATAGGGGATATGTCACTTTTTTTCTCAGATAAGTCCAACGTTTCAATTGTTTTTAATTCTTCATCATCCATTTTAGGTTTTTCTTTAATTTCAGACAAAATATCATTTGATTTGACGGCAACGACTTTTATATCGTCATCAGTTTGATAATCGAGATCTTCAAGGCCGGTAGTATCGTTTCCTTCTAACTTTCTTAAAGTAGCTTCAAGATCATTTTTGGGACCAGAAGACTCAGATTTATCAGATGTTTCTGGTTCAAGTGACTTTTCTAAAAGCACAGTATCGCCCTTATTAGAAATAGATGCAATATTTCGAGAAACAGGAAAAGGTGATTCTTCTGGTTCAAGGGTTGATTTGGAATTGTTTGAATCAATATTTTTAAATTCTTCAAGAGTGGAGTTAGGCAAGGTGGAAGGCTTCAAAGATTTTAAGTTGAGATCAGTAGAAGCTACTGATTCAGATAATTGAGAAGATGCAGAAGCTGTGGATGCGGGAAGAGCGGTGAAAGTTGAAGTTGATATAGGGGCAGAAGAGTCCAATGAATAGTTATAATCGCTGGCACTGTTTTCATCCTGGTCATTTGTTAAAGCCAAATAGGAGTCTGTTATATCATCAATCACATCTGCAAGAAACGAGTCGCTCTCTAAGTCACTTTCATTTTCAAAATAAGTTGAGTTATTATTCTCTGTAGTTTGAAGAGTTGATGGTTGTGGAGGAGAGCTATGCAAGGATTGGGAATGGGGTGATTTTGAAATGGGCTTGAATGAAGAAAAAGATTCAGATAATGTTTCTGATTCGGATGTTGGAGATAAAGATTTGTTGAGGTTAGGTAATGCTGGTGAAGATGCAAGTGTTGATTTATTAGGGGGGTTAGGAATGGTTTTCTCAGAGGTATTTTCAGGTTTTGCAACGGTGCCTGAAAGTTTTTCATCAAAGGTAGTGGTAGATTCTGTAGTTGGACTTTGTAAAGACGAGGTTGTCGAGGCTAAAATTAACTCTGATTCAGCTGTAGATGCAGAGGCATTATTTAATTCAATGCCGGTAGACTTTGGCAAGGGTGAAGATAGTGTGTTGTCATTATTAGCCACTGTTGAGGTAGTGCGTTGGTCTGTACTCAGGGGCTCTGAGCGCAAATCAGAAAGATTTAACTGCGCGGCTGCTGATTTAATTAAAGGAGAGGCTGGGGCCAAAGAATCAGTGTCACTTTTATCATTGCCTAGATCCATTGAGCTTGAAAGATAATATGATGTGAATGCAGAAGGATTATTTGGAGATTCGTTGTTTTTGTATTTGTTATAAGGACTGCCTTTGTGATTGTTGTTGGCGTGTTTTTGATGACTAGGGGCTGATGGAATTGAAAAGGAGGAAAAGGAGGCTGAGGAGGGGAGAGGATGGGAAGGTGAAATTGAAGTTGATGGTGGCCTTTCACCAGTTACAAAGCCCTTGCCCTGATTCATAGTATAAGCTTTTTCATCACCACTAAACCACTCATTTCTACTATCACTACCAAAAAAATCGTCGTCAGTACCAAGTGCTATATCGTCTAGAGTAATGAAGCTATTGTTGTTTTTATAGTTTTCAGGAGTTTGGATTGCTGGTGTACGTGGAGGTTGGCCCATTGGGGATCTTGGTGGTGCAATATCAGACTGCATTGCTGCCGCAAGGTACCGGCTACTTGATGGAGTTGCAGGTGTAGATGACATTAATCTTTTAGGTGTAGTATTGGCTCTAGACTCTTGAGATCTATGTGAACTGCTCGGTGTGGTATTGCTGGGGTTGTCAAGAGATGAAATTGCAGAATTTATAAAGGAAAAGTCTGCTATAAGGCTATCTTGGGTATCATTGCTCAAAAAGCTAAAATTACTGCCTTCATCATCACTGTCAATGTCATTCCCATTGTTGACATAAGGAATAGGAATAAAGGTATCAAGATTTCTAGGCTTTGCTGAAAGATCCAAACTTTGTGCATGATGAAGTTGTTTAGGAAGGCCCGGATCAAGCGACTGATGATTTTCCTGGGGGTGAAACAATACGGACGACTGCGGCTGTAGAATGTCTTGGGCAAAGTCGTCCAAAGATGGCATTGGATCATGGGTTGTAGGTTTGCTTTCCTTTTTTTTACGACGAATATCGTAGAGTGATGAGTGAGGTTTTAGGGTCTTAGTTGTCGAGTTATCTTCTCCTTTGTGAAGAGATCTTGAATCGTTTAAAGTGGCTTTATTTGACTTTCTCATGCGTCGCATATCAGAAAGAGATGAAAACTTTTTAAGCCGAGAAGATTGCTGTGGCATGTCCTGAGGAAGCGAGACAACTCTTTTAGAGTCATCAGCCAGTCTGGACCTAGAAGGCCTAAACATATTTTTAAAAGTAGATTTCAAATCTCCTCCCATTTTTGAAAGATGCTATTGTTTAAAAAAAAAAATTGTGATATAGAAATTGCCAAAATATAAAAGAAAAAAGAGATTGATAAATAATAGTCAAAAAGAACTGATGCTGATGGAAATGAGTATACTAGTTAAGAGAAAAAAAGTAAATTATTTCTAAACATATTTCAAAAAAAAAAAAAAAAAAAAAAAAACCCTGCAACCAGTAAAGATGACTGCCTCTAGTGTATATACTATATACTACTATAGAAGGTTTTACAGCACGGACTTGCACCATTGCGTCAAGCTTTGCAAAGGACACTATATATAATAACTATCCACAAAAGCCGAAATCTTAAGAAAATGGTCTTTTGACTTGGGATTGTTGTTCAAGTTGGCTTAGAGTTTAAGTCTACATATATATATATATATATTTATTTATTTACAAAGCGGAATTACATGAAAAAAAAAAAGCTGAGCTTTCAAATTTCTGAAATCAAAAAGGTTTATAGTAGTGATCTAGTATTGGTAGTCTCCAGTAGTCCAAGCGGGTAATAATATTAATATATTTTGGTTTTTTTTTATAAGTATAAGTATTGTCAAACTCCTCCTTGATTCGTCAACTTTTATTTTTATTTACACGGTTGATGTGGAATGTAGACTCCCCCGAATTATGCGATGAGCAACCAAGGTGTACCGGTTACAAATCATTTCCCATAAAAAAAAATAATATTCAACACATCGCTAATATTTCATGTGGTAATTAATTGTGACTTCAACTTAAGATTAGTTTAAGAAGTCTAATAGGTCATCAATGATAACTTAAACCAAAGTTAAATAATAACATTTGTTATTTACAAAAAAAAAAAAAAAAATTTGTATGGTGGCTTACATAAAGTCAATGAAAAATTTAAAGCCGCACTACTACACTAGGTCAAACAAAATGGTTAAACATAGGTATTTTAAAAACTGATTAGTTTTATCATAAGGTATCAATCACTTTATTCTTTGAGATATGAAATAGATTGCAAATTTGTAGATTTAATCAAGGCAATTACTATCTAGTCAGCTACACTTACTTTTGGCGTTTTAGTATGTAGCTAAATTATTCCTGAAAGATAATAAATAAATTTGAATTAAGGATCTTAAATGATGATAAGGAAGGTAAATAAACTATAATGTTTAATCAACTTTAAACTTAAAGCTAGAGCAGGTAATCTGGGATATTTATATTTATAAACTTCATTGTAATTTTATCTAATAATTGAAAGTAAATGAAGTAATAACGTAATCATATGGAGTTGTAAAAGTTTTGTCACGAAAAAAAAAATAACCGGTTAAGTTACAAAGATCTGTAATTTGTAACAATGGTTGTTGCAGTGAATGTAACAACATTAATGAAATCTCATCACTGCTACACTGAATTATGATGGAATTGTAAGTGCGATAAGGTAGTTTCTAAACTGAATTATTAATATTAATTTATTTATTTTTTTAATTAATTGTATATTTTTTTTAAATGATTTTACGTTAATTGGAAAATAATCTTTTAAATAATTTGTTATATGTATAGTATGTTTGCTAAATCTTAATAATAATAGACTTTTTTTTCGTCCAATCTCAAGTTATAATTGTAGATTTATAAATTTATCAGTTAGAATTTTCTTTTAACCTGATATTATATTATCATAAAGGATAAGCTAAGCATAATCATATTAAATTTAAAAATAGGAATATTTATTATACAATTTTGTAAATTTAAACAACTATTTATATCATTAATTTTGTTTTTTTTTTTTTTTTTTTTTTTTTTTTGAAATTATTTAAAACGACTTGTTCTTGAAATACAAAAATTGGTTTGTAATTTTTCAATCCAAAGGTAAGGTAAGACATTGACGCTATTCATTTAAATATCTAACTTTGGTAATTTGCTTTCTAAATTGTATACTATTTTTTTTTAATATGAGTTGTTTTGATCAGTGTGACTTGAATATTCTTACAAAAAAAAAAAAAAAAAACAATGAGAACCAGTTAATTACATCCAAACCCACCCAATCTATTTTAATTTAAATTTATCTTTATTCAAGTTTGTTTGTTCGATTCTTAATGTTCTTCACAATAGATGTGACTTGAAATCACATCTATTGTGAAGAATAATTGGAATTGTTTTGTTTTTATTCAAGGGGATTGGAGGGGGGGGGTGGGGTATACTTTATTTTAGGATAGATATAATCTAAAATTCAAATATAATGATTTTTGTAGTTTAAATTGTTTAGTTCTAAATGCTTAAAAAAAAATTTTCTTTCGCAATTCCCAATTGTTTGTTTGTTTTTATTCAAGGGTTATAGAACTATATAACATCAGCATCTGCGCTATCCTTTTATTGTCTGACTATGTGACTTGCCGGTTTTCATTTGTACCTTTTTAGTACGGGTGGTTTCTGTTCTGTGCGTCTCCGGTAGCCCGGAAGATGGGCCCTGATGCCAGCTTACGAGGAACAGGGAGAACCAGTCTGTCGGTCCCAAAACCTTCCCAACCCATTTCCACTTATCTTCACGGACGCCCATGTATTTCTTAATCTCTTCCGTCAGAGATACGGCCCGCAATCACCTGCAGGCTATTTAGACTGTACGGAAGAGTAGGCATTCCTGTAACCAGGGTAGCCTGAGGTTTTCAGTCTAGGTGTGTACTCCCGTACACATCCTCAGGAAAAGGGGGTATTCTGGGAATCGAACCCAGTATCTTCCGCTTTCGAGCGAACGTGTTATCCTTTACACCATCCAGCCCTTTCCCCCTCGCAATTCCCAAAAAAAACTACAATTTTACCATTTGTTTTAGATTACCTTTTTTATTTTTTAAATAGACATTTTTTTATAAAATCGGGCAATCTGGCCGAGTTGGTCTAAGGCGTAGGATTAAGGTTCCTATCTCTTCGGAGGCGAGGGTTCGAATCCCTCGGTTGTCAAATAACTTTTTTTGTTAATTTTTTGTTTAGCATTTATTTATTTATACACACACCGCTTAAAAAACCTTAAATAAAATTTTGTTTAAATTTCAAAGTTTTTAAGCAGATCCAACTCAACCAAAAAAAAAAATAAATAAATGAATTAATCTCGTCATAAATAACGAAGCCTTTACTTTATTCGGACATTCTTACAAGCCGAAAAAGAAAAAATTTAAAATTTAAAAATAAAAAAATAAACAAAAAATAAAAAATAAAAAAATAAACAAAAAATATAAATTTGTTTTAGGGCCCTTAAAAACCTGTTTTTCGGAACAAAAAAAAAAAAAAAGTTACGTAAGTAACGTATAAACACTGATAGTAAACTACGTAGTATTAGTATTATATATATATTTAAAACCGATTGTGTTTTTTTTTTTTTTTTTTTTTTTTTTTTTTTTTGTAAACTTTGCTATGAGGCTTTTTTTTTTTCACTCTTTTAATTCCTCCTGAATGGTTCAATAAATTTGTTCTTTAGAAAGTACCTATGGTGCTTTTTTCGAAACAATGTTTTCATCCCCGTTAACATTTTGGTATTTTACAGTTACTGTAGAATGAAAAAAAAAAAAAAAAAATTATATAAATATATATAGTTAATGGGATTAGACTAGTCTTTGTTTGATATGGTTATCCCCCTTTGTTTATTAGTTCCTTTATGCAAGACAAAAAAAAAAAAAAAAGAAAAAAAAAATTCCCCTAGTTGTTTTGTGCAGCCAGTGAAAAATTTTGGTCTCATGCTCATGAGAATATCAATACTGGGGGTTTTTTTTTTTTATTATTATCTTTAGTCATAAAGAATATATAGATGAGCTTAAGGTTAGGATTGATGCGCGAACGAGACATTGGATTTCGTTTAAAACAAGTAAAACAAAAAAAGATGAAAAAAAAAAAAAAATTAAACGGTGAGCCATTGAGCTTAAAGACAGATATTTCTTATATTTAATATTTAGTCCACTTATGAATAATCAAAAGTCTTAGCTGGGGTTCTCGGTACTTCGGAATCGATAATGGATCTGAGGATATTAATTGAGACATGACAGGCGTTCAATTTGGTTTTTTTTTTTTTTTATCTTTTTTTAAAAAAAAAGGAGATTGTAAATATGTGTAGAAGAGATAACAGTCATAAAAGACCAAATCCTGATATAGTATTAAGGAGAAAGAATGAAAGGTAATATTAGTGTATATTGTTAAAAACCAATAGATTCAACTAAAGGAAGATATTATTATTATTATTATTTTTTTTTTTGATAACAATTTATATGAATAAGTAAATAAGTCTACATTGAATTCGAGATTGCATTTTGATTCCAATATCAGTTAAAAGGTGATATTTTCAAAAAAAAAAAAAAACAATGATGATGATTGGTATTCTGTACTCATATTTACAATGAAAAATATTTGCATTATTTACTCCACACTCCACACTCCACACATATGAAAATTGTTTTATTTTATTTTATTTATTTTTTTTTTTTTTCAAAGCTGCGTTATTTCGTATAATATCATTATTTCATTTATTTCATATTGTATTGTACCGTTGAGAATTATAAATTGTAATTACACCCGAAAGGAATTTTTTTTTTTTTTTTTTTATTTCTTGGCTCGTATTACTTCCACGTCACTTTATTTTCTTTTTTTTTTAGTTGGTTAAGTTCAATGGATTTTTGTTTTAAAAAAAAAAAAAAAAAAAAAAAAAGTGGACAAAATGATTCTGAATAACTGAAAAAAAAAAATTTTTTTTTATTTAAATGTTTTATCATTTTATATCATAGATAAATTATTCATAATTTTTTTTTTTGGTTTTAATTTATTTATATCGTCAATTTATATATAATTTTCTTTAAAAAAAAAAGCTTTAATCCTTTGTTATTATTATATTATATCCAAAATAGCTAATCTTTTTTTCTCCCATCCCTTCTTTTCGTGTCGTAAAATACAAAAATTCCAGTTTTTTTTTAATTCTTCTATCCTTCATTTATTTGTATAAACTGGGCTTTTCACTAATTGTAGATTCTTTCTTCCCGGAATTTATGTTTCCAGATGAAGGTGACGAACGAGTGGTCTGTTTTCTTTCCAGTTCAATCTTAGCGTACCATGCACCACCTGCCAATGTCAAAAAGATACCAAAGGCATTTGTCATGTTGATTTCAAGATTGAAGAACAAAATAGCCAATACAATGGTCATGACTTGCTTGACATTACCTGCCACAGTCATAGTCAAGGCGTTTGTATTTTTGTTTGCTGTGAAGGATACAACATTAAGACCAAACGCAATCAAACCATTGAGGGCCAGCTTGATGAGCAGTGGTTTATCAATGACAAAGGGGGAGTTCACGGAAATGAGAGGATCAGCAGCTCTGGCAAAAATATTAGACTGATTGGATTTGCCGAGAGCTTCAAGAGCAGCGTAGTAGATGGTTGTGACTTCACCAGTGAAGTAACCGTAGATGACAGTTTGAATAAAAGCCAATGGCGACATACGGTAAAGAAGCTCAAGTGGGCTGAGTTTAAGACGGCCTGTTTGGACTTTATTTGTGACGACTGTCTTAACTGCGGCCAAAAAGGCACCCAGGAGCGTCAGGAAAAATCCAAGAGGCGTAGAGTAGTAATCACCGTAGGTGGAAAAGCCTACACCGGCAACAACCAACAGCAATGAGAGGTATGTAAGAAGGGGGTATGTAGAATGGTAAAAGACAATGTTGAGAGCAATGGCAAAGAGTGGGGTTGTTGCTCTAACAATTTGGTGGAAGGGCACGGTGACCAGTCCAAGTGAGACGTTTGAAATGGCGATATTGATTGTGTAGAGGAATGAGAAGAGCACCAGGACCATATTTTCTGAGGATGTTAAGCGAGAGAGTGTGAAGAACTTGAGTCTGTGTAATACAAAGCATCCAATAGATCCGGCTAGGGCGTGGACTGCAGTCAGTAAGTAAGGGAAGGGGAACTTTCCGAGAACAACCTTGTTGAAGAGAGTCAACACTAAGTTGAAGAAGAAGTAGATTGCAAGCCAAGCATATTGTTTACTGACTGGTAATGGTTGTGCTATATTATCCTTTGGTTTAAATTGGGGAAGGATACCTTGAGATGATGATGATGATGATGATAATGGATTTGAAGACATTTTCTTTTTTTTTTTTTTTTTTTTTTTTTTTCAAGGTTGAAAAGAGTTTCTAGTGTTGATCTTTTAGTGTTGATCTTCTATTAAAAAAAAAAAAAGTATTGGAAGAGAAGCAACGGTTAATAATAATAATAATAATAATAATAAGAAAAAAATAATAAGAAAGAAAGACTTTAAGAAAGAATTTGTGGTGGAAGGAAAAGAATTTGTTTGATAAAACTGAGTAACAAAAGGAAAAGTCTATTCAAGGGGGTGGAGGTTAAAAAATAAAATAAAATAAAATAAAGATTGAGTGTAACGTTTACTGTTATGCTTATATACTTTTATATATTTAATATTTAATATTTAATATTTAATATATATATATAAGTATAAAATAGCCAACAACAGCAACAACAAGTATTACATCACTTTGAGAGGGGAATTTTTTTTTTTTTTTTTTTATAAGGTGGTAGTAGTTACAAATACGTGTTGTTTATTTAACTAAGTGATAATAATAATCACTTGCTTAAGAGAAGAAAATAAAAATAAAAATAAAAATAAATAAAAAAATTACGTAGGCCAGCCAGCTTTTTTTTTTTTTTTTTTTACTAATTTAATTGTGTGTGATTTTCAAACAACTATAACCAAATAAACTACTTCAAAAAAAAAAAAAAAAAAAAAAAAACCTCCTCCAGTAATTGAAACTTTCAGTTATGCCATAATCAATATCATCAATTGATATATAGCAATAAATAACAATAAATAACAATAATCAAAACAAACCATCTTCTACTTCAAATTACTTTAAATTACTTCTAATAATAATAATCAAAACAAAACATCCAGATCAAAATCACCAGCCGCATTCTTTTCTGCAACTCCCCTCTCAGTAACAATCGCATCAATAAGCGCATGCGGCGTAACATCAAATGCTGGGTTCCACACATCAATGCCTGGCGCCGCCACGTGCACCGTGCGGTGTTCACTATCGCTACTCACTTGACCTCCAATAACTTCGGGCCCACGAACTTGCACCAACTCATGCTGAGGTCGCTCCTCAATCACAATGTCTGCACCAGTGGCTGTATTAAGATCAATTGATGTGGTTGGGGCTGCGACAACAAACCGTACTGCGTCACCCTGCTTGTTGAAGTGTTTCGCAAGCACAGCTAACTGATGCGTACCAATCTTGTTTGCAGTGTCGCCATTGCGAGCAACACGATCAGCACCAACAACAATCAACCGCACAGGTGCATGCGATTCTCCTCTAGGGCCTCTTTCACGCTGAGACAATAATGCTGTAGCCATATTGTCTGTAATAAGCGTTGCAGGAATTTGGTCATAAACCAACTCATAAGCAGTCAACCGTGAACCTTGATTATATGGGCGAGTTTCACAAGCATAAGTGTGATCTAAACGTCCACTGGAATAAAGACTGCGAATGATTCCTAATGCAGTACCATACCCAGCAGTGGCCAATGAGCCCGTGTTACAAATGGTCAATGCTGAAAACTTGCTGTCTGAAGAGTCACTAGGCAACAACAGCTGCTTAATGGCCCATTCGGCACCATTCTTACCAATAGCCTTATTATCAGCCACGTCAGCTTCCAGCATGGCTTCCGCGGCCTTAATCACAAGTTCGGCAAGATCTTTACCAGAACCGTTATTTTTGTTCTCATCAACCAAAAGAGTCAAATCCTTAGCAGCTCGCGATAAATTAACAGCAGTAGGTCGGGATTCAACAAGGTACGCAAGTTTCTCCTTAACATAAGTAGCCACTTCTTCTGCATTGGCAGATGTGGGCTCAACAACAAATTTCTTATTAAGCTCCACAGCAAGAGATAAAGCAGCAACAATCGCAATGGCTGGAGCTCCACGTACAGTCATGGAGCGAATGGCATCAAAACCATCCTTTGTGTCTTTAATAGACACATACTCACTAATATGAGGAAGTTTGAGCTGGTCAAGAATCTCCAGAGTGCGATCTCCAGAGTCAAACTTGATGGCTTGAAGAGTCTTAGACATTAGAATTTAAAGATAAATATATTATAATAAACCTTTTGGTTGGTTTGTTTGTTTTTTAGAAGGAAAAAAAAAAGATCAAGTGTATTTTTTTTAAAGAAAATAAGAAAGTAAGAAAGTTAGAAAGAAAAAAAAAATTTATATATATATATATACTTAAATACTTAAACAACTACAACCGATTTGCTCTCCAAAATTGTAAATAAAAAAAAAAATGCAACGACACGTGATTTAAGCACGGCCGCACATTTGGGTCTTCCGTTAGCGCCTTAAAAAAGATTTTTTTTTTTAATGCCACCCACCTCCTCCACCAAAACTTTCTTTGGGATCAGATCACAATATACCTTTTTTTTTTTTTTTTTTCTTAACACTACCACCAAATATTGGATTTTCACATAAAAAAAAAATTATCACCACCACCATCACCACCATCATAACCATCACAAATTCAACTAGCCTATACCATCACAATCACACTGTCTGGCTCTTTATTCATCTCTATCCCTCTTTTAACCTTCAGTTCACCACCAAATGCCTCGAAGGCTTACCTTTCCCTCCCTTGTTTTCTTATGAATTGTCTCCTTTATTGAAATGTTGTTTACCTTCACCCACACTTACGTTTAGTTAGTAGACATGCCTCCAAATCAACAGCGTCCCTCTAGGTCCGCCTTCGCCTCTTTCACAGACATACCAAAAAATCATGTCATTTCATCTCGTCCTCTTTGCGACGCGTTTGCCATCTTTATAATCTTTCTAAGCACGCCCACATTTTTGCGCGTTGTAATCTTTTGCATCTTCATCACTGCACTTTCCCCAGCACCACCATTCCGCTTAAAATCTTTATTAACACCCCTTTCTTTCCTATGGCCCTTCCGCTCAGATAATAGTGCTAATGGATCACCATCCCCTTCCTTTAACTATCCCCAATATTCTTCCTCAGATCACCCACTCGACTCTAAACCATCAAACTCTACTTTTGGCCTTTATTCCTTCTTTAAAACTCTACTTGTTAACTTTATTTTTGCATGTGCAACAATATACCTTGCACCCTTACTCCAAAACCTTGTTGTGGTATTCGCCACAGGTATTGTCTCTTCTCTTCTCGGAGGAGGCTCATACAGCTTTTATAATGCCATTCTTATAACACTCTTTGTGGAGCTTTTTGGCTTTTTCACTTCTCTGATACCTCCGCGGTTTTTCCACATCTTTTGTGCTCTCCGCATATTTCTACCATTCAAATCATGTGTTGACACATCCCTTCCTCGAACCACTTCCCAAGTTCCAACTCCTGTTTTTTACTCTTCTCCTTCTTCTTCTTCTTCTTTTTCTTCTTCTTCTTCTTCTTCCACATCTCAATCTTTCATTTCACAATTAAACCCTTTAAAGCATGAAGCCATTAGCGAACTCCTCAAACCTGCAATGGCCTCAGCCACTGGGGCCCTTAAAATGGCTGCTGCATCTGCTTCCAGCAATAAAGAAGCCCCAATCCATGGTTACCAAATTGAAGTAAATGTGGGAGGTAGCAATGGAGGTGCCGTTGGAGGCTCTGGAGTTAACCCAAGTCTATATCATCCATCAGCTCAATCTTCTTCCAGTACCCCACCGTCTATCAGCACAATTACCTCAATTTTAAATTTCTTTCCAAACTCTATTCGGTTTTTATACGGCTTTGATTGGTACAATGAACTTCCTACCTTGATTTTCCAAATGATGGCTGTCTACGTTATTTGGCTTGGAGTTCAACACTTTCTTCGTCTCAATGAATCGGGTGAAGTCTCAATCTCTTCATATCTTTCTTATTTGTTATCTTACGTCCCATTTTTTCAATCTGATAATTCCACTTCATCTGCATCTGACTCTGACTCTAAATCGGAGTCTCTTGAAATAGTCCCCTTTAATTATGCAACAAATAGTGACAACTGCACTAATAGCAATAACACTAACAGCACTAACAACACTAACAACACTAACAACACTAATAATAATAATAATAACAACAACAACACCAACACCAACACCAACACCAACACCAACACCAACACCAACACCAACACCAACACCAACACCAACACCAACACCAACAACACCAATAACACCAATAACACCAACTCTAATAACAACAATAACACTGGTGCTCCAGGTACCTCTGCTAGTAACTTTTCTTCAATTTATGCCATGAGCGTTATTGAAATCCCAGTGCCCTATTCTGCTTCTTATCGTCAATCAAGTAAAGATGTTAAATCCACAAATGATGCTGGCCCATCTTCTTCGGAGTCACCCTTAAACAGCCCCACTAATATGGAGCAACCTACTACCGCAACTAGTACACCATCTTCCACCGTTTTGGAAGAAAATAACATTGATAGACCTTTTGGCGTTAATACCAATAATAACAGTGGAAATGGCAGTAGCAGTAGCAATAGCAGTATCAGTAACAACAATATAAGCTTCAATAATAAAATCCGAGGCAGAAAGGCCACAACTAGTGCCGGAACCGGCAATGCTAACCCTCCGGATTCTTCATTTATTCCGACTCCTAGCTCGGCCAATTCAATTTCAAAGCGTGTCAATATCGCCCTCAAACGTGCTTCTGCAGTCAAAAATAACCAACCTATATGGTCCACACTGGCGTCTAGTGTAGTTATGGCTGCTCGCCATGAACACATGCCTAATGCTCTTCCATATGCCTGCGATATTCTCCCTGCAGAAACTGCATCTTTATGTTTTGTAACTGGAGGTGCCCAAAAATTTTCTTCCTCAAACGTGGTCGACATACCTGACGATACTGTTGTTAATATCAAGGAAATTAATGAAAGTTTAAAAAACGCAAGGCCTTTAGCACAAAGCTATATTTCAGATGCCCTTGCTGCAGCTCGTGAACATGCAGATGTCTCAACAAATGCACTTTCCCCACCAACTCCAATCTCAACTGACCCTAGTACTTCTGGAACTTTTGTTTCTTACATTTTTGAAAATGTAGTTGGTCTAGTTGTTACCAATGTTATCAATCCCGTTGCACAGCTTTACTCTGTCAAGGTCAATAAGGTTCAATGGTCTCAAACTATTATTAAGCCTATGGTTGTTGATGAAAACAATATGGCTGTTTCCAATGAAACAGATAAAACCCCCAATAGCGTTTTCATTGCAATTCATGGCCTCAGTTCTGGTACTGTTTACGAAATTGAAATATACTATACTCCTCCTAACCCAGAAAAGGAGCCCACTGAAGTCACTTTAAATCACAAAAATGAAATACTTATTGGGCGCAACTCGGTCTGCACGGCTTTTTCGTTTGAAGATCTTCGTGCTCACGCAAAACCTTCCCAAAACTCTTCAGTTCATGGATTCAACCAGGGGGTTAATGATTCCAACGGATCAGGACCCACCAGTGCAGGTAGTACAAATTCTGGTGGTGCCAGCTCTTTAGCATTTGTTGGAAATAATTACTTGTACCACTACACTTCTTCTTTAGGTAGTGGAGGAAGTTCTGGAAATGGTAGTGCTCCTGCATCTGTTGGTAATTCTCTAGGTGAAAGAAGTGCCTCTTCATCTCTTTCCAATAATTCTGAAAACTTGTTGACCAATTTGCCATTTACATTTGCTCCCCAACCATTTCCTTTAAATCCAATCACCACACTGGCCAAATCTTTGAAAAAGAGTCATACAACTTTGATAAATTACCGTAATGCTCAAAAACAGGATCAGCGCCAACATCAAAAACGCGTCGAAGAGCTTAACAAGGATATCAGCACAGCTAAAAATAAAACTGAATCACAAGAAAAATTTAGCCAAAAGTCACAAAAGCGAATCAAGGAGCTTGAAGAACGAATTAAAACTTTGGACAAGTCTATTGATGAGCTCAACCAACAGGCCCTTGAACTGGAAGGCAAAATCCCACTGGTAGAAAAGGATTATAATGAGATGAAAAACCAGTATAATAAAAAGATTCAATTAGCCCGTGAAGTTCGCAAGCAAGAACTTCGCATTGAAAAGGATCTCAGTTTGGAAGAAGACCAGCTTAAGGCTGAGGAAGAAAAAATCCGTGAGAAGAATGAGAAGCAGCGTGCACGTATAGAAAAACTTAAATCTGAAAAGACCAAGCTTAATACCGAAATTGAAGCTGCTGTCAAGGCTCTTTTGGATTTTAGGAAAAATGCTCGTGACTTGAAGCTGAAGCGTCGCAAAGATATTTCTACTGAGTTTTCAAATGCAATTAACAAGATGGAAACTAGTGTCACTGAAACAACAGCAAAAACAGCTGAGCTTTGGAATTATATTCAATCCACAACTTCACAGTTTCAGGAATTTCAAAAACAACAGCAGCAACAGCAACAGCAACAGCAACAGCAACAGCAACAGCAACAGCAACAGCAACAGCAACAGCAACAGCAACAGCAACAGCAGCAACAGCAGCAACAGCAACAACTGCTTCAACCACAAACACTTTCACCTCAGCATTCTCAAACTCAGTCATCACAGCAGTACCAACGACATCAGACTCAAAATTCTTCCACTCTTATGAATTCCCATTCCAGTCTATCACTTAAAGCCACACACAGCGCTTCTTCTAGTTTCTCTCATATTGCACCATTTGGTAATCCTGTACAAAACATTAACTCAGACTATGAGCCTTTGGCTCCACAAGGAAGCACTGGATCTATGGGCACTAATATGATGATGGTTTCTGGTACTAGCAATATTTCAAGCATTCCTATTTCTACCACCAATAGTAACCGATCTACATCAGCTTCGTTTTCTGGTCAAAACAACTACCTGGCAGGATATATTCCTGGAACTATCTCAGGTCCTGTTGTGATTCCTTCGTTACCCAATAGTAATAACGCCATTTCAGGAAACCAAGTACTTTCATCTTCTGCACCAACTTCAAGCTCTGGTATTTTTGGACCAAACGCTAACGCTAACTCTAACGCTAACGCTAACTCTAACGCTAACGCTAACAGTAGCAATGGAACTGGTGCAGGATTCCCCATGCAGTATGTCCCTATGACCAATTCTCCAGCGTTGACTCAAAATTCATTCCCCTCACCACCTCAATCCACTACCACTCCAATGTACCCGGCGACTTCTAACAAAACAACACCTCCAAGTACTTTAACTTCGATTGTTTCTCCCAGTTCGTCAGGTATTAATGGCAGTAACAGTAATTCATTTGCAACATCTCTTACTGCACTTCCTCCTTCTTTGGTTTCTGAACCCGCCTCATTTTCATCCACTATTCCATTCCCGCCAGTGGCTGCTGCCGGAGCTAGCCTTGTGAGCAATCCAGCCGATTTACTTGTGGTGCCAACTCAACAACAACAGAAGTCATTGCTCTACATTAATCGGCAAATTGAGCGGCAAAAGTCTCAAGAATTTGCTGACAAGTATTCTGGCAAAATTAGATCTCAAAGTTTTACTACCAAACCTTCTGATAACTCAAAGTGATTGGGAGAAAAAAAAATTTGAAATGAAACGAAATGAAATGAAATGAAATGATATGAAACGAAATTAAATTTTTTATATTTATTTATATATATAGTTTGTAAAAACAAAAAAATTGATTTGCATAATTATAATATATACTACTTTAAGTTAACTTAATTTGATTTAAAAGTTGCAAAAAAAAAAAAGGCATCTTTATATAAGTGAATTTTTGTTTAAATTTTTATTTTTTAAAAAATAATATTCAATTAAACTCATACACATATCATCATATCATATCAAATCAAATCAAATCAAATCAAATCAAATCAAATCAAATCAAATCAAATCAATTACGAAGGGGGAGGGAGGGGGACGGTTTTATCTTTACAAGAAAAATTAACTAATTAGTTAAAGTTTCTAATATTCTTAAAAGATGATACTAACTACTATTCAGTTATAAGTTTTATTTTTTATTTTTTTTTTAATTAATTAGTATTTTACTTTGACTACCTTTTAACTAAATTTAGTTTAAATGGGTTTATAAAAAAAAATCACATTTTGTTAATATATTGAATTGAATAAATAACCCCCCCCCCCCCCCCCCCCAAGGTTGGGGGGCCCAAAATATATATATTTTATTAACTTAAATTTACTTTTTATTTTTTTTATTTTTTTTTTTTTTTTAGAATTCGGCTTAAAAGTTTAGTGATATATCGACAAAATATTGCTACTCTGTCTCCCCCCACATGAGGGGTAATTTAAATTTCAAGAAAGTTTTTTTTTTTAAAAAAAAAATATAAAAATATAAAAATATAAACAAGAAACAACAATAACCAAAATAAATTACATCTGGTATCTAAAGAGAGGATTCTTAGTCTCCATTTGGGCCAGGACATGTGGATCTTCATCGTAAACTTCAGGATGTTCCTCACAGTACTTTTCCTTCTTCTTGTTGGCCAACTGGTAATAAAGAGCTAGTGCAAGTGCCATAACAGATGAAATGACGGTGACACCAAGGACAACACTGTGGCCAAGTTTGTAACGGGGTTTATCTTGGGCTCTATAGATGAAGGACGCGATGATGCCACCAGCAGAGGCAAAGCCAATCTGGATACCCATGGCGATACCACGGGTATGAGCATTGGGGTAGTTGTTTGCGTTCCAAGAAACAATAGAGGGCCAAGGAGCGTACTGACCTGCAGTGGCGAGGAAAACACCAGCATAAGTGACACCTGAGCGGCTTTGACCAAGAGCAATGCTGAATCCTGGGATAGCGAAAAGAATCATGGGTGCAATGACGAAAATGAAGCGAGACTTGTACTTATCAGAAATGTAAGAAACAGCAATTGTACAGAGACAGGCCCAAATGTAGGGAGGAGCAGACATGAGCTGAGCCTTGGAAGCAGTCCAGCCAAGAGTGTTAATGATAGTGGGGAGGAAGTAAGAGAAGGAGTAGATGGGGACTGTGCAGCCGAGTGAGAGGATAACCATGTACCAAACACGCCAGTGGAAAACACCATCTTTAATGTGCTTCCAGCCCAAACGTTCATTATCAATCTTGTCATTGCCCTTACCAACATCTTGTCTAAGGTACCATTCCCAAAAAACAACTTCATCAGGCTTAAGGAATCGAGCGTGTTGAGGACCATTATAAATGATAAAGTAGCAAGCACAACCAACAACAATAGTGGCGATACCTTCAAGGATGAAGATCCAGGACCAGCCAGCCAGTCCACCAACGCCATCCATTTTCATGATAGCCCAAGCAAGGATACCGGAAAAGGCGCCAGCAATTGTTGCTGAAGAGAAGAAGAGAGCAATGCGGTAGGAAAGTTCCGTACTGCGGTACCAGTTGGAAAGGTAATAAGCGCATCCAGGCATGAGACCAGCTTCGAAAAGACCAAGGAGAATGCGGAGAGCAACAAGATGGTGAGTATTTTTAGCAAAGCCCATGCACATGACACAAATACCCCAGAGGAAGCAAATAAGAGGGAGGAAGATTTTAGGAGACATTTTCTTGAGAAGCATATTGCAGGGAGCTTCGACAGTACAGTAGGTAGCAAAGAAGACGACAAGGACGATGGAGTAGTCATGGGAAGACATATTGAGGTCAGTAGTCATGCCTGCAATTTTAGCATTACCAATATTGCCACGATCGAGGAAACAGAGAAGATAGAGCATTGCACAAGCTGGGATAAGATTGAAATCAATTTTGAGGCGAAGCCTATCGATTCTCTTTTGATCAAAAGATTCAACGATTTGTTGTTCTTCTTCACTAGAGAACTTTTTGTCTGGGGAAGAGACCACTACTTCTTCGTAGTATGCCTCAGGTTTTTTTTCGTATTCAAGACTCATTTTTTTTTGTTAAAAATTAAATGAATAGTTTTATTTGAATGTAAAGTTGATTAAAAATTGGCTGGGGTTATTTGCTAATATAGAAATGAATGAAGCAATGAAGCAATGATGATGATGATGATGATGATGATGATGATAATGCTATAAGAGAGGGTTCTCGCTGTTCAAATAGCTTGGGTGAATCCTACTGAATAGCAAAAGATAGGAGGTGAGTTTTTTTTTTTTTTTTTTTGAAGGAAAAAGGATTGTTGTTGTTAAAGAATAGATAGAAAGAAAGTGATGAAGAAGAAGAAGAAAAAGAAGAATAAAAAAAAAAGTGAATTGGTGGAAAATGTCTGGATATTTATAAGTGAAAAAAAAAAATAAAAACCATGATGTGTATATATATATATGTGTGATGAGGGGTATTTAATATTTTTAGTATTTGTTTTTAGGGTAATGGATTAGAGGGAATGTTAAACAGAAGATTTGGAAAAACAATTTTTTCTTTTTTTTTTTTTTTTTTCCAGCTTAAGGTTTATATTATTGATTAGACCTTTTTTTTTATTTTTATTTTTTTTTATTGTGGTGGTAGTAGTAGTAGTAGTAGTAGTAATAGCTGGGCCTTTAAAAGGTTTAGCCGTGGCGAATATATGTCCTATTTAGGAAAGATGTACGGCTGTAATTTTTTTAAAATTTTAAAGAAACTGCGGGGAAGTGAAAGGACGAGATTTTTGACAATAAAAAAAATTTTTTTTTTTTTAATAATAATTAAATAATAATAATAAAATAATATTAAAATTATAAAGATTAACTGCCAATTAAAATGGCCTCAATTGAAAAAAAAAAAAAATAATTCTACTCTACAAAGTGAAATTTATTATTATTATTATTATTAAAAATAAATTCGGAGGATTTAATTTATCATTCCGTAGTGGAGATATTTTCAATTCAATCAATTTCATTTTAAAACTTTAATTTTGGTGGAGGAAGAAGAAGATGAAAAATTAGATGATGATGATAATGATGATGGTGGTTGATATATTCTTTATTTTGGAGTTTATTTGAAATATACTATTTGTATGGGGATGTTTATTTTATTTTTATTATTATTATTATTAAAATATCTATTACTAACAAGAACATCTTTTATTAACTTTAAGTTACTAAGTAACAAAAGTAAAGAATAAGAAGAAAAAAAAAAACAGATTGGTCACTATTTTTTTTTTTTTTTTTTTTGCTATTATTAGACTCAACAGAAAAAAAAAAAAAAATACTCAACTGGTTAATAAATAAATTTACAGTCAAGGTCTCGCTTTAAGGAAAGTTTTTTTTTTTTTTTTTTTTTTTTCTAGTGGTAATGTTAATGTTAATGTTAATGTTAATGTTAATGTTAATATTGTTGTTAAATTTAGTTTATTTAATTATTTATTCTAACTATATTTATTATTATTATTATGAGAATTAAAAAGCTCCTTTATTCTAAATAATTGTTCCTTTCAAACGAACACATTATTTAAATTTCTTTCTTTCTTTCTTTCTTTCTTTTTTCTTGTTCGGATCATTCTGCACCGCTAATTGGTAACCATATATATATATATATATATAACTTTTAACAATTACAATTTAAACAAACTAGTATTTCATGTTAATCATCAACAAAAACATAGTTATTCTTATTTGATATATATATATTAGGATTAGAGAGGTGTAAGTACTAATACTTAATAATAATAAAAGAATAACCCTGAATCTCGTCAACCGAATAGTTTTATTTTGATGGTGGTCTTATATTTTTTATATATATTTATTTTAATTTTTTTTTTTTTTTTTTTTTTTTTGATATGGCCTGGTATTAGTAGTAGTAGTAGTAGTAATAATAATATTTTGATTTTATATTTTATTATTTTCAGTTATATCAATTCTATCTACTTCAAAGTTGATGATGATGAAAAAAAAAAAAAAAAAACTTCTTTAAATTAGTTAAATTGTATTTTATCATCATCATAATTAAATTATTATTATTATTATTAAAAAAAAAAACAACCTCCATTTCTCCCCTCCCCCTCCATATTAAAATAAAAAAATAAAAAAATAAAAAAAAGGCGGGGGTACATTTTAATAAGAACTTACTTACCCTACATATACAATAATAATTAAATACTGGGCTATTATATCCCCCACTACTTATTAACTATTACTATTACTATTACTACTACTACTATCAAACTTGTTTGTTTGTTTGTTTGTTTGTTTCTTATACCTTAATGTGCCTGATGAGCTAACAAACTAACTAACTAACTAACAAACAACCTCCTCCCTCCCTCTCTCTCTCTCTCTCTCCTCACAAAAAAAAAAAAAGTCTTGGCTCCGGGACGCCCGCCAGCTACACCGAAAGGTCTGAAGAGCCCCTCACATTTACGGCACTGTCCTGATAGTTGTTGTTGGAAATGGAAACAAACAGTACCAGTACCAGCACCAGCACTCAGTTTTTGTTTTTTTATTTTTTTTTAACTATTTTAAAGCCCCGCAGAAAATAGTAAAAAAAAAAAAAAAAACTTTTTCTTGTTAATTTTTTAATTTTTTTTAAATTTTTTTTTTGAGACCCGACTGAATTCTCAATTCTCATACGATTATTTATTTGTCTATCTTAAATAATAAGAATCATCTATCCGCTCGGGTATCATGTAGCTGTAATTAACCGTATATATATATATATATATATATAATTTTGCCAAGTACCGAGGTTCTAAAAAAATAAAATAAATTAAAAAAAAAAAAAAATTAAAAACGGTGTATATAAAACAATATAATAAGTAAGAGGGCGGTCTTGTTTCTAATTAAGTTTAGCACTTTCTTTGCTGACAAAAAAGCAATCATCTCTTAAAAAAAAATATACACACACACACATAAATTATTACCAAGACCCGGTCCCGGGTACCGGTATTGTGGGTAAATATATATAAAGACTACGGGACTTCTTACCCTCTCCTCCCCCTCTTTTCCCACTTAAAAACCACAGAATATATATAAAGAAATACACAATTTTTTTTTAATTAACTCCCCGAGAGGGAGGGGAGATCGTCGTTATTGAAGACACGGCCCGATAAACAAAGAAAAGAGTGGCTGAACGGATGTCTGCCTGGCTGGCTATAAGTGTCTCGCTCGCCCGTACTGTTGATTGGCATATATATATATATAAGTGGGGGAGAGAGAGTGCCATAATTATACCTTTTTTTTTTTTTTTTTTTTTGGAAGGCGGTTCTTAAATGGCATATGAGCAACCCGGTTCTCTACCGGGTCTTCAAAAGTGATATGAGTAAGTAACTTTGTAAACTCGGGTTTTTTTTTTTTTTTTTTATTTAAAAAAAAAAAAAACTTCGGGTATCTCACACATAAACATTTATTTCAATTTTTTATTTATATTTTTATTTTTATTTTTATTTTTATTTTTATTTTTATTTTTATTTTTATTTTTATTTTTATTTTTATTTTTATTTTTATTTTTATTTTTATTTTTATTTTTATTTTTATTTTTATTTTTATTTTTATTTTTATTTTTATTTTTATTTTTATTTTTATTTTTATTTTTAATTATAATTAATTACAAAATCAATTTTTTTTCTGTAATTAATTTAAAATTTTGTCTTCATCTTTCTTTCAATCATATAACTTATTTAAATTTATTATATATTGACATGAATTTTATAATGACCAAAAGAAACTTTACGGAATAACAAAAGTCCATCTTGGGCCTATTCTATATCAAAACAATTTTTTCTTTATTTTAATTTTTTTTAAAAAAAAAAAAAAAAAAAAAAAAGAATCTCCTTTTGAAAATAAAAAAAAAAGATCTTAAAGTATTCTTCATGATTTGGTTTTTTTTTTTTTTTTTTTTGAGGGGAAAATATTTCTCAGATTCTTTTTAAAATTAAAGCTTCAACAGCAAACTTTTTTTTTTTTTTTTCTTTTCAACCTCATGTATTTTTGCCTCCACTTCTATTATTACTACTATTACTATTACTATTACTATTACTATTACTATTACTATTACTACTACTACTACTACTACTACTCCTCCTCCTCTTCATCTTGCATCTCTCCCCAACAATCCATACAAGCCATTATATATATATATATTGACATGCCAAGACAAGTTTGTCGGCGTTCTAACGGAGCTCTTTATTATAGTTTGAAGAAGAAGCAGCTTTTAAATTTGATACCCATTATTTCTATTCTAACGTCTTTTTTTTTTTTTTTTATTATTATTATTATTTATTATTTATTTTTTATTTTCCCTTAAAAAAAAGTGAAATTTAAACATTGTCACTCCATATTTATTTTGGTGCAGAAAGAGGGGAGGTTGAGAGAGAGAGACTTTAACAATAGAAAAAAAAAAAGAAAGAAAGAAAGAAAGAAAGAAAGAAATAAACAAATCAAAAAAAAAAAAATCAAGTTCAAAGTTATTTTAAAAAAAAAAAAAAATTGGTTAATAAAGTCATTGTTAAAATAAATAAATGCCTTTTTTTTGTTGGTAAGGTAATAATCCCATTATGAAAATTCTTTTATTATTATTTTTTTTTTTTTATCTTCTTCATAATCAAAAAAAAAAAAAAAATTTCAAAATTTCAAAATTAAAAATAAACGTTAATCCCCGTGACTATTTGGTTTTTCCGAAATGAAAATAAAACAAATATATATATATATATATATATATATATATAAATTTACAACATTGTTTTTTTTTTGTTTAATTTAATTATAACTAAGTTTAACTTGGGTCAAACTATTTAAAAATCTCCTATATTTGTTTTTTTAAAAAATCAATCAATTAATCAATCAATTAACAGAAATATCTTGTCTTGTTTTGTAATTTATTCCCCCCAATAACTCCGGGATTTCACAACCATTATGAAAAGAAGAAATTATCGGATCCGCTTTTATTTTATTTTTTCTTTATTTATTTATTTATTTTATTTTTTTTTAAATGAATAGTCCCTCATTAATCTATTTGGCCTCAT